ATTTTTCCAGCCGCGAGTATCAATACATGAGTCCCACATGGTCATAATGTACCCAATAAATGTACTGCTTCAAGAAACAGAGCTGGACTATGGAGCCTCAGGAAGTGTCCAAGTCTCCCCCGTGTCTCCCAAAGTGCAACTAAAATTGCTATATTAAAGTTGAGGTACCTAAATGTTCCCTTGCATTAATAATGCTTGTTGGTTGTGCCCAAAAGTAAAATGTTGTGAACAAACCACTACAGGCCACCTTGTTTTTTTCAGTTAAGAAAGAGTCCTGTGAGTCATTATTATTTGACTGTTTGGTCAGAGAACAGATTTTTGGTAATTTTGCAAAAAAAGCTGTCAAACTGTTCAGAACAGGCCACTTGCTGCACTTTTGAATTCTACATTGTTATTTTCAATGCACTTTCGTTTACTTTTCATTAGAGTTGCACCGATCGATCGGTAGCCGATTATAATCGGTGATAGGTGAAATGTGCCGATCAAAAAGACCGATCAGATGACATGAGGATTAATGCGCGCAAGTTACTTTCTCTCGTCAAAAATGCGTAAACAAGCAACTCATGCAGCTATCAGTAACAGAGATTCTACAGCGGCAACAACCACACAGTAATGACGTAAGAAAGAACACAAAATATGCACGAAAGTTATGGAATTTATTCCCCTCTGCCACCAGCCCTTGTCTGTTGCGGAAAGCGCTGGGTTCAAACAGCTCATGTCCACTGCTTCAATCTGCCATTGCGGAGATATCTGACTGATGTCTGCCTGTCGCAGCTTTACCAAACTGTATATTCTCACATTGACACTCCAGAGCATGGATCTATTATGATAACGAGCCAGAGTCACACCGCGCAGACACAGCACACACACAGAACACCCTCAGCGCTGCCGTCAGGCAGAAACACCCCGTGTCAGGAGTTTGCATGTTATGTTCACAGAAATATTGAATTAAGATGAGTGTAGTGGTAGTACAGACAGTCCTACAGTGTCGCAGATTTAGCGTTACTTACTACGTAGTTGCGCATCGGAGCAGACAACCACTTGTTTATTGGAAGGAAAATAAAAGCCGCTTCCCCTGCATTGGCCAAAGTAGCGTCTTTCCTCTGCACTCCATGCACAAGTGCAGACAGTGAGAGTTTAGCGCAGTGGGACTTTTCAGGATGATAAATGTAATGAACCCCTGCAAATGCCTGAAGAAAAAACATTGCCTTAATTAACTTATCTCTTCTTAATCAGTTTAGAAATGTACAGTATTGCTGTATTTCATTGCATTTTTTTTATGTATCTCAATGCTCTGTAACGCATACTTGGTTCCCAACCTTTTTGTCTTGAGTACCCCATAGGCATTTTATTTATACTACCTAGTACCTTGATGGTTTTGAAAGATTAGTTATAAATGAATTTTGTCCAACATCTGTAAGCTATAGTCCCTCTGTCCAGTCAGATAGATTGTGTAACTATTTTTTAGTTCTCTTCATCAAATCACTTATGATCTTTCAGGAAATTATGAAAGTACTGATCCTTCTGTGGACTCACCGCCTCCTGGAGGATCAGCCCCCACAACCCAAAAATGGATTAAGTGGAAGAAAATGGATGGATCTTTCTTATAGTTGGCTGAATATTGTGATATATTTTGTGTTGTGAGCTGAATATCACGTATCGTATCGTGAGATTAGTGTATTGCTACACGCCTTGTAGCAACAGTAGCTCAGTGAAAGGTCCAGAGTCGAGCTTTGTTACGTAAACCAGGATTACACCCAACATCTGCTGCAGCTGTGACACAACAAGGGAGAGATGGGGAGAGGAAGGGAGAAACAGACCAGGGACAGACCAGGGACAGACCAGGGACAGACCAGGGACAGACCAGGGACAGACCAGGGACAGACCAGGGACAGGCCAGGGACAGGCCAGGGACAGGCCAGGGACAGGCCAGGGACAGGCCAGGGACAGGCCAGGGACAGGCCAGGGACAGGCCAGGGACAGGCCAGGGGCGGGGCAGGCCAGGGGCAGGCCAGCTCTAAAGACATGTATACAGTGGCGCAAAAACGTATTTAGTCAGCCACCGATTGTCCAAGTTCTCCCACTTATAATAAAGACAGAGGTCTGTAATTTTCATCATAGGTACACTTCAACTGTGAGAGAATCCAGGAATTCACATTGTAGGATTTTTAAAGAATGTATTTGTAAATTATGGTGGAAAATAAGTATTTGGTCACTTCAAACAAGGAAGATCGCTGGCTCTCACAGACCTGTAACTTCTTCTTTAAGAAGCTCTTCTGTCCTCCTCCTCGTTACCTGTATTAATGGCACCTGTTTGAACCTGTTATCTGTATAAAAGACACCTGTCCACAGCCTCAAACAGTCAGACTCCAAACTCCACTATGGCCAAGACCAAAGAGCTGTCGAAAGACACCAGGAAAAGAATTGTAGACCTGTACCAGACTGGGAAGAGTGAATCTACAATAGGCAAGCAGCTTGGTGTGAACAAATCAACTGTGAGAGCAATTATCAGAAAATGTAAGACATACAAGACCACTGATAATCTCCCTCGATCGCAAGATCTCATCCCGTGGGGTCAAAAGGATCATGAGAACGGTGATCAAAAATCCCAGAACCACACGGGGGGACCTGGTGAATGACCTGCAGAGAGCTGGGACCAAAGTAACAAAGGTTACATCAGTAACACACTACGACGACAGGGAATCAAATCCTGCAGTGCCAGACGTGTCCCCCTGCTGAAGCCAGTGCATGTCCAGGCCCTCTGAAGTTTGCCAGAGAGCACATGGATGATACAGCAGAGGATTGGGAGAATGTCCTGTGGTCAGATGAAACCAAAGTAGAAATGTTTGGTATAAACTCAACTCGTTGTGTTTGGAGGAAGAAGAATACTGAGTTGCATCCCAAGAACACCATACTTACTGTGAAGGATGGGGGTGGAAACTTCATGCTTTGGGGCTGTTATTCTGCTAAGGGGACAGGACGACTGATCCGTGTTAAGGAAAGAATGAATGGGGCCAGGCCTCGTGAGATTTTGAGCCAAAACCTCTTTCCATCAGTGACAGCTTTGAAGATGAAACGTGGCTGGGTCTTCCAGCATGACAATGATCCCAAACACACGGCCCGGGCAACAAAGGAGTGGCTCCGTAAGAAGCATTTGAAAGTCCTGGAGTGGCCTAGCCAGTCTCCAGACCTCAACAACCCCATTGGAAATCTGTGGAGGGAGTTGAAAGTCCGTGTTCACTGCTCTCGAGAAGATCTGCATGGAGGAATGGGTCAAAATACCAGCTACTGTGTGTGCAAACCTGGTAAAGACCTATAGTAATTGTTTGACCTCTGTTAATGCCAACAGAGGTTATTACCAAGTATTGAGTTGAATTTTTGTTATTGACCTAATACTTATTTTCCACCATAATTTACAAATAAATTCTTTAAAAATCCTACAATGTGAATTCCTGTATTTTCTTTTCACATTCTGTCTCTCACAGTTGAAGTGTACCTATGATGAGAATTACACACCTCTGTCATTATTTTAAGTGGGAGAACTTGCACAATTGGTGGCTCACTAAATACTTTTTTGCCCCACTGTGTGTGTGTGTGTGTGTGTGTGTGTGTGTAATATATATATATATATACACATTTCCTTTTTTTTCTGACTGATATGCTGAATTTTGTTTACCTATTATGTGAACACAATTTATCTCTGTGCATCAGACTCGCTGGACTCTCTAAAGCTGTGAGTGATGCATCTGTAGTAAATATTGAGTGGAGAGAGAGAGGGAAATCCCCGACTCTAAAAACAGCTGCTCGGCTCCTGTTGCTGTCACTACTGAACACACACTGTTCAGAGCCTCATTCACACTGAACACACACTGTTCAGAGCCTCATTCACACTGAACACACATTGTTCAGAGCCTCATTCACACTGAACACACATTGTTCAGAGCCTCATTCACACTGAACACACATTGTTCAGAGCCTCATTCACACTGAACACACACTGTTCAGAGCCTCATTCACACTGAACACACACTGTTCAGAGCCTCATTCACACTGAACACACACTGTTCAGAGCCTCATTCACACTGAACACACACTGTTCTGAGCCTCATCCACACTGAACACTTTATTTACACATGAAACAAATGAACCAGGGCTGTTGTTGATGCTGCACAGACTGTAGCTGTAACACTGTTCATAAACATAGAATACACTTTAGTTTAGTTTAGGAAGATTCATCTTGTCTTCTTAAAAGAAATTAAAAGTGTTTGGTTCTTCTATACCAGACAATACAAGGTTTTGTGACGTCATTACCTTGACATTCCGTCTTCCTCAGAAGCGTCTCGCGACGTCACATGACTGCCTTTATCAGCTGCTGTTCCCAGGCGCAGCCAACCTTAATGGTAAACCATAAAGGTTGTCTGGGTTGATGTAGAGCATTGTTTTTGTTGTTTCCAATTATTGTCAGACCTAATGTTATAGTATGTCACTATGTTGTTTGCCATCACTAGTAAAAACCAAAATCTACAGCTGATGAACTCCTATGTATTTTTGTTTTGTGTGGGTTTATAGATGGCCATAATAAGTCAATTAATAAAAATGATGTAAACTATTACTCCAGGTGGATGAGAAATGTTTGATTCCCTCTGGTCTCTGTCTCTGTTTTTGCTCTCTCTGGTCTCTTTCTCTGGTCTCTTTCTCTCTCGTTCTCTCTCTCGCCCTCTCTCGCGCTCTCTCTGCTCGCTCTCCTCTCTCTCTCTCTCTGGTCTCTCTCTCTCTCTCTGTCTCTGGTCTCTCTGGTCTCTCTCTCTCTCTGGTCTCTCTCTCTGGTCTCTCTCTCTCTCTCTCTCTCTCTCTCTGGTCTCCCTCTCTCTCTCTGGTCTCCCTCTCTGGTCTCTCTCTCTCTCTCTCTCTGGTCTCCCTCTCTGGTTTCTCATCCCGGAAACTGCTGTCCTAGATGTTAATGAATGTTCTAATCTCTCCTTTCTCCCCTCCCCCCTCAGACGTACCGGCCCCGGAGCAGCCGGAGCTGTTCCTGAAGAAGCTGCAGCAGTGTTGTACAGTGTTCGACTTCATGGACACTCTGTCCGACCTGAAGATGAAGGAATACAAACGATCCACTCTCAATGAGCTGTTGGAGTACGTGTCCGTCAGCCGCGGATACCTGACCGAGCAGGCCTACCCCGAGGTGGTCAAGATGGTACGACACACCCATTCACACCCACCTATTCGCATGCACGCACGCGCACACACACACACAATCACACAGGTGGTCAAGATGGTACGACCCACACACACAGGTGGTCAAGATGGTACGACCCACACACACAACTGCTCTAAACACTTTTAGAGCCTGTTCCAAACACAGTGTCTCAGAGGTCAGAGTGAGAACAGACTTCTCTTTGTTTACAGGTTTCTCACAACATTTTCCGAACTCTTCCTCCAAGCGACAGCAACGAGTTCGACCCTGAAGAAGATGAGCCCACCCTGGAAGCGTCATGGCCACACCTACAGGTGAGAGACACATACACAAACGCACGCACACACACACTCTTACAGGTGAGTAACACCCGACTGTAAGGAATGTGACCATGGATCTATTATAATAACTGGATAGGGTATTACTAGCTTGGAGCTGAAGGACCAATGTGCTCGGGGGATTCTCACAGTACAACAGACTAAACAGGAATAAATTCACATGGGCTACCCAGAAATGTTCCCCATAGAACTCAATGTAAACTAAAACGGCATGACAGCTGACAAGAGAACCTACAGCTTTCATAAAGGTCGGATTTTGTGGGGATTTTAGTGTCCCTTGTCATTTTTAACTTCTTTTCGTCTTCAATCCACACTTAAGTGGCACAAACTCTGCTCGATTGATTCCCGCTCTAACTCTGCTCTGATCAGCAGCTCTGATTGATCAGTGTGTATGTTGTGTATATTCAGGATTGTAACATATGGGTGTTGTGCGTCCGCAGCTGGTCTATGATTTCTTCATCCGTTTTCTGGAGAGTCAGGAGTTTCAGCCCAGCATCGCCAAAAAGTACATAGACCAGAAGTTTGTTCTCCAGGTGAGACGCACGCACGCACGCACGCACACAGTTACAACTCCAGCCACGGCTGGTTGTTCTTGTAAATTCATGTTGTAAAGTGTTTATATTTTATATCATAGTTCATTATGATGCGATTCCCTTTGGTCCAAACAACACAACAATCTTTCCCCCTGCTGTCGACACAGAATTTAAACACAAGTCAAAAACTCTACACATTGTGGAGTCGTTGTTTTGTGAGAATAAAAGTGGGAAATGTCAAAATTGTGACTGGCAGCCACATGCGCCTCAGTCTGCCTCAGGGCCCATGTGACTGAGCTGTTAAAGCCTAAATATGTCTGTGTCTGAAGTCTTGTGCTTTGCATCCGCAGCTGTTGGAGTTGTTCGACAGTGAAGACCCACGGGAGAGAGACTACCTGAAAACAGTGTTGCATAGAATCTACGGGAAATTCCTGGGACTGAGGGCTTTTATACGAAAACAAATCAACAATATTTTTCTACGGTGAGATTCTCAGATTCCACTGAGTCTTCAGTCTCATTCTCTGCCACAGTCTCTGCCACAGTCTCTGCCCCCGTCTCTGCCCCCGTCTCTGCCTCAGTCTCTCCCTCAGTCTCTGCCTCAGTGTCTGCCTCAGTGTCTGCCTCAGTCTCTGCCTCAGTCTCTGCCTCAGTCTCTGCCTCGGTCTCTGCCTCAGTCTCTGCCTCAGTCTCTGCTTCAGTCTCTGCCTCAGTCTCTGCCTCAGTCTCTGCCTCAGTCTCTGCCTCAGTCTCTGCCTCAGTGTCTGCCTCAGTCTCTGCTTCAGTCTCTGCCTCAGTCTCTGCCTCAGTCTCTGCCTCAGTCTCTGCCTCAGTGTCTGCCTCAGTCTCTGCCTCAGTCTCTGCCTCAGTCTCTGCCTCAGTGTCTGCCTCAGTGTCTGCCTCAGTCTCTGCTTCAGTCTCTGCCTCAGTCTCTGCCCCAGTCTCTGCTGCGTTCACACTGAAAATCATTTCTTTTGTTTCAGTTTTGTTTATGAAACGGAGCACTTCAATGGAGTGGCAGAGCTGCTGGAGATCCTGGGCAGGTGAGAACTCTGACCTCTCAGATGGTAGCAACATGATGTGGAAGAGTTTATTTAATGATATAAACCTTATGGATTAGTATTGAAAATATTGAGTGTCACTATCACTCTCTCTGGTCTCTCTCTGGTCTCTCTCTGCTCTCTCTCTGCTCTCTCTCTGGCCGCTCTCGCTGGTCTACCTCTGGTCCCTCTGGTAGTTTTGTTTTACTAACAATGACAGAAGCTACTGAACACACAGTAGTGTAGGTGGTGTAGGGTCATCTACATGTACCTGTCTGACCTCTGTTACAGTATATTAAATGGCTTCGCTCTCTGACCTCTGTTACAGTATAATAAATGGCTTTGCTCTCTGACCTCTGTTGCAGTATAAAAAATGGCTTCGCTCTCTGACCTCTGACCTCTGTTGCAGTATAATAAATGGCTTCGCTCTCCCGCTCAAAGCTGAACACAAACAGTTTCTCGTCAAAGTGTTGATTCCACTGCACACAGTGAGGAGCCTGTCCCTCTTCCACGCACAGGTCAGTCCTTTTAACATACATTACTACAGTCTCTGCCTCAAACGCTGGCTTTTTAGTTTCGCTTCAGTCTCTGCTTCAGTCTCTGCCTCAGTCTCACACAGACTAAATTTCCTGTCTCTCTCCGCAGTTGGCGTATTGCATTGTACAGTTCCTAGAGAAAGACCCCACATTAACAGAGCCGGTGAGTGTCTCCAGCCTCTGTTACATCTTTAGATCAAAGAGAGGACCCTTCAATCTCCTCTCAGCCCAAAGAGACTCACAGGGTTAATTCTCACACAAACGATAACATGTTTAACTATTTTCTAAACTTGTGGATTGTCTTCTTTCAGGTGATTCGAGGGTTACTCAAGTTCTGGCCAAAGACATGCAGTCAAAAAGAGGTGAGAATGTTCCAGATGTCAGAGATTTATTATTGATGAATTCTTACTGATTACAACATGGAGCATGCATCAGTGGTGGACAGTGATGTCACCAGTGTTAGCCTTTAGCTAGCTGTAGCTGTTCTGATGGCTTTAGCTTGACTGTCTCTTTCTCAGGTCATGTACTTGGGGGAACTGGAGGAAATCCTGGACGTCATTGAACCTACACAGTTCGTCAAAATCCAGGAGCCGCTTTTCAAACAGATATCCAGATGTGTGTCCAGCCCACACTTTCAGGTAATATTACTACTACATCAGAGAGGGAGAGACCAGGGGAGTGAGAGTCCAGGGGCAGGTGGGAGTCCAGGGGCAGGTGGGAGTCCAGGGGCAGGTGGGAGTCCAGGGGCAGGTGGGAGTCCAGGGGCAGGTGGGAGTCCAGGGGAGTGAGAGTCCGGGGGGCAGGTGAGAGAGGGAGAGTCCGGGGGGCAGGTGAGAGAGGGAGAGTCCGAGGCCTCTCTGCTGTGTTTGGTCTCTGTGACGGAGCAGTTCCTCTGGTGACCTGCAGGTGGCGGAGAGAGCTCTTTACTACTGGAACAACGAGTACATCATGAGTTTGATCGAAGAAAACTCCAGCGTCATCCTGCCAATCATGTTCGCCAGCCTCTACCGCATCAGCAAGGAGCACTGGAACCCGTGAGTACAAGTCTATTGCTGCTTCTGCTACTGCTGCTGCTACATTGATGTTTAAGTCGGCCCCTGCCCTACATAACCCCCTTCTGTCTCTCAGAGCAATCGTGGCGCTGGTCTACAACGTCCTGAAAGCCTTTATGGAGATGAACAGTACTTTATTTGATGAACTCACAGCAACCTACAAATCAGACCGTCAACGGTGAGAACACTCTGGTCTCTCCCTTTCTGGTCTCCCTCTGGTCTCGCTCTCTGGTCTCTCTGGTCTCTCCCTTGTCTCTCTCTGGTCTCTGTCTCTGGTCTCCCTCAGGTCTCCCTCAGCTCTCTCTCTGGTCTCTCTCTGGTCTATCTCTGGTCTCTCTCTGGTCTCTCTCTGGTCTCTCTCTGGTCTCTCTCTGGTCTCTCTCTGGTCTCTCTCTGGTCTCTCTCTGGTCTCCCTCTGGTCTCTCTCTGGTCTCCCTCTGGTCTTTCTCAGGTCTCCCTCAGGTCTCCCTCAGGTCTCCCTCAGGTCTCTCTCTGGTCTCCCTCTGGTCCAGGGGTGCTCAATACGTCGATCGCGATCTACCAGTCGATCGCAAAGGTAGTATTGGTAGATCGCATTAAATAAATAAAAAATTACACATTCTAAACGAATATATACAAAAACTCCGGGCAAAGTGGAGATTTTTGAAAACTCCGTTAATGCATTTGTGTGTAGACAGAGATAACCAGAGTTTTGCGTTCTCGCACGCCACAGTACCCCCCTAAATTCCTCTGATCACTGAAGCATGGATCATACTACCTTAAAAACTGTTCGCTGTGAGATGCTCGCAGCAGCGAACATCCTCCACATCAGAGAGCAGCAAAGTGATCGCGGGGACTCACGCTCGAAAACAACCAAACCAGGACTAAACCAGGACTAAACCAGGACTAAACCAGGACTAAATCAGGGCTGAGGACGGGGTCAGTGCTTGTAAACATACGTCTTACTCTGAGTGTCTTCTATGACTGTAAAAGTGCCGTTACCGGCGTCTGCATCAAAGCTCCGCCCACTTCCGTGTTTTTCCCCAACGCGGGACAGAAATATTTGGATTTAAAAAACCAGGCATGGCACATGGACATGGCACCACAGTCAAATGACATCTGTGTTTTACTCAGTAATGTTTTACTGACACTTAGGTGACTGCACATGCGCAAACAACCGCGCTCAGTGCAGGAAAGCTAAACCACGACAAACTTGTCAGCGAGTTACCACCAATTTTCCAGACTCAGCATCCCTGGCCGATTCAATTCAGTGCAAGTCATAAGAGTAAACTCGGGTAATGACAAAAAATTTACATAGGTAATTGTGTTGTGTTGTGCTATATTGGCTCATGCGGTTTTGCAGGTACATAAACATACATTGTAGATATAAAGAATATTTTTTGAAATAAATATATGATTTGCATTTTTGTAGTAGGTAGATCATTTTGACTTGATCCTTTTATAAGTAGCTCACATGCTGAAAAAGTGTGAGCACCCCTGATCTGGTCTCTCTCTGGTCTCCCTCTGGTCTTTCTCAAGTCTCCCTCAGGTCTCCCTCAGGTCTCCCTCAGGTCTCCCTCTGGTCTCTCTCTGGTCTGCCTGTGGTCTCTCTCTAGTCTCTCTCTGGCCTCCCTCTGATCTCTCTCTGGTCTCTCTCTCTGGTGGAATTTTATGAGGAAATAAGTAACAGTAAAAAAAATGTTCCTAAACTCTTCTTCACTTTTTTGGATGTTCATAATGTAAACTTGAACTTGGTTTAAAGTTTACAATAGTAGCTTAACTCCTGTACCCCATCTCTGACCCCATCTTTAACCCCATCTTTAACCCCACCTCTGACCCCACCTCTGACCCCACCTCTGACCCCATCTTTAACCCCATCTTTAACCCCACCTCTGACCCCACCTCTGACCCCATCTTTGACCCCATCTTTGACCCCGTCTCTATCCATTGTTCATTTGTTATATTTATATTATAATAAATGAAATAGATGACCGCAAAACGGGTGTCACACAGTGTAAAATCTTTGGTCCAGCCACATAGAAAGCCCTGCCCATCTAGGTTTTAACCCCAGCTTTAACTCTCCTTTAATTCATCTTTAATTTAGCTCTAATCCAGCTCTAATCCAGCTCTAACTCCTGGTTTCTTGCAGTGAGAAGAAGAAGGAGAAGGAGCGCGAAGAGCTGTGGAAGAAACTCGAAGACCTGGAGCTGAAACGCGGCCTTCGAAGCGACGCCATTATTCCCACTTAACGAACCTTAAACCCCTCCCTCTTTCCTCCCGTCTCCACGACAACCACCGCCATTTTGTCTCCACCTCCACGAGAAAAAACCCGGGAGTCAGAAAAGCTGTTTTATTTTTGTTTTTTTTTCTTAATTATTTCTGATTTTTTTGTGTTTTGTGCGACTTTATTTACCGTAGGACACCACCTTTTTGTTAGCTATCATTATTTCAAAGTAAAAGCACTGTAAATATTGACTAAAGTCGCTGGAGGCGTCGCACAAGGCTTTTATTCTGAAATTTCAAACTGGATTTTCACAGTAAAAGCGTCGGCAGCGGCGCCTCCTGAGAGTTAGTTTGACACGGGACTATGACACCTCTCCCAGTCGCTGTAAATAAATATTTTTTCTGTTTTTGTTTTTTTTTTTTTTTTTTTTTCCCGTAAAAAGCTGATAATATTATTGCGAAAACAGAAATGACAATAATAAAAAAGAGATAAAAAAGTGGAATGGACTTTTGTGGGAAGAGGCTCTGGTTTGTTCACATTTAGTTTTACAAAAAGAAAGATTTAGATTATCATGTTCAGTGTTGAAATCGTCTTAAGCAACGTGGCACTTTAAAAAAAAAAAGACAGACAAACTCTACAGTGGAGACCAGACCAGAGAGAAAGAGAGCCCAGACCAGAGAGAGTGAGTGAGACGAGACCAGAGACAGAGTGAGACCAGAGTTGAGGGACCAGACCAGAGAGAGTGAGACCAGAGAGTGAGACCAGAGAGTGAGACCAGAGAGTGAGACCAGAGAGTGAGACCAGAGAGTGAGACCAGAGAGTGAGACCAGAGAGTGAGACCAGAGAGTGAGACCAGAGAGTGAGACCAGAGAGTGAGACCAGAGAGTGAGACCAGAGAGTGAGACCAGAGAGTGAGACCAGAGAGTGAGACCAGAGAGTGAGACCAGAGAGTGAGACCAGAGAGTGAGACCAGAGAGTGAGACCAGAGAGTGAGACCAGAGAGTGAGACCAGAGAGTGAGACCAGAGAGTGAGACCAGAGAGTGAGACCAGAGAGTGAGACCAGAGAGTGAGACCAGAGAGTGAGACCAGAGAGTGAGACCAGAGAGTGAGACCAGAGAGTGAGACCAGAGAGTGAGACCAGAGAGTGAGACCAGAGAGTGAGACCAGAGAGTGAGACCAGAGAGTGAGACCAGAGAGTGAGACCAGAGAGTGAGACCAGAGAGTGAGACCAGAGAGTGAGACCAGAGAGTGAGACCAGAGAGTGAGACCAGAGAGTGAGACCAGAGAGTGAGACCAGAGAGTGAGACCAGAGAGTGAGACCAGAGAGTGAGACCAGAGAGTGAGACCAGAGAGTGAGACCAGAGAGTGAGACCAGAGAGTGAGACCAGAGAGTGAGACCAGAGAGTGAGACCAGAGAGTGAGACCAGAGAGTGAGACCAGGGAGTGAGACCAGGGAGTGAGACCAGGGAGTGAGACCAGAGAGTGAGACCAGAGAGTGAGACCAGAGAGTGAGACCAGAGAGTGAGACCAGAGAGTGAGACCAGAGAGTGAGACCAGAGAGTGAGACCAGAGAGTGAGACCAGAGAGTGAGACCAGAGAGTGAGACCAGAGAGTGAGACCAGAGAGTGAGACCAGAGAGTGAGACCAGAGAGTGAGACCAGAGAGTGAGACCAGAGAGAGGGACCAGAACAGAGAGAGAGAGACCAGATCAGACCAGAGAGATTGAGACCAGACAGAAGTATTTTTCCGACTGTAACCCTTGTGCTCTCCTTGGGTCAAATGCACCACAGTGATTTAAGAAAAGCCTAAAATATTTTTTTGAGCTGAATTTTGAGGATTTCTCCAACTAGACTGTTTTTGACTCTTAGGATCTAAAAGGGTCTTGTTTTAATCACTGATGGATTTTTTTTGACCCAAGAGGAGCACAAGGTACAGGTAACATGTGATACTAGTGTTCTATGATGTTGGTGTGAAGAGCCGTTGGAGCGAGGGACCACTGAACTAAAGTTGGGTTTGAATCGTTTCATCAAATTAACGTCTTATTATGGAAGAGACGACTGTAAATTTAAAACAAATACATATAAATAAATAAAAACAATAAAATCTGTTTTTTTAAAAATTATTATTCGATTCACTTTTGTTGTGAATTTATTCAAACTTTTGCAACATTCAAAAATCCAAACTAATTTAGAATGGACATAATTTGAGTTATCTTAATTTGCTAATACAAAACCTGATAATTGAAGAATATAGAAGGATATATTTTTCTGGAAAAAAACATAATTGAACATATATTGAGCAAAGTTTAGTGACGGTAAAAAGGCAACTAATCCATCTTGGAATCATTAACTCGGATGTTTGGTTAAAGCTCAGGTCTAAATTTCAATATAAGAATAAAACCCAGAAACCTATTAAAGTCTGTCTGTAGTTGTGGCTCTAAAACCGTTTGTTTCTATCACTGGTTTCAGTGAGAGACAGAGACAGAAAAGTGAAAAGGTATAGTTTAAACCATATTTTCAAAACCATTCGTTCAAGTCTTTTCTGAAGTGATAAAACTAGTTTAAAATGTAAAATGTACATTTTCTCATAATTTAAAACTTAAGATCAGCAGGTAATGACCAAGTTGTAACTCTACTATGCCTGCACTGCAAGTCCGAAGGAGTAGGGCTGATTGCTTATAAAGCCTGCACACTACCGCCCCCTTGTGGCCTCGTACTGCCACATGTAAACTATACTATAATGTGCTATACTAAATATACTTTATTACAGAGTAACAACTGACCACAGAGACAGAGTTCCGGTTTAGCAGCATGTGTCTCACGTGTGTGAGTAGAAATCTTACTAGTATTAGTACGTAATAATAATAGTAGACTAATAGTTTAGAAAAATATAGTGGGATTGAATTGAGAATCCTCTGTATGAAGAAAAATACCGTAACAACTCGAGAGCGTGTGGAATTGTACAGAAACCAGAGAAATACGTGATTCTTGTGCTTTTTATTTGTTACAACAAACTCTGTACAAAAGGTGCTTTCAGTGTGACCGCACAGGACTCTGAGACTGGGTCCAGGTCGGGTCCAGACCCAATCTGGACCCAGTCTAGTCTCGGAGTCTGTGTGTGCTTCATTGATTCATGCAGCATTTAGAAACACGGAAGAAAGCTTCATGCAAAATGTTTAGAATCAAAACCAAACGAAGACAGAACTAGGTCTAAAACAGATCCAAACCAGATCTAAACTAGGTCTAAACTAGGTCTGAACTAGGTCTAAACCAAGTCAAAACCAGGACTGAACCAGGTCTAAACCAGGTCAAAACCAGGACTGAACCAGGTCTAAACCAGGTCCAAACCAGGACTGAACCAGGTCTAAACCAGGTCAAAACCAGGACTGAACCAGGTCTAAACCAGGTCCAAACCAGGACTGAACCGGGTCCTGGGTGGTTTGGGGATGTTATGATATGTTCAGGCACTTTAACTCATGCACCATTTAAAATATCAAATATAATCAAACATCATAAATATTTTCCTAAAAATATAAATATCAGTTGTATGTACAGGCCTCATGCGGAGCCCAGCGGACCTATAAACCATGTGGGCCAAGGTTCTATACATTTCAACTCTCTGGATTCTTTCTGGTCTCTCTCTGGTCTCTCTCTCTGGTCTCTCTGGAATCTCTCTGGTCTCTCTCTCTGGTCTCTCTCTCTGGTCTCTCTGGAATCTCTCTGGTCTCTCTCTCTGGTCTCTTTCTGGTCTCTCTCTCTGCAGTACCCTACCCCTCCAGCAAGCGGTGCCAGCGACACACCTGCTGGCCCCGCGCCTCCCTCATGTCTACCCAGTGGCTGTGCTCCTCTTCTCCGCTGCTGTTCTGCCCTAGAGACACCCAGCCCACCACCTCCTTCTTCTTCATGCTGCGACGGCAGAAGATCGACACGAGGAGAGTCACATCAGAGAGCTGGAACAACGCCACCTGCGGGGAGAGACGGGGAGAGGTTAGGGAAGAGAGGAGGGTGGAGAGGGGAGGAGGTTAGGGTGAGGGAGGAGAGATCAGAGGGGGGCAGACACAGGAGACTTGCCTCAGACCTGGTTACGTACCTGGAACACAAAAGTCTCCTTGTAGACCGGGTTTGGTTGTCCGCGTCGCACTGAGGTCTTACAGCGAGAGATCTCCTGCCCGACGGAGTTCAGCAGCGACAGGCGTCCGAACGTATCTGCACAGGGAAGTAGTGCTACACTTTAATCTGCACCATGGATCTATAATAACTGGATAGGGTATTACTAGCTTATAGCTGTCCCACCCATGGGCACAGGGGGCGCCCGTGGTACTGCAGACTAAATTCATGAGGGCTACCCAGAAAAAAGTCCAATAGAACTCAATGCAAACTAAAACAGCTCGACCTCAGCTGACAGAGAACTGACAGCTTTCATGAAGGTCGGATTTTGTGGGGAGTTTAGTGTCCCTAGTCATCCTGAACTTTTTTATTATTAAATAAGTTTTCTATAAATCCACACTTTGCAACAAACTGCTTGTTTTACTACCGCTACAGCTCTGATCCGCAGCACTGATTGGTCAGAATGCTGCCGTGCCCATGTGTGCACGAGTGTGAGAGCCACACACATGTGCTCGTCATTTGGTGCAAAGCATCATGGGAGGTTGTCCATTTGAAAATCCTGCCATCATTGATCACTGGGGCTTGATCTGAACCAGAAACTAGTGTCCTAATCTTGCTGGTACCTGGGGGTTGTCACGGGGTGGCAAGGAGGAGGACTCAAAATGCAGGAATGCCAAAATAATGCTTTAATGAAATAAAGTCCAAAGTGAAAATAAAACTCAAAATCCTAAATACAGAACAAGGAACACGAAATCAGAAACAGGACGGAACAGAAGTTGATAATACAATGGACCAGCAACAAGAGGAGAGGAGCACAGGGTAATTATAGACAGACAGGTGAAACACATTAGGGCGGGGCAGACAATCAAGACAGGGGAAACAGGGCGTCAAAGTCAAACTAAAACCAAAGCACAGAGAACAGAATATCAAAATAAAACTAAAGTCCAAAATAACAAAATCCACACCGTGACAGGGGTAGCTCTACTCTTGCTGGTACCTGGGGGTCTGCTGAGGGCCAGGTTCCTGAAGTGACTCCCCTTCACCAGCTCCACAGACAGTCGTCCTGTGGTGGCGTTGTAGGTCAGACCCAGCAGCAGCTCAGGAGCGCCACCATGGGTCAGAGACCATGTGGAGGACACATGGTCCGGAGAGAGAGACATCTGGGATCCAATACTCTGAGGAAGAACCATGTGTGTATGAGACCACAGAGGGACCAGAGAGAGAGAGAGAGAGACCGAGACCAGAGAGAGAGAGAGACCAGAGAGAGAGAGAGAGAGACCAGAGAGAGAGACCGAGACCAGAGAGAGAGAGAGACCAGAGAGAGAGAGACCAGAGAGAGGGAGAGACCAGAGAGAGGGAGAGACCAGAGAGAGAGAGAGACCAGAGAGAGAGAGACCAGAGAGAGGGAGAGACCAGAGAGAGAGAGAGACCAGAGAGAGAAAGACCAGAGAGAGGGACCAGCGAGGGAGGCCAGAGAGAGCGTGAGACCAGAGAGAGCGTGAGACCAGAGAGAGCGTGAGACCAGAGAGAGAGTGAGACCAGAGAGAGCGTGAGACCAGAGAGAGCGTGAGACCAGAGAGAGAGTGAGACCAGAGAGAGAGTGAGACCAGAGAGAGCGTGAGACCAGAGAGAGCGTGAGACCAGAGAGAGAGTGAGACCAGATAGAGAGTGAGACCAGAGAGAGAGTGAGACCAGAGAGAGCGTGAGACCAGAGAGAGAGTGAGACCAGAGAGAGAGTGAGACCAGATAGAGAGTGAGACCAGAGAGAGAGTGAGACCAGAGAGAGAGTGAGACCAGATAGAGAGACCGAGACCAGAGAGAGAGAGAGAGACCAGAGAGAGAGAGACCAGAGAGAGGGAGAGACCAGAGAGAGAGAGAGACCAGAGAGAGAGAGACCAGAGAGAGGGAGAGACCAGAGAGAGAGAGAGACCAGAGAGAGAAAGACCAGAGAGAGGGACCAGCGAGGGAGGCCAGAGAGAGCGTGAGACCAGAGAGAGCGTGAGACCAGAGAGAGCGTGAGACCAGAGAGAGAGTGAGACCAGAGAGAGCGTGAGACCAGAGAGAGCGTGAGACCAGAGAGAGAGTGAGACCAGAGAGAGAGTGAGACCAGAGAGAGAGACCACATGCATGCATTTTTGCTTTGTCACATCTCTAGCTTCTACAGACAGAAAAGTGAAAAAGAAAGAACCATCCCAACTCGGCTCTAAGCCCAAGGAATCAAATAGTGACTCACAGGGCTCTTTCTTACATAATATATTTTCTGATAAGATGAAGACACAGCATTTTGAGATTTGAACATTTTAGTCTCTGCCACAGTCTCTGCTTCAGTCTCTGCCTAAAGCCGCGTTCAGACCGGATCATGCGTTGCGTCGGCTTTCAATGGAAAGTCAATGGTGACGCACGTTCAAGCGTCAAAATGCACCAGCGTCTCGGAATGCATGCAGGGGCCGAAGTCGAATGGGAGAAGCAGGAGCGGAAAATCGACGCACGCAGGAGATGAATTTTGCTGAACCTTTCCTCGGGACGTTCGTGCAGCGACCAATCAGAGAGCTGCAAAGTGGTCACGGGGACATTGGTGGTCTGAGCGAGCAGACGGAACATACTGTAAACAGCCAAAACAGGAGATACATCAGGACTAAACCAGGACTAAACCAGGGTTGACAATAGGGGACATAGTGCTAGTTAACATGTGAGTTTTCATGCTCCCGTAACTTTATGCAACTGCTTCGAGTGTGTTTGCCGATGCGGAAGTACTGTTTAATAATAAAATAAACTTATTGCGCACCTCCGTGAACACATACTACTGTTATATAAAGTCTGTGGAAGGTCTCTGAACACAGACACGCTGCAAAGCTGCATTTTTGGAGAAGATCTGTACACAAGAAGCCGCTAGCTAAACTCTGTTAGCATCAAAGCTCGCCGGCTACTTCCGCCCAGTGGGGGCGGGTTTCGGCTCAAAAATGGCCAAAATGACGTGCGCTGACATGCTTGCACTACCACCCCGGGTCGATGGGGGTGGACCCAGAAGTAGAATTAGCCAATGCTAACATATAGCATTGGTAGACCTCTCAAAAACATCTTTACAGGATGGACCAAAAGTTGGCTCTTGGCCCAAAGCTTCGTTCCACATGTGTGTCAATGCTGAGGGGAGTGGATTTTTTTGGACCACTCTAGTTTACTCGCGGGGAATTTTTGAAATCTCTCGTTCAAATGAATGGAGCTCTCGCCGGCTGACGCATGCGCAGATGCGTTTTTTCACAATTTTCTTGTGGGCGGGACCACTCGCGGCCATTTTGGATTGCTCCAGTAGAGCACATTTTTTGGCCCATTAGTTAGAACGGCGGAGATAGGCGTGACTCTGTCCGTTAATATATACAGTATATGCTTCCGCCACTTCTGGCGCGCCAGGACCTCTGGTCTGAAGACCCCTGCGTCTGAAAACTAGAGAATGTGCGTTTCAGCGTTGCCGGTCTGAAAGCACCATTAGTCTCTGCCTCAGTCTCTGCCTCAGTCTCTGCCTCAGTCTCTGCCTCAGCCTCTGCCTCAGTCTCTGCCTCAGTCTCTGCCTCAGCCTCTGCCTCAGTCTCTGCCTCAGTCTTTGCCTCAGTCTTTGCCTCAGTCTCTGCCTCAGTCTCTGCCTCAGTCTCTGCCTCAGTCTCTGCCTCTGCCTCAGTCTCTGCCTCAGTCTCTGCCTCAGTCTCTGCCTCAGTCTCTGCCTCAGCCTCTGCCTCAGTCTCTGCCTCAGTCTCTGCCTCAGTCTTTGCCTCAGTCTCTGCCTCAGTCTCTGCCTCAGTCTCTGCCTCAGCCTCTGCCTCTGCCTCAGTCTCTGCCTCAGTCTCTGCCTCAGTCTTTGCCTCAATCTCTGCCTCAGTCTCTGCCTCAGTCTCTGCTTCAGATCTGTGTGTACGTATTCCAGTGGTCTCCCATCACTGCTGTAACCCGGTGCAGACCTGCTGAGCGTCAGTTGGTACCTGGATGTTGCTCCTGGGTTGCAGCAGCAGTGTGGTCTGCAGAGTGCCCCCCTGTGGCTGGAGCTGGGACAGTCTGAACAGCTTCTCCCCCATCATCCTCTCCCTCGACATCCTGCCCCCTACAGCATACAGCCGGAATCGCAGGGCAAAGGCATGGAGGTCGCTGGACTCCACATGACTGAACCTGTACATGGCACAGGTCTAGGTTATTGGTATAGCGCAAGTCACACACAAGGAGCCTCAAAGGTCTCCACACAAATAAAGAAATATCATAAATATCTTGCTCTGGTCTAAGATGTTTTAATCCTACTTAGACCTGTTTTAGTCCTACTTAGTCCTGCTTTAGTCATGCTCTAGACCTGCTTTAGACCTACTTTCGACCTGTTTTAGTCCTGCTTTAGTTAGTCATGCTCTAGACCTGCTTTAGACCTACTTTCGACCTGTTTTAGTCCTGCTTTAGACCTGCTTTAGACCTACTTTAGACTTGTTTTAGACTTGTTTAAGTCCTGCTTTAGACCTGCTTATACCTGTTTTAGTCCTGGTTTAGACCTACTTTAGACCTGTTTTAGACCTGTTTTAGACCTGTTTTAGACCTGTTTTAGACCTGTTTTAGACCTGTTTTAGACCTGTTTTAATCCTGCTTTAGACCTGCTTTAGACCTGTTTTAGACCTGTTTTAGACCTGTTTTAGACCTGCTTTAGACCTGTTTTAGACCTGTTTTAGACCTGTTTTAGACCTGTTTTAGACCTGCTTTAGACCTGTTTTAGACCTGTTTTAGACCTGTTTTAGACCTGTTTTAGACCTGTTTTAGACCTGCTTTAATCAATCAATCAATCAATCCTTGTTTTGTCTCACAGATGGAGAAATTCGTTAGACCTGAATGTCTGGTTGAACTCGGGCTGGTTTCCCCTCTGGACCGACGTCTTGTGTCTCTGCTTCTTCGAGGGCAGTAGGACCATGTGGATCTGCCAGGAGTCCATCCCAGACCGGCTCTTGTCTGGCAAATCTCTGACCCCCAGGACTGAGACCAAGACCCGCTCCTGCTCCGGGCTGTAGTCCAGGCTCAGCACCAGGTCTGCACACTTAAAGACGGGCGAGCGAGAGGAGGAGAGATCCAGGGGGATGTCCAGGGGATGGTCCAGGGGGTGGTCCAGGGGGAGGTCCAGGGCCGGAGGCTGCTCCTGCTTCAGGAGGGACAGAGACTGATTTGAACCACACCAAAGGCAAACACCTGTTTGTAGATATTTACACAGGACTGAAACCAACAGAGAAGAAAGAGGTCATTCTGTATCCACCTCAAGGTTCTACAGCCTCAAACTAAGGGACGTAACAACACACCACAACATTACAACTCTCTCATAAAATCCATGTTTCTTCCTGGTTTGTTCTATCACTGGTTTCAGAGAGTACACCAGAGAGAGAGGGAGCAGAGAGAGAGAAACCAGAGACTAGAGAGACACAAGAGACCAGCGAGAGACCAGAAATATATACAGCAGTGTCTCCCAATATATATATATATATATATATATATACCTCAGGGCTCCAGGTGGAGGAGCTCTCCTCGTCGGCCGCGGCCTGAGCCTTTAAGTCCTCGCTGCCGTCTGCTTCCTGCCGCAATGCGTTCAAACTAGTTTGCTTCAGGATGGTTTTGGACCGGCCTGGACTGGTTCTGGACTGGGTCTCATCAGCGGCTGCACCCAATGGGTCCTGAGTCTGCGACGCTGAGTCTGAGAGAGAAGAAGTCATGATTCACATGTGTTTAGAGCAGATGGGATCAGAACGTTTGTGGATTTCCACAAAACTGATGGATTTTAAAGTGGACATATCGTGTTTTCAAATAATTGATTTTTACATCTAAATCATTAATTTGTGGCCTATATAAAGCGTAACTGCAATGCCTGGGTCTGAGTCTCATTATTTGTAGCTCCATGGGCCTTTCTTCTACACCTGTTCTGAGGTGCGTCTGAGAGCAACCTGTTTTGGTGCTGTCTCTTTAAATGCAAATGAGGCGCTTTTGACCACCCCCCCATCCAGGTGACACAGGTTCAACTCCACCCCGAGCGGCCATTTTTGTAGTTTCTAAGCACAGATACAATTATCTCATAGAAACTTCTCATTACATCGCAAACATGAAGCAGGCCTTCCTCATTGACTGAAAGCAAATGTTAATTTTCATTCTTAGTCCAGTCTTATTATCGACTCTTCTCTTTTTAGCTTTGGGATCCATGCGCACAGTCAAGGCAAGGAAAGGCAAGTTTATTTATATAGCACAATTCATACACAAGGCAATTCAAAGTGCTGAACAAAATATTAAAGCATTAAAATCATAAATAATCACAGAACATTAAAAAGAAAGATAAAAATATAAAATCCCTCAGTTGTATGCACAACTAAACAGAACCGTCTTTAACCTGGTTTTAAACATTGTCAGAGAGGAGGCCTGTCTCACATCTTCAGGAAGACTGTTCCAGATTTTAGCAGCATGAATCTGAAAAGCAGCCTCCCCATGTTTAGTTCTGACTCTGGGCACTAACATGAGTCCAGTCCCTGTGCTCCTCAGAGTCCCAGCAGGAGTCCAGTCCCTGTGCTCCTCAGAGTCCAGGCTGGTTCGTATGGTACTAACATGTCACTAATATATTTTGGAGCGAGGCCATGGAGAGACTTGTACACAAGCAGAGCTCACATGCCGGTTTGTTTACAACAGCGGCCGCCTGGCGCGGGCCTACGTTGCAGGATAAGACGCACTACGTTGACAGAAATATTTAAATTGAATATTACTTATGCACAATTTTACAGCATTTAAAAACGTTAAGAACATTTTTCATTCTACAGAAGGAAAAAGACGCATGCACCTCCGGAGCCGCAGGTTGCCGACTCCTAGTTTATACAGTATGTGGAAGCAAATACTGTAGAGGATCAAGATATGTGCAGTTTCAACAACAAAATAAAATGCAATAGTCTACATTACAAGAGAGAATAAACATGTCTCAGAGTGAGGGAGGTGGACACAGACAAGACTATTGTTTGTTACAGGGATGAGAATTGGTCAAAAAAGACTGAAATGCATATCGTCAGCCATTTGCTGGCTCTAAATCTGTTTAATTTGTTCACAACATATTACTTTTGGGCTCAAACATGAACTTTTAATGCAATGCAAAATGTAGGTATCAGAGCTTTATTTAGGGTGTTTAATCGCGCTTCGAGAGGAGAGGGGAGACGCGGACTGTTTCCTGCAGCAGTGTATTTATTGGGTGCACAGATTACTCAAAGACACGCATGGTCCTGTGCGCGTTTATAGGGTTGGGTACATGGTCACGTTGAGGCTGCGCGCTCAGCCACAACACGGTGGAGCGGCTGCGAGCGGCTAGACGCTCACAGCCTCTCGCAGCCGCATTACAAAGCGGCCGCAGATGCATCAGAACACTGCGGCCGCTGAGGTGGCGGAATCCCGTTCGAGTACATAGAGCAGGTGCCCCGCGGACACGCGCGCCCCCTCGAACAATTCTCAACGGATTTACACTTCTCATAAACATGTGTTTTGTATGAGGCAGACAGACCGGCCCAAATATGGGCATCGGCCCTTTGGGCATTGCCCGGTACGCCCGATGGCCAGTCCAGCCCTGTCCGCTGGCATCCTTGAGCTTGGACTACAAATTCGAAGTGATGCACAGTAGAGGAGGGCTGGGCCGCAGGCCCGGGCTGGGCCTGGGCCGAAGTGTTTTGTTAGACGCCCATGCCCTTATATAGCAGTCCCGCTGCAAATACTGTGACGTAATAATTCTAAACACGTAATAGAGAATGGCAAAATCAGAACGGGTTGAAAAATCTTACCTAAACCGAATATGAAGTGTTCTCTGCAACCCATGAAGAGACTGATTTCAACTTTTTTGCACTTCTAGAGGCTCCAACTACACAACATAAGGCATTTAAGACACAAAAAGTGGATTTTTCATGATATGTCCCCTTTAAAGAATAAAAGTGAATGACAATAAGACTAAAGAGACTAAAACAAAATGCTTAGTTAGTTTTTGTCTATGTCACACTCGTCAAAACTATCTTTTGCTTTGGGATGACAATGTCCTGTGTCGCCATGGTTACTTTAGGCTGCAGTTCTACAGGTGTCAACCAGGTGGAGACAAGCTGAAGCAGCAGTATCCTCACCATGTCAGAGGGCTCGGAGCTGGCAAAACCCTGTCCTTACCTTCCATGTCAGAGGGCTCGGTGCAGGCCTCCTCGTGGTCCGACAGCCTGGAGAACCGGTGCCTCTTGTTCAAGGACTTTAGCGACTGCGGCTGAGATTGTGAGTGATCGTCAGCTCGCTCGTTTGACGCTTCGTTAGCTCTCTCGTTAGCTCGCTCGTTTGACGCTTCGTTAGCTCTCTCGTTAGCTCTCTCGGTAGCTCGCTCATTAGCGGCTGCGGAGGTGCTTCTGAAGCTCTGCGATCGGGACACAGAGATCTCAAACTGCTTGAGGATCTCTGCCTCACTGTCGGAGCTGGAGCCAAAGTCGTCGTCCTCTTCGCCAAAACTCTTCACTGTGAAAGTTCAGAAACCACAATAAAAGACATGAGAAACTGTGGAGAGAGCAGAGACACACAATACCATGTGTCCTTTTACTGTGAGGTTTCATACTTTAGAAAGACTCATGTGAACTGTTGTGATGTGAAAAACCAGATCATGATCCAACCAAGATAAGGCCAGTGGTGCATTCAAGATGAAATGTATGTAATAGGACGCATAAAGGCCACTGTGATGAAGAACACGGTCCCTCTGCACGTGTTTCACTGCTTTGTTTTGGTTTCTGGTCTCTCTATGGTCTCTCTCTGGTCCCTCACTTGTCTCTCTCTCCAGTCTCGCTCTAGTCTCTTTCGGGGATAATAAAAAACTGAACTTACGCTGATCTTCATCAGGAACAGAATCGCAGCAAAAACAGAATCCCATTTGGAGGAAACATCACCTGGTTGAACCAGGTCTGAACCAGGTCTAAACCAGGTCATAATGCAGCCCCTGGAGACTGGAACTTGTTTGCTAACTGTCAACAGAAGCCCCACCCACAGACTGCTCAAACACAGAACCAGAGAGAGACCAGAGAGAGACCAGAGAGAGACCAGAGAGAGACCAGAGAGAGACCAGAGAGAGACCAGAGAGAGACCAGAGAGAGACCAGAGAGAGACCAGAGAGAGACCAGAGAGAGACCAGAGAGAGGCCAGAGAGAGACCAGAGAGAGGCCAGAGAGAGACCAGAGAGAGACCAGAGAGAGACACCAGAGAGAGACCAGAGAGAGACCAGAGAGAGACCAGAGAGAGACCAGAGAGACACCAGAGAGACACCAGAGAGACACCAGAGAGACACCAGAGAGACACCAGAGAGAGACCAGAGAGAGACCAGAGAGACACCAGAGAGACACCAGAGAGACACCAGAGAGACACCAGAGAGACACCAGAGAGACATCAGAGAGACTACTCAGTCTTATATTATATTATATATCACATATTGTGCCCTCCTCCTGGCCTCCTCCTGGCCTCCTCCTGGCCTCCTCACCCAGAGTTCCTCGGCTCCTCCTCTTGCGTCTCTGACCTCGTGGCTCCAGACACGGCAGACCTCCCACCTCAGAGAAACACAGCTTCTTATGAATGAAGAGGAAGAGGAGCGCCAGGACCACGATGAAGACGCCCACCGCAGACAGGAAGCCCAGAGCCTCCGCAGGAACTGGCAACACCAAAGGACAGATGACCAGACAGTGACCGGACAGGACCAGCAGGCAGCCTCACAACACACAACCACACACAACACACACACGACACGCACACAACACCAAAGGACAGATGACCAGTGACCGGACAGGACCAGCAGGCAGCCTCACAACATACAACCACATAACAAACATCACACAACCATCAAACCAGTTGAACAACAACAAATAGACGAGGAGAGACCAGGGAAACTCATCAGAACAAACCGCTTAAGAAACAATTATGTCAAAATGTCTTTAGAACTGACTCACACTTGAGGATTAAACTCAACTCTAGAGTAGAGTCTAATCCTCTAGAGCAGTGTTTTTCAACCAGTGTGCCGTGGAACGTTAGTGTGCCTTGAGATGTTATTCTGTGTGCCTTGGGAAATGATCCAATATCATCTACTTGGTCAAAATAATGAGGAAAAAAAGAACTACAAGATTAGAAATACAACTTTGCACTTCTCTAATTTTCATTTCGATGATAATGACTTTGTTTCGGTAATAAAGGCTGCAGAATAACATCAGTTTCAGCTGGAGGTGTGCCATATGATTGTTTTAAGGAAAAAGGTGTGCCACGGCTCAAAAAGGTTGGGGAACACTGCTCTAGAGTAGAGTAGAGTAAAGTTGGAGCGCCCTCCCGTGGTGATTGTCGGTATCACATTGGCTCTGTGTTGTCTTTCTGAGTCCCATCCCCAAAACCAAGACTAGATCCAGATGAAAATTTTCTTTCAAAAGCACATCATCAAATTTTCCAGTTAGAAGTTTTGAAAAGTCCAAAACTAGAACGATAACAACGTAAAGCTGAGGTTGCTAACTTTAAAATAAATAACATAAGTCCAACAGAGAGGGTCAAATCAGACCACATCTCACACGTTATCATGTGTAGAACAAGCCCCTCTGGCTTCTCTCTGGTCTCAACGAAAGACTCTCTCTCTGGTCTGTCTCTCTGACAGAAAATACATATTTCCTGATGAAAAGAGCCAGATTGTTCACATGTGACTTTTAAGAACTACATATGTTCTATAGAAAACACAAAAGTTACACACCCCAGCTTTATGTAAGTGCAGAAAGACTCACTGTGGCCCTCAGTTTCTCCTCCAGTGTCCATCCTTATAATCGCATCAATCCAGAGTTTAAATTCAAGTTAAGTCCTGCTTCAGTCTCTGCTTCAGTCTCTGCTTCAGTCTCTGCTTCAGTCTCTGTCTCAGTCTCTGCCTCAGTCTCTGCCTCAGTCTCTGCTTCAGTCTCTGCTTCAGTCTCTGTCTCAGTCTCTGCCTCAGTCTCTGCTTCAGTCTCTGTCTCAGTCTCTGCCTCAGTCTCTGCCTCAGTCTCTGCCTCAGTCTCTGCCTCAGTCTCTGCTTCAGTCCCTTCCTCAGTCCCTGTCTGGATCTGGGCAGGTGTCTCTCCCGCTCTGTGGTTTTAGACTTCCCTGTTTGCAGAACTAAAGGCGTGGTTCTGCTGCTGTCGGAGCAAAGCCGGGGTTTGTCTTGGATCAAACAAGAAAAGCAAAGGAAGGAACAGGAGGAGCAACACAAGCTAAACAGACACTTCACTCCCATTGCCTAGAATCAGTCTGGTGCGTGTGAATGGCTGGTGGTCGTCGGAGCAGCCCATGGCACATACAGATTGCCTCACTTCCGTCAGTGTGCCCCAGGGCAGCTGTTGCTACAGTAGTAGTGTATAGTGAAAGAATAATGACGTGAAGCATCTTTGAGTGTCCAAAAAAGCGCAATATAAAAACTGATGCATTCATAGTGGAACACTTCTGGAAGTGTCTGATCTTTATCAGAAGTCATGAGGGACCTGTGGAGGGAGTGGTGGGGGGAGCATCATACTGTGGGGATGCTTTTCTTGAGCAGGGACATGGAAGAGTGTGGTGAATCATACTCTAAAAGCCTTCACAGTCGTCGTTGTGGTCTTTAAACAACGTGTGTGTGCGTGTGCGTGTGTGCGCGCGTGTGTCCGTGTGTGCGTGCGTGCGTGCGTGTGTGTCTGTGTGTGTCTGTGTGTGTGTGGCAACAGCGCTTTCTCTGCAGCACAGTTCGTGCGTCCGTCCTACAGTGCGCACCTCACCACTGTCCATTCCCTCCCTTAACGTTAATTAACGACGCTTTCTTCTGCACAGTGAACGCCAATAACCTGCTGCATCATGGTACTACACAGGCCTGTGTCTGGGGCGGAGGCGGCCGACAGAACAGACCACCTATCACGGTCGTGAGATTAATGGTGATAAAGTGTTGCTGAGGCGTGTGGAGCAGAGCGGAGCTGGTGGTACTCACTGTCCGTAGCCATGGCTGCTTTCGCGGCCGCAGAAAGACGCTGAGAGGCTGCGGAGCATCCTCTCACTGCGAGTGAGGAAGGAGGCCAGCAGAGGGCGCACCATATATATATACGTGTACCTTTAAAGCTGGGGGACGTAACTTTCATACCACAACAATAGACTGGTCTCTCTCTGGTCTCTCTCTGGTCTCTCTCTGGTCTCTCTCTGGTCTCTCTCTGGTCTCTCTCTGGTCTCTCTCTGGTCTCTCCTCTGGTCTCTCTCTGGTCTCTCTCTGGTCTCTCTCTGGTCTCTCTCTGGTCTCTCTCTGGTCTCTCTCTGGTCTCTCTCTGGTCTCTCTCTGGTCTCTCTCTGGTCTCTCTCTGGTCTCTCTCTGGTCTCTCTCTGGTCTCTCTCTGGTCTCTCTCTGGTCTCTCTCTGGTCTCTCTCTGGTCTCTCTCTGGTCTCTCTCTGGTCTCTCTCTGGTGAAATTATTACACAGAGAATTCTGCTAAAAACACGTTTTAATCTTGTGTTGACAGCAACACACGTCATTCACACGTTTCACAAAAATAAAAACAAAAACATTATTTATCCTTTGAAGCAATGGGACGTTCTGTTTCTTCAGATTTCCATTTGAATTTCTTGTAGCATCGCGGTGGTTTGTCTGCAACAGAGAGAACAGTTAATCTGACACAGCACACAACGGTCTCGCATCCCAGGACTGCCCCGCATCCCCTGCTTCATACAGTGGTACACACAGTGGTCTCGCGGACCACAACTGCCCAGCAATAGATACAGCGGCCTCCCCTCCCAGGACTGTCCCTACGTCACCTGCTTAACACAGCAGTACATACGTTTGTCAGCATGAGTCGTGAGGCGAGAGACCTGAGTTGAGGACGAAGCATCTTTCCATTTTTCCCCTGAAACAAAAGGATATTGAAGTATGAAGCCGAGGAGACTCAAAAGCTGAGACTAGCTAGGGTCTGGAACGGTAAAGCTGGGGTCTAAATCTTTAAAGCCGAGGGTCTGTTGTAGAGCCAGGAACTAGAGACATGGATTCTATTAAAGATTGCTCCTATTCTTTTTATATACAGTACATGTACAGGGACAGGAGTTGAAAATTAGCATTAGCTATACACTCTGTATGTGTCGCATCAGCTGCATTTTCATAATGTAACTATGTATGACTACATTGTCCCTGTCAAATAAATGAATAAATAAATAAAAAATGTTTGACCATAGAGAGACCAGAGAGAGAGACCAGAGACCAGTCACATCTTTAGAGCAGCTTTTTCAGAGAGAAAGGTGAAAAAGCGAGGACCACCCACAGCAAATCAGCTCTGAGCCCAAACAGTCAGATTATTTCTTACATAGAACATGTTACGTGTCCAGAGGACTGGAACAGGACTCACCGAAGACCTGCTTGTTCATGGTGACTTTGTACTTGAGAGTTTTTGGTCTGACTTTGTGAGAGCGTCTGGAGCTCTGCGTTGCAGACTCCAACTCCACTGCACGGTGGCGCCGAGACTTTGACGTCTGCAAAATGTTCAATAAAGTCTCAGGTGTTTGAATAGACTTCAGCGGTAGTAGTAGTAGTAGTCGTAGTAGAAAAAAACTCAAACGTGTTTATTAAACGTTTTAGTGTTAAATTATGCTTTTACTACTGTCACATAAAATAAAATTATTTGTTTGAATACACTGTCACATGTCGATAAAGTTCCTGTTTTTAAATCTCACCGCCGTGGTCTCTCCATAGGCACGAGATTTGATGGAGGCGAGAAGACCAGCTCGTTTGGAACTCTGAGGAAACACAACGGTAGAGTAGAATAAGGTAGGGAAGAGTACCTTAGTAGAGTGAATGAAGGCATCTGAATGGTGAGCACTTCTCTGTTGGGTTTCATTTAGCTAGCAGGTTAGCATTGAGCTAGCGGTTAAGCATTGAGCTAGCGGGTTAGCATAATCCATCTGTATATAGTACATTAGTCTGACCTCCTGTTTGTTGGACGGTCCCTCTCCGCTGTCCTTGTCTGGACTTGAGGCTGAAGCAGGAAACTAAAGACACAAGAACACAATGATCCACCCAGAGCTCTGACAGTAGACACTGCTCCCTCTCTGCCAGTCCCACACAGACTAGAGCAGTTAGTTTGAAAAGCCTTTGACCTTGTGTTGTTGCCAGGTGTAGTAGTCCAGGACGGTCCCAGTCAGGTTCTGGACTAGGTCGGCTTGAACCAGACTCAGACCAGACTCGGACTGAGGACACACAGAGGACTTCAGCGAGGAGTAGAGGTTGTGGACGTTTGACAACTCCTGATAAAATAAAAAGGAATATTCAACTCAATTTAAAGCTGCGGTACTGAAATATTGTCCCATTCAACTTATACATTTAAATAAAGAGTCTCAAAGCAAAATTTTGTAAAGAAACCATCTCATTAGAACCATGCATCTGTAGAGTAAGAAAGAGCCTTGTGAGTCACTATTTGATTCTTTGGGCTAAGAGCTGACTGGTCTCTCCCTCCCCTGGTCCCTCACCCAGTCCCTCACCCAGTCCCTCCCTGATCCTCACCTCCAGTAGGCTGTTGTTGATGAGGCTCTGAGGAGCAGAAGGTCTCTCCACAAAATCCTCAGTGACAGGACGGAGCTGCGGCTGCTTCCTGCGCTCGAACTGGAGCTGAGCACAGAAGAAGAGTGAGTCTGGTGCCGCTCTTCTGTGGCCCCAGGGCAGCTGTGGCGCCAGGGTGTGTGTGTGTGTGTGTGTGTGTACCTGTCGTGGCATGGCGGCGAATACAAAAGCCTTCTTGTGCAGAAGGGTTTTTAAAACATAAACCACATCATAGTGTTGAGAATCCACAGCATCTTTCTCTAAAGACTGCAGCTGCTGCCAGTCCTTCAGAGCCAGGCGGATCTGTGGGGGAGAAAGGGGGAGAGGGCGGAGAGAAAGAGCAGATATGAAAAAGAGAGGCGAGAGAAGGGGAGAGGAGAGAGGAGAGAAAGCTAAAGCAACAGGCCACTAAACAGTTTTGTTTGATGTCTCGCCTTTGTAAACAGACTTGGTTGCAAGGCGGGTCATTGGTTGCAAGCGGGGTCGTTCTGCCACACCAGCCTGTGTCTCTCAGTGTGAGGAAGAGGAGCCTCAGTAGGGCTTTAGTTCTTCTTCATGGAGGGTCTGACAGTGGAACAGTGTGTTCTGTGGGTACCTTCTCAGGGGGGGCGATGGTCTGTCGGTGGAACAGCGCGTACAGCAGGTAGAGCCCTCCCACTCGGATCTGAAAGGTAAATGGGGGAAGCAGGAAGACGTAGGCAGTGTCCAGAAGGATCCGTGTGAACAGACGATTCTCTTGTCTTGCCGCTCCACTGGAAAGAAAGAAAGACTGAAGTCTGAGACGACTGAGAGGCTGCTAACACGTTCCCATGTGGGTTAGGGTTCCCTACTTAGCACTTATCTAGCTGTTACATAGTGAGAACTAAACTAAAGTGTTACCGAATTCTTCAGTTAAAGCTTGGGTTACTATAAACATTCTTCCCATTGTTTTTGTCCAACAGAAATAGTCTTGTAAAAGTTAACTAGGACCAGCAGGACCAGGATCAGGACAAAGTCATGTACCACAGCTTTAATGACATTCGCAGTGTTCCAAGTGTGTGATGCTTGTGTCCTAATCACTCACTAGAAGATGTGTTCGAACTTGAGTTCCCTCCAGATGCTGCTGAAAGCCTCGAAGCGCACGGAATCTGTGGTTTGGAAGTGCCTCAGCAGCAGTTCGCAGTCCGCCTTCGCCCAGGCCTCGAACGGCTTCATCACTAAACCTAAACTTTTCAATCATTTACTACGTTCAGATCCCGCTGAAGCTGACGCCGTGACGCCAACATGAGGCTCTGAGGCGAATGAGCATATCTCCCTCCACAGGTCAGAGAATGCGGTTTAAAGTGAAGAACGTGATGTAAACAAACTCTAGCGGGCGCAGAGTTAGTGCGTCATCAGCGGTAGACAAAAACAGACTTATGTGTTGGATGTGTTATAATAGTTTTGTAACTGTTTTGTGAAGTAGTTTGAGTTGCCTTTTGTACGAACGGTGCATCTCCGTCTTCATGACAATAGTTTCCCACTTCAGGTACCACTGACATTATAAAACCCAGAGCAGTAAATTTGGTGGCTTTTCGTGTTAGAAGTGTAATTTCTTCGTTTATGTGTGTTTTTGGTCTTAGGTACTTTTTTTTTCTACAGACACTAAAGATAAGGTATCTGTTATTTTGTTTGTTTTTTCTGAACCCGGAAGTGCGCGGTCTCCATGTAAACACGCTGACGTGGAGCTTCCTCAACATCATCTCTATCCTCTCTCTGTATCTCTGTGTCCCTCTACATTGTCACTTTCCACAGAGCGACTAAATGATTGACATCTCCCTGATTCTGCAGCGGAGAGGATTTAAAAGTGTTTAGATAAAGTAGGACAGACCCAAAATGGCGGACGATGCTAACAAGCCGTTCGCAGGACTCGCAGATGTGTCCATATCCGAGGATATCGCGGTGGAAGGGGACATATCTGTGCCCGTGGGGAGCTCCAGGTGAGAGACAATACAGATTAATAAAGGTTTACAGACGAGGAGTTGATAGAACGGTTGTGCAGGTTGTGCCAATGGTAAGCTGCTAACATTAGCCCATAGACTAACAGTTACCTGCTCACGTCAGGGTAATATTTCATTTGTTGGAGATTTTAATTATTACAATGAACACGATTAGTTGACCAGAGGGAGGGAGTGTGTCTTTCAGTCTCTGACATGATGTTTCTGTCCCTCAGGGTGGATGAGGACATGTCGACTCTGGACGAGCCGGTGAAGGAGACAGTCCTTAGAGACCTTCGCGCTGTGGGGAAGAAGTTTGTGCACGTGTTGTACCCCAAGAAGAGCTCTGCTCTGCTGAGGGACTGGGACCTGTGGGGGCCCCTGCTCCTCTGTGTCACCCTGGCCCTGCTTCTGCAGGGAGGGGCTGTGGACCAGGGGGAACAGGGGGGGCCACAGTTTGCTGAGGTGAGAAGAGGGGTGGGGACTGAGGGAGGTCTCTCTGTAGCCTCCTCTCTCTCTATCTGTAGCCTCTCTCTCTAACCTCCTCCCCTCTCCATAACCTCTCCTCCTCTCTCCTCCTCAGGTCTTTGTCATCGTCTGGCTGGGTTCGGTGGTCATCACTCTGAACTCTCAGCTTCTGGGTGGGACCCTGTCCTTCTTCCAGAGCCTGTGTGTTCTGGGTTACTGTATCCTCCCTCTGACCTCCTCACTGCTTCTCTGTCGGATTCTGCTCCTCGTCGCCAACAACAACGCTGTGACGTTCTCAGTGCGCCTCCTGGTTGTGTGTGCCTCATTCGGCTGGTCCACCTTCGCCTCCACGGCTTTTCTCGCCGACAGCCAGCCTCCGAACCGCAGAGCTCTGGTGGTATACCCCGTCTTCCTCTTCTACTTTGTGATTGGGTGGATCATCCTCACCTTCTCACCATAGAAACAATTAAACCTGGTCTACACATGATTTAAAACCACTTCAGTTCAGCTATTTGTTCAATTCACTGCAACATTATACACACACTAACTAACAAACACTGTACACAGTGGACAATGCTAAAATAGACTGTACACCAGTGCAACATTCAGAAAATAAATCTGAACTCAAGTGGTTTTAAGTGACATAACTATCATTACTTTAACAGTGAGTCAGGTTTTCTGTCTTTCTGAATGACGGACGCAGACCTGAAGGGGGCGCTGTGTGGGCGATAAGTGTATATACCTAGTTATATAGGTCTGTGGCTTTTGACCAATACAACTCTGTCCTCATATTAGTCCAGTCTTAGCCTGAAGACCTGCTCAGTTGGAACAAAGACCTTTTGAGGACAGAGTTGAACGGTCTTCGGAATAAACTTGTGGAAAGGGTTAATGAATGTATTCAAGATGTGGTTTTCCTGCTTCTCTTCGACTAAGGCAATAAATGGACTTGAACCGAAGACCGGCACCACTGAAGTGATACTAATGCTAAAGGGCTGTTGTATTTTTGTACATTTTTGGGAGTTGAGTCAACTTTGTTGAATCATCATTAATTTATGAGATAAATAAAATGTGATAAATTTGACTGTGGTCACCTGGTCTATGTCTCCCTCCGAGCCTCATCACAATAACAGCAATGTTTTTTTTCTTTATTAATCTTACATTTTACCATTGGCTGCAGTTTTAACACTATCCCAGAGCAGTAAATTTGAGTATAGTAATTAGAAAGCATTGGATCAAATCAGAGATATTTAAATAACATGGTAACTACACAAAAAAACAATTACATTACACCTGTTATATGAAGTCAATTATTATTTAAAGCTGGACTAACTGACTTTGAAGCAGTTTTAAAGGTGAACAATGCGATGCCCTCGCTTTTTCTGCTCCCCTCCCCGCACTCATGAAGCTTTTGCCCCCCACTCATGCGCTTGATCGTGTACGTCTCTTGTTTTGGCCCAAAAACAAATGGAGATGTTGCAGGTATTTTTCGTTCCACATTGGATTGCATGCCCCAGTGCTAAAGTAGTCTTGTCCGCTTCACGGGTTCCTCTCTCCCGGTCCTTCAGACGCTTGACCTCTCTTCGTTCTGGTAGGGACTTTCTTTTGGACGGCTGTTACCGGTAACGAAGACACAGGAAGTTTCAGGTTCGCCTCCTGACCAGTGGGGGCGGGTCCCGGCACAAAAGGGGCCAAAATGACGAGCGCTGACATGCTTGCAATACCACCCCGGGCCGATGGGGGTGGACCCGGAATAAGAATTGGCTCTTCGTTCCAGATGTGTGTCAATGCTGTGGGGAGTGAATTTTTTTGGACCAGTCTAGTTTACTCGCTGTGAATTTTTGAAGGCACTTGTTAAATGAATGGGGCTCGTGCCGGCTGACCCATGCGCAGATGCGTTTTTCACATTTTCCAGCCCTCGCGGCCATTTTGAAACTGCCCATAGACCGTAGAAGTTGTGGCACATTAGTTAGAACGGTAGGTATGGATATGGATTTAATTTTCCAATTAAATACAAAAATAAAGTCAGGTAATCCAGGACAAAAGCAGGTTAATGCAGGAAAAAAGCAGGACTAACTTTCTTCTGCTCCACATAACAGCACAGTCAACGTCAGGAGAATCCAGGGAAGAATTGAAGCCATGGTTTTAAACTGGACTGGTCTCTCTCTTGCATCATACACTTTTGTAATATAAAGTATGAATTAAGGAAGTTACAGACATCATCGCACTCTTTTCATTCCATTCATATGCTGATCTCACTGCTGGGAACTTGTGATGAAACCTGACCCCAAAAATATGTTGCGTTTTCAAACTCTCTTCAAGTTCTTACTCCAAACAAAATGAGTCTCTATAAACCTACATGATTAAATATAATGTGGATCAGAAACATTACACTCACGAAATGCAAATATTTCTATTTCAGGAAACAGTTCAATATGTGTCTGTTCCAGAGTGAACCATGACGTGGTTTGTCACTCTCAGAATTATATTTACTGTTTCATCAGGAAACATGAGACATGACTTTAAGTTACAAAAAGTGTATGATGCAAGTGAGAGAGAGACCAGAGACAGAGACCAGCGAAAGACCAGAGACAGACCAGCAAGAGATACCAGAGAGCGTTCAGAGACAGAGAACAGAGACCAAAGAGAGAACAGTGACAGAGACCAGAGAAAGACCACAGAGAGACCAGAAAGATTTCAGAGATAGACACCGGAGAGAGACAAGAGAGATCAGAGATAGACACAGAGACCATAGAGAGACCAGAGAGTGACCAGAGAGACCAGAGAGAGTCAGCGGCAGAGCATTTAGCTGACAAGCTCTTTTACTGTGGAATCAGCGTCCCATCCATGTTAAGGAAGCAAACACAGTCTCTACATTCTAGGCCAGGCTTAAAACAGTACCCTTTAATTTAGCGTATGGTTAGGTAGGTAAGACTTAAAAACATACACAACCTGAAGTTTAAGAAACACAGATTGTCAGTCAAGCTGCATGGAGTCACTGGAGTCAGAAGTATGGTAACTTGAGCCCTATCCTCTCCTCCTTCCTACTTTACCTGTCATCGTTATGACTTCGACTATAGTCTGTTCATTGCTATTTACCGCTGTCCCCATTGTCTGTTTCATGGCTGTAGCTTGAGTCCTGGATCTTTAGCCTGTCCGTCCATGGGAGTGCATCCCTCCCTCAGCCATGTTTCACATCACAGCATGGCTGAAGCACTGCTGCCTACACTTATTACAGATGTGCCTGATGTTCATGTTTCAGGTAAAAGGCTGCAGAGTGTATCCCAGTACAAATCTTTTGGTGTAATTCTGGACTCAAATCTGTCATTCAAACCTCATGTGATCGCATTAAGTTCACTCTCAGCAACTTCAGACACATCCGGCACCAAATGTCAATACAAGCAGCAAAAACTCAATGATCCTTTCACATCTAACCTACTGTTTAACTGTCTGGTCACATGCTAATGTCACAACTCTCAAACCCATCCTGTCCCTCTGGACCGCAAACCACTCTCACATCATCATTGTCCACTATTACAAAAGCACACTTACTCACACAGTTCATTCACATATTCACATGAGTACAGCAGGAGGACCAGAGCAGCAGCATCATCTGCATCATCCTTCTGGGAAAAAGCAATCCACATTTTCTGTCAAAGCTGCCCATGAATGGAATCTCACCCCCACAACAATTACAAACATGTGACTTATTCAAAATACAGTATGAAAAAAGTGAAAATCAAAGCTGTCAGCACTAACTCATCACCTCTCGCTGCCCCCTGCTGGCCTCTTGTTCTTCGTCTGTCTGACTTGTCTTTATTGTTGTTGAGTATGTAACAGTTTTCATGTATATCATGTTTGATTTGTCTTATTGAAGGTATTGTTTGCATATATTTTACCTTTATCTGATTGTGTTATGTGTAATTTCATTCTCTTCAGGAGGACACATAACAACTGTCCTGGGACTACAGATGGAAAATAGCCCTTAGGCAAAATATAGCATATTTACCCTTTAATAAATCAATAACATGAATAAAACCAGTGTTGGCCTCTCAAAGGTTTCTCACTTTTCCCACTGAGTTTAGAGCTTTTCCTTGCCAATGCAGTGTTAGACAGGGACAACACTGGGCCTTACTCAAGAGACCAGAGAGAGAGCAGATAGAGGCCAGAGACAGAAACCGGAGATTGAGCATAGAGATCCGACCAGAGAGAGATCACAGAGATATTCACACAGAACCAGCGCTCCTGTCCGTCGCCCGTTTCCTCTTTTTTTGTGGGATCTCTGTTTCAACTGCACATTGCAAATTTAGCTTTTTCAGACTTCAAACATTCACTGAGTCACAGGAAGTCATATGAGACGTTCATAGAAGTGGGGAAGTGAACACAAACATAGTCATGATACTCATCAGTAAAGGAAGCATCATGTTGTAGACTACAACCTTACTCAGGAGCAGGACCAGGACTACACTAGGCCTTACTCATGAGCAGGACCAGGAATACACTAGGCCTTACTCATGAGCAGGACCAGGAATACACTAGGCCTTACTCAGGAGCAGGACCAGGACTACACTAGGCCTTACTCATGAGCAGGACCAGGAATACACTAGGCCTTACTCATGAGCAGGACCAGGAATACACTAGGCCTTACTCATGAGCAGGACCAGGAATACACTAGGCCTTACTCAGGAGCAGGACCAGGACTACACTAGGCCTTACTCAAGCGCAGGACCAGAACGACACTGGGCCTTACTCAAGAGCAGGACCAGGACTACACTAGGCCTTACTCAAGCGCAGGACCAGAACGACACTGGGCCTTACTCAAGAGCAGGACCAGGACTACACTAGGCCTTACTCAAGCGCAGGACCAGAACGACACTGGGCCTTCCTCATGAGCAGGACAAGGACTACACTAGGCCTTCCTCATGAGCAGGACTAGGACTACACTAGGCCTTACTCAGGAGCAGGACCAGGACTACACTAGGCCTTACTCAGGAGCAGGACTAGGACTACACTAGGCCTTACTCAGGAGCAGGACCAGGACTACACTAGGCCTTACTCATGAGCAGGACCAGGAATACACTAGGCCTTACTCAGGAGCAGGACCAGGACTACACTAGGCCTTACTCAGGAGCAGGACCAGGACTACACTAGGCCTTACTCATGAGCAGGACCAGGACTACACTAGGCCTTACTCAAGAGCAGGACCAGGACTACACTAGGCCTTACTCAAGCGCAGGACCAGAACGACACTGGGCCTTACTCAAGAGCAGGACCAGGACTACACTAGGCCTTACTCAAGCGCAGGACCAGAACGACACTGGGCCTTCCTCATGAGCAGGACAAGGACTACACTAGGCCTTCCTCATGAGCAGGACTAGGACTACACTAGGCCTTACTCATGAGCAGGACCAGGACTACACTAGGCCTTACTCATGAGCAGGACTAGGACTACACTAGGCCTTACTCAGGAGCAGGACCAGGACTACACTAGGCCTTACTCATGAGCAGGACCAGGACTACACTAGGCCTTACTCATGACCAGGACCAGGACTACACTAGGCCTTACTCAGGAGCAAGACCAGGACTACACTAGGCCTTGCTCATGAGCAGGACCAGGACTACACTAGGCCTTACTCATGAGCAGGACCAGGACTACACTAGGCCTTACTCATGAGCAGGACCAGGACTACACTAGGCCTTGCTCATGAGCAGGACCAGGACTACACTAGGCCTTACTCATGAGCAGGACTAGGACTACACTAGCCTTACTCAGGAGCAAGACCAGGACTACACTAGGCCTTGCTCATGAGCAGGACCAGGACTACACTAGGCCTTACTCATGAGCAGGACCAGGACTACACTAGGCCTTACTCAGGAGCAGGACCAGGACTACACTAGGCCTTGCTCATGAGCAGGACCAGGACTACACTAGGCCTTACTCATGAGCAGGACTAGGACTACACTAGCCTTACTCAGGAGCAAGGCCAGGACTACACTAGGCCTTACACAGGAGCAGGACCAGGACTACACTAGGTCTTACTCAAGAGCAGGACCAGAACTACACTAGGCCTTACTCATGAGCAGGACCAGGACTACACTAGGCCTTACTCAGGAGCAAGACCAGGACTACACTAGGCCTTACTCAAGAGCAGGACCAGGACTACACTAGGCCTTAAGGGGCGTTCACACCGGACTTAACTTCGGCGTCAAAAGCGTCAGGTTTCCATTGAAAGTGAATGGTGAAGCGCGTCAGGTGAAGCCGAGAGCCCCGGCGTCACTTGACGCGCGTCAAAAGCTTCAAGACTCGCGCGTACTACGCGCTCACTTGAAGCTTTTGACGCGCGAAACGCTCGCGTATCACAACAATCCCTTTGACGCCGAAGCTGAGCAAAGCTGAGCTTTTGACGCGGGCTTCAACCAATCAGGAGACGAGGAGCAGCAGCAGCAGAGGGTCTGTCTCTGTCATGAAGAGAAGTCATGTATCTGCTGCTGCTGTTTTATTGTCATTATTGTTATTAGTAATATTATTTGTATGAGTAGTAAAATTCTGAGTAACAAAAATCATTGTACACATGCTGTGTAGTAAACATAGTTTATTTAAAATAAGAACAGGCTGACGATGAGTCTGGCTCAGAGCAAGGCCGCTCCGGGCGAGCGAGAGCCGGGGAGAGGCAGGGAGAGGCAGGGAGAGGCAGGGAGAGGCAGGGAGAGGCAGGGAGAGGCAGGGAGAGGCGAGCGAGAGCCGGGGAGAGGCAGGGAGAGGCAGGGAGAGGCGAGAGCGAGGCAGGGAGAGGCGGGGAGAGGCGAGCTCCGGGGTTTGAGAACTCAGACTGGGCGAGTGACATGCGGAAGTACCGCTGAAAGCGAAACTCCTCCGTACGCAGCTCCAGGAGTAAATGACGGAACTCTGCAAACACTGCAGCCTCTCAAGTCTGTGGTGAACCCAGAACATGTTTTGTTGAAGCCCTACAACAACGTTATTTTGCTTTATATAACAAATAAAGGCTCGCTGCTCATTGAAAAATCCACCGCTGTTCTGACTACAGACAACAGAGAAGCTCCTCCCACCGGCGTCAGGCGCGTCACTCGCGTCAAAAGCTTCAAGCACCAAAAGGACAAAACTATACAGGTGTAACGCCGAGATACACTTCCTTGAAGAGATGCACTTCCCCAGCTGTTTATGATGTAATGCAAAACTGCGCATGCGCGTCTCACGGCAACCGAAGCATACCAAGATGGCGGACCGTGAATTGCTTTAAAAGTTGAAATACGAACGAATTAAGACACGAATGTCACTTTTAATGCAATTTGAGGCGAGATGTTGATGGTTCCGTTTTGTCACATGTGGGTTTTAAGAGTCAAAGTTTCGTGCAAAGTTTAGTTTAAGCAGTCAACTGCGCCTGTGAAACCACAAAGCTAATGTTTTCATAGCAGTCCGCGGCTGCTGACGTAGGCTGCTGACGTGTCCTGTGGCAACTCTACACTGGTCTGTCGGGTTGATAATGGAAATAATAAATTTCATTCAATACATGTATCGTACTGTATTTAATATGATTAACAATAGTGTGTTCAAACAAAATATTTAATTAGATTGATTTTTTTCCCCATTTTCCATTATCAACCCGACAGACCAGTGTAGAGTGGCCACAGGACGCGTCATCAGCCTACGTCAGCAGCCGCGGACTGCTATGAAAACATTAGCTTTGTGGTTTCACAGGCGCAGTTGACTGCTTAAACTAAACTTTGCACGAAACTTTGACTCTTAAAACCCACATGTGACAAAACGGAACCATCAACATCTCGCCTCAAATTGCATTAAAAGTGACCTTCGTGTCTTAATTCGTTCGTATTTCAACTTTTAAAGCAATTCACGGTCCGCCATCTTGGTATGCTTCGGTTGCCGTGAGACGCGCATGCGCAGGTTTGCATTACATCATAAACAGCTGGGGAAGTGCATCTCTTCAAGGAAGTGTATCTCGGCGTTACACCGGCGTCAGTTGAAGCGCGTCAAAAGCTTTTTGAAGCTTTTGGTCTGAACGCGCCTTTACTCAAGAGCAGGATCAGGACTACACTAGGCCTTACTCAAGAGCAGAACTTGACAGGGTTTCACTGCAGACACCACTTCATGTTATGTATGCAGCTATAATATGGTCAGATCAGTCTTCCTGAAAATGTGAGACAGGCTTCTACTGTCAATGATCAAATAATTTCTGTTTTGCTGTGCATACAACCGCGGGGTAATTTTCTATGATTTTAATGCCATGTATGATTGTTTCTGTCTTGTTTTGTTCATTACCTTGAGTTGCCTTGTGTGTGAACTGTGCTATACAAAACACCAAGAATAAAAAGAGAAATTAGCTCCAAACTAAGACTTGAATCTGACTTTTGGCACTCACCATAGTCACCATGAGAGATTTTTCAGGTGTTCAATGCTCCACCACAATGGGCTGTGGTGATGTCACATAAACACAAAAACAGATGAATACAGAACACCATGACGTCACTGACCATTAGTGCTGAGAGTAAGAAAGGGTGGGAGGTTCATTCCCAAACTCACAGTCTACAATTAGAAGTTGGATTCCACACAGTCAGTGTGATGTCACATACTTTCTCTTTTCACATCAATATAACATCCAGACCAGACAGTCCAGAGGACCCAAGAGACAAAAGACCAAAGAAACCAGAGCTGAGACCAAAGACCAAAGAGCAGTCCTGAGTAGAGATGGCTTCACTTCTTCCATGGGTCGTCCTGATGTTTGCTGTGATGCTTTCTGCAGCACAAGGTGAAACTCAAAACTCATTCTATGTATTTTGGCATAACACAAGAGCAGTCGTTTCAAAGACAGTGAATCCAGGACTGGGGCTGTAGATCCAGGACTGGGGCTGTAGATCCAGGACTGAGGCTGTAGACCCAGCACTGATTCGCTTGTGTTTTCAGGTCAGTGGCCGGTCCAGAGAGTCTGCTTCTGCTCCCAAAACCTGATCCAACGGCACAAATCTTTAGGAGCAATTCCTCTAGAAGCAAAGTGTTTTGAGGAAAATCCCCCGAACTGTTCCATCCACGCATTCAAGTAAGTGACCTGCTTTAGTCTCTGCTTTAGACCTGGTTCAGTCTATGCTTTAGGCTGTGGTCACAAACACAACTTAAAGCCCAGGTAAAGTGGGCCTAGGCCCAGAACCCGAGCTTTAGGTGCTGTGTGACCGCGGCAACTGGGCTGGCACGGTAGTCTCTCAACAGTGCTTTAGACCTAGATTAGACCTGGTTTAAGAACTACAGGTTTTGTTCTATTAATCCATCTTTTCATTTCAGGATCCAAGGGTTAAAGAATACAAATAAGAAACTATGCTTCAAACCTGAAGCTTCACAGATACGTACATTTACCAAAGTGAGTATAAGAATAAGTCCTGGTTTGACTGTCTGGGCCTGGTCCTGGTCTGACTCTCTGGTCTTTCCACAGGCTGGAGGAGTGTGTCGTCCGTCGGTGACGTCTGTTTAAACAAAAACACTCCACAGCTATCCCAATAATTATATTTATTCTTTAATGAATATTTATTCATTCATAATATTTTATTTATCTATGGCACTATGTCCGCATTGACTGTATATGTGGTGATTGATGAATGTAAATCCAGATATGAGCCATATAAGGATTGACCAACTCCAGCTGTTTATGTTCAAATTGCATTAAGGCTAATGCTGTGGTGATGTCACACTCAGTCCACTCCTCAGTCCATGATTATGATGTTCTGATATTTCATGTTGTCTCTAAATAAATAACTATGAAAAACCTTGCAGTACTTGAATGTTTCGCTTTCCACTAACCTGCTGTCTCAATGGAGCCTAACAGGGCTCGTGATGAAGTTTGGCTCCTATTGACTTACTAAACTCCTACAATAGAAAACGCCCATAGAAGAAATTTGGCTGCAGCTAGCTTATGTTCACATCATCCTTTAGGCTAACAGTCCACTACTATATGGTCTGTGGTCACGATCACCTTTTTCTGGTTCTCAGTGAAGCTAGAACGGAGCGTGTCCCTGTGGTCAGAAAATCAGACTCCCTCTGGTCCCTGTGGTCCCCAAACCACACTCCCTCTGGTATGTGGTCCCCAAACCAGGCTTCCTGTGGTCCCTACTAGGGTGTGCAACTTTCACACTACAACAACAGAACATAAAATCTAAAAATGTCAATCATTTCAATTTGACATAAATGGCCAATGTCAGCATGGATGGAGCCAAACACAGCTCCAGGACTGCTTCCTCTGAAGACGTTTCAAAGTATTTCAACTTTTGGGGAAATTTTGGAGTGAAAATAGTTGCAACTCTGAGAAGTGTCTGAGGAGGAAACCGAAAGACAATCATGAAGATGTGTCATCATAAACTGAGGCTAAGATCTGCGAACGTACAGCATGAATGAACGTTCAAGTTTTATCTTGAGTCTCTGTTAAAGCTGAGGTATGTAACGTTAGCCTCAAATATCACACGGTTGAACAGAAAGAGTCTTAAAGTAAAAGGCTGTGAACATGCAGACCACAACATGCTGTCTTTGTTTGAATAGAAAAGTTTGTCCAGTTACTCAGAGGGCTGGCCTCTGTCTGCTTTTATTTCAACAAGACTTGACTATTGCAACTCTGTTTTTACCTGCTTGAATAAGTCTGCACTCAACCAACTTCAAATTGTTCAAAATTCTGCTGCTAGACTTTTAACAGGTGCCCCTCAAAGGTCCCATATCACTCCTGTTCTGTCTGTTCTTCATTGGCTCCCAGTAAAATTCAGGATTGATTTTAAGATTTTAGTGCTGACCTTCAGAGCCTTAAATGGTCAGGCCCCCCAGTACATCCTGAACCTTTTGAGCCTGTACTCCTCTGGCCGCACTCTCCGGTCCTCTGGTCCCCAAAACCCATTATAAGACTCGAGGGGACCTGTCTTTTCAGTCTGTTGCCCCCAGACTGTGGAACGCCCTTCCCCTGTCCCTACGTCTGGCCGACTCTGTGGACTCTTTTAAAAAAGGCTTGAAGACTTTTTTATTTAAGAAAGCTTTTAGTTGATTGGGTTCTCACGTACATGTGTGTAAATGTATTTTATATTGTTTCGTCTATGTCCACTGTCCTGTACAGCACTTTGTGATTCTTATCTGTGAAAAGCGCTTTATAAATAAACTTTACTTACTTACTTACTGTCTGGTCTCTCTCTGGTCTTTCTGGTCTCTTTCTCTGGTCCCTCTATCTCTGACCTCTCTCTGGTCTCTCTCTGGTCTCTCTCTGACCTCTCTCTGGTCTCTCTCTGACCTCTCTCTGGTCTCTCTCTGGTCTCTCTCTGGTCTCTCTCTGGTCTCTCTCTGGTCTCTCTCTGGTCTCTCTCTGGTCTCTCTCTCTGGTCCCTCTATCTCTGACCTCTCTCTGGTCTCTCTCTCTCTTGATTCTCTCTCTGGTTTCTCTCTCTGGTCCCTCTCTGGTCTCTCTCTGGTCTCTCACTGGTCTTTCACTGGTCTTTCTCTCAGACTACTAATTCTCAATCAGGATGTTATCACATTTCAAAACATTTATAGTAAATGTTTATAGTATATAAATAATATAGTTTCTATAGTTAAGTATAGTATACATTGTTTAGTTTATTTAGTTCAGTAAATATAGTATAGTGAGTATACATTGTCCAGTATGACACATGTTCTCATGCTCTCAGACTCATGCCCATCTGAGTCTCTGTGGTTTCACTGAAGTCCAAAGTGCCGGGATTGTGACTCACACCATGTGACTGAGGCAGCTGTGGCTTCGTGGGACAATCATTTCACCACAACCATATACTCCCACTGATATTTGCTGTTGTTGTGTCCTTGGGCAAGACACTTAACCCTACTTTGCCTATTTGTAGCCGTACTTGCATGCAAAAGCCAGATCCCGTCAGACCTCTGAAGCTGTGCAGGGCTTGGTTACCCACAGCGGTTGCGGCTGTAAAGTTCCAAACTGCCGTTGTGTCCTTAGGCAAGACACTTCACCCATATTGCTATAGAATTAGTCTGGTGTGTGTGTGTGAATGGTTGGTGGTGGTTGGAGCGGCCAATGACACATACTGGTTGCCTCGCTTCTGTCAGTGTGCCCCAGGGCAGCTGTGGCTACTGTAGTAGTTTATCACCGCCATGTATGGAGTGAAAGAATAATGACATGTGAAGCGTCTTTGAGTGTCCAAACAAGGACACTTTTTGAGTATCATTTTACTTTAAGTTTGGTCAAGTTTTCTAAATATATTTCCAGTGACTGGATCAGTTCAAGGCCTGGGTTTCTCTTTTACCGGTTTTTGTCCCGTCAGTCTTGTGTCAGGGAGAGTTCTTCAGAATCAAAAGTTGTGAAAGTTTTCTCCAAAAGGCCGATGAGTGAATGGAAACCCCTGGACGGATGTGACTGTGTCGTTGCCTCAGAGGAAGTGAGAATTCCTCTTTTTTTTGGATAAAACCCTGCACTCATCTGCACTCACTCATTCACTCGCTTCAAACGCCTTTATTTATTTTATTTATTATAATCTAATTGTCAACGCTGAACCTGCACCGGCCATGTCTTTCCTCTGTGTGAAGTCTCTGCTGCTCATGAGCGCGCTGCTACTGGCCGTGTCTTACTGTGAATCCTCTGTCGGTAAGTGACTCTTTAAAGCTCAGGTACCTAACTTTCAAACCACAAAACAGATCTGTGTAGTAAAGTCCATGTAGCTCTACAACAGTTTGATCTATCATTAGTTTTTGTGTGTTTTATATCTTTAGATTGGCCTTTTCAGACAGAAAAGTGAAAAAGAGAGGATCACCATCACTCTTCCAATCAGCTCTCAGCCCAAAGAGTCAAATGGTGACTCATAGAGCTGTCTTAGACCAAAGACAAAATGTTTTCTAAATACATTTTCTTTCAACATTTACAAACAAAATATATTTTTGATAATACAACTGTAGGAACCTTAGTTTTAAAGGAGACATTCTGCAAAAATTGTATCTCATTAGTCACAGACCTGGAGTTGTTTTTAAATCCATCCACGCTGATATCAGAAACTTCTGGCACAAACACGTAGCTTCGCCCCTTCTGTCTCAAAGTCTTAGTCCTTTAAAAGTGTGATGTCACCGCACTCACAGTTCTTCTCTTGTGATTTCTTGTAGAGAAGTTGTCGAGCTGTTGTCGAGCTGTGAGTCCACTGAAAATTAATCAAAAAATCATCAACATCATCCCACAGCGGCCATTTGGAGAGTGTGTCCCTGCTTTCATGTGAGTATGATGACTACTACTACTACAACTACTACTACTCCTACTACTACTTCTTCTACTACTACTACTACTACTACTAATGGCACTTTTGTCTCGTTCCAGTGTCCAGACAGAGACCAGTCTTTTCTGTGTGAGTCCTACTGCACGCTGGGCCCGAGCCGAGGTGCAGAGAATGTAAGTCGCTTCCATTTCCATCCATCCATCCATTTTCTTCCGCTTCACCTGTTGCCGGGTCGCTAAGGCAGCAGCCTAAGCAGAAACGCCCAGACTTCCCTATCCACACACACTTCCTCCAGCTCGTCCATGGGGTCCCCAAGGCATTCCCAGGCCAGCTGAGAGACATAGTCCCTCCAGCGTGTCCTGGTCTTCCCCAAGGTCTCCTCCCGGTGGGACATGCCCAGAGCACCTCCCCAGGGAGGCGTTCAGGAGGCATCCGGAACAGTTGCCCGAGCCACCTCCACTGGTTCCTCTCGACTTGCAGAAGCAGTTGCTCTACTCCGAGCTCCTTTCGTGTGACTGAGCTCCTCACCCTATCTCTAAGGGAATGCCCAGCCACTCTGCGGAGGAGGCTCATTTCGACCGCTTGTATCCGCGATCAAGAGAGGGCAAGACACCTTTTTCCGGTCGAGCACCATGGCCCCTGCCTTCGACTGCTGCCCAGTCCTCTCAGCACCGATTCCCCATGGATCCCTCTGCGGGTGGTGAGCTCTCAGGAGGGCTGGCCCCCGTCGTCCTTTAGGGCTGAGCCGGTTGCTCAGGTCTAGTGGCCGCTAAGGCCCGGCCACCAGACGCTCGCTTGAAGCCCCAACCCCAGGCTGCGCTATACCGGGCGATGTAACCGTTGTCGTGCTGTCCATGGTGGCTTCAGACTGCGCTTTGTCTGACTCGTCACCCAAGAACTTTTTGCCATGGGAACCTCCCCCTCTCAGAACGCTCTGTATAGAATCTAACCCATCTGTAACCTCATCACAACACTACGTTCTGGCTCTAAAAAAAGTCTGCTTCTATCACTAGTTTTCACATCATGTTTTTCTCATGCCCAGCCCAATGAGTCAAAAAGTGACTCTCAGGGCTCTTTCTTCCACAAAATAACAAGACAGCATGTTGTGTCTGATTTGTTCACACATCATAACATTTTAATTTGACAGGACTCTTTCTGTTGGACAAACTACATGTTACTTATGAGACTAAAGTTACGTACCCCAGCTTTAACAGTCAACTAACTGTGATGTTTTTCTTCAGAAAGGAAGAAAAAGAAAGAATGAAAGCTGCTACTGCTCCGCCCACAATGTCTCTGTACACCATCCTGTCCTCCAGCGCTGCTCCTCCCACTCCCACTCCAACATCAGCCCAGCCCAGTCCAGTGTCGGAACTCTCTGCTGGGGAGACTTCAGCCCAGCCCAGCCCAGTGTCGGAGCTCTCTGCTGCGGAGACTTCAGCCCAGCCTAACCTCACCCATGGCTCTCCTCTCCCCCCCACTGCTGATGATGAGATGCCCTCTGAAAACTCCATCTAGAACCACTTTACTCAGGCCGCATTTATCAAATTGTAAAATTTAAAAGTTTAATAAGTCTCATTTTGTTCAGTGAGACAAGAGAGCTAGAGAGATAGAGACCAGAGAGAGACCAAAGATACTTGTTCCATTCCAAATTGTAACAATATATATTCTCTGCTCGGAGCCCAGTCCTGGCTTTGTCCTTGTTTGGCATGGATCGAGTTAAAACATTATAACTGGATATTTCCTGTAACACAAACACTGTACAAACTGACTTTATTGTGTATTGTTTTAACGTTGTATTATTTATAAGACTAAATTAAGTAAAACTAATATTTATTTGTTGACACTTGACAGCTGTGTTTACTGCACATTATGGGATGCCTCTATTTTAAATGACAAATAAAGTGTTTAACCTGGAACCTTCAGCTCCTGAGTCTTGTGTGAAATCCCCATGCAATTCGTTTCTGTCTTCATCCTCTAAAACATGTGATTTTTTATGTCGTTACTGTAGTCCAGCACAGCTTTTACCTGTTGTACATCTCTTAGACCTGCTCAGACACCGGGAGAACATGCAAACTACTCAGAATTACCTTGTTTTGACTGGAATTGAGCTCTGGACCTTCAAGAGAGAACCAGCTAACCACTCTGCACGTTGGCACTTAATGCCCCATAGAAACGCAGCCGGTGGAGTAGAGTAATCCTGCAGTAAAAATACTTAGTTACTAGTTTCCTTTATTTGTGTATTTGACAGGGACAGTGTACATTAAAGAATATTACTGTAAATGTACCAGAATTAGCCACAAGGCTATTATTATATTTATCATCCGTTGACTGCATTATTCATTTATTTTGGTATTGTTAATTTGGGTTGGTTTGATTTAAATAGTGAGCCGTTTTGTATTATCTCGTCTTGCTACAGGTTAATATTTAGTCTGCTTTTAGTTCTCCCCTTTGTAGCAAGTACTGTTTACTGTTTAGTCTTGATAGGATAATAGTTGAATTGTTTCAATTCAATGTGTCATAATAAAGAAAACATCGAATGTTGCCAAATCTTAGAAAAAACTATTATTGAAATAAAAATTGTCATTGTGCTAAAATTTGTGAAAATCATGCTTTTTATATTCACATATCAATTCAGTCTGAAATTTGCTAAAAATCATATTGTGGTACCAGAGTATTCAATTATCCTGGTTTATTCAAATGCATCCATCCATCCATCCATTTTCTACCCTTTAATCCATTTCTGGGTCAGGGTGGTGGCAGTCAGAGATGCCACCCAAGTCTCATAGCACCAGCCCCTCACTGACCCTCTGCAGGTGGTGAGTCCACAGGAGGACGGCTGCTCTCTGAGTGTGAGCATAGCCTTGATCTTTCAGTGGGGGCTTTTGGGCAAAGTGGGGTTAAGTGTCTTGCCCAAGGACACAACGACAGCAGTCATCAGTGGGAGTCGGTGGAGAAGGTGCAGAGGTGGGAATTGAACCCACGACCTTCTGGGCTTAAGGCCAATGCTCTACCAACTGAGCTACTGTCGCCCCAAATTTTATTTATTATTATTATTTTGTTTATTCAAATGCATTATTTAGTTATTACGTGACTAGTAATGAGAAATCTAAAGGGGTGAACGAAGAATAATTGTACTAGTCTAGTCGTTTACAAAACTTGTTTTTAGGCCATCTGCTGGTTGTTGTGGATATTACAAAAGGTCTTTTGATAGAAAATGTCCCACTCGGGCCCTGATCCACAGTGAGTTGAAACACAGATCTTTTCACAAGTCTCTTTAATCCATGTCCAGCTTCAACACAAATAAAAAGTGATACAGCACTAATGAGATGCACATATTTAACATAAAACAAATGCAACAGTAGCTCAGTTGGTAGAGCATTGGCCTTAAGCCCAGAAGGTCGTGGGTTCAATTCCCACCTCTGCACCTTCTCCATCGACTCCCACTGATGACTGCTGTCGTTGTGTCCTTGGGCAAGACACTTAACCCCACTTTGCCCAAAGCCCCCACTGAAAGATCAAGGCTATGCTCACACTCAGTGAGCAGCCGTCCTCCTGTGGAGTCACCACCTGCAGAGGGTCAGTGAGGGGCTGGTGCTATGAGACTTGGGTGGCATCTCTGACTGTCACCCCCCTGTCCCAGAAATGGATTAAAGGGTAGAAAATGGATGGATGGATTTGCATAAAACACTTAACAAATGGACTGATTCTTGTGGATATCCTGACATTGGATCAAAGTAAAACAGTGGTGAGAGATGAGCTCACAGATGTCACACATTTCCTCAGGTGAGCCCAGTCTGAACCGAAAACCTGTCTGCTGTGCTCCTTTTTGGCTGGAGTGAAAACCTGGAACCACACTGGTCCTTTAAGGACTGGTCTGACGCCTCTGGTTGAGCTCGTCTTGATAAATTATAGTTAAACTAATCATAGTTTGTGCAATTTCACAACAAGTTACCAAATTTACCAAAACCTGGGGCAGTCTTCCTGAAAATGTGAGACTGATTCCTAGCTTTGCATTTCCCCCTTTCCCAGTGCCTACCAGCTCATATATAGAGCCATTATTGACAATACATTCTTCAGTTTGAGACGGAAAAACAATGAAAACAATAAAAACAAACTCAAATAAATAAAGCTAGAACTCTTATTGAGAGCCATATTTCATGATGTCATCCAGACGGACCTGGTCTCCACATAATACACACAGCGCATTTCTCAGAGCAGATTGTGGCGCGACTGGAGTTTTTTCTTTTAGAAATAGTGTGAGAAAGGATCCAAGCGTCTGCTGTGGCTCGTTTCAAAGTCAGAACCTATAGTCCTCCACAAACTGAGATCTGTTTTAAAGCTGGGGCATAGAACAAAAGTTAGTATGTAAAGACTTCAAACACATCCGTCTCACATACTGGTGGGTATGTGCGTTGGTAGAAGTTGGATCTGGGCAAACCGCAGGCTTCAACAAAAGCAATGATTCCCAGCTCTATGGTCCTCTCTCTGAGGTGCCCCAGCTCTATAGTCCTCTCTCGGAGGTGCCCCAGCTCTATAGTCCTCTCTCGGAGGTGCCTCAGCTCTATGATCCTCTCTCTGAGGTGCCTCAGCTCTATGATCCTCTCTCTGAGGTGCCCCAGCTCTATGGTCCTCTCTCTGGAGGTGCCTCAGCTCTATGATCCTCTCTCTGAGGTGCCCCAGCTCTATGGTCCTCTCTCTGGAGGTGCCTCAGCTCTATGATCCTCTCTCTGAGGTGCCCCAGCTCTATGGTCCTCTCTCTCTGAGGTGCCTCAGCTCTATGATCCTCTCTCTGAGCTCTCCTGTCCTCTCTCCCCTTCACTTGAGGCCGTCCTGGAGGCAGTCGCAGGTGTGCGGGCTTCTGGCTGCGCGCTGCGTCTCAACGCGCAGACGGCTACGACAGACTTTCTGCAGTTGTTTGATCAAAGACAGCAGCTCAGGAGTTGGCCACAGCTTCCCTTTCAGACAACAGCGATCTGCAATTAGCTCCAGGTGCTCCAAGTGTTGCAGCCTCTGCAAGTGGAGTAGGTCCTTCTCAGGCTCACGACGCATGAACCTGAAAAGACACAGACACGTAAAAACTGGTTTAATTGAAGATTGTGTGTGTGTGCGCAGTGGGGCAAAAAAGTATTTAATCAGCCACTTGTGCAAGTTCTCCCACCTAAAAAGTTTCATCATAAGTAAACCTCAACTATGAGAGACAGAATGACAACAAAAATCCAGAAAATCATTGTCTGATTCTTAAAGAATGTATTTGCAAAGTATTTGGTCAATAATAAAAGTTAATCTCAAGACTTAGTTATACACCCTTTGTTGGCAATGACAGAACTCAAACATTTTCTGTAAGTCTTCAAGGTTTTCACACACAGTTTCTGGTATTTTGGCCCATTCCTCCATGCAGATAGTCTCTACAGCAGTGATGTTTTGGGGCAACACACTTTCAACTACCTTCAAGTTGAGGGTTGAGATCTGAAGAGAAGGCACCAGTGGCTCAGTTGGTAGACCATTGGCCTGCGTGCCTGAAGGTCGTTGGTTCGATCCCCCACAAGACCTACTCAAACTTCTCCCTCATGTCTGATTTTGTTGTGTCCTTGGGCAAGACACTTAATCCCACGTTGCCTGAAGCCACCGCTGAAAGATCAAGGCTGTGTCACCACTGACGGAGGGGCAGCCATCTTCCCGTGGACCCACCACCTGCAGGAGAATCAGCAAGGGACTGGTGCTATGATCATTGGGGTTGAAAATGAATGAATAAGATCTGAAGTCTGGCCAGGCCACTCCAGGACCTCAAAATGCTTCTTACAAAGCCACTTCTTCGTTGCCCGGGCGGAGTGTTTGGGATCATTGTCATGCTGAAAGACCCAGTCACATTTCATCTCCAATGCCCTTGCTGATGGAAGGAGCTTTTCATTCAAAATCTCACGATACATGACTCCATTCATTCTTTCCTTTACATGGATCAGTCGTCCTGATCCCTTTGCAGAAAAACAGCCCCAAAGCATGATGTTTCCACCCCCATGCTTGGTATGGTGTTCTTTGGATGCAACTCTCCCCCAAATACACCAAGCTGAGTTCTTACCAAAATTTCTATTTTAGTTTCATCTGACCATATGACATTCTCCCAATCCTCTTCTGGATCATCCAAATACGCCTGAACATGTACTGGCTTAAAGGAATAGTTCACCGTTTTTACATACTGACATATGTTCTTACCTTACCTTAGACTAGTTAATACGTACCTGTCTGGTCTTAGTCCGTGTGCTCTGTCATGCAAACGGAGCAAAAACGGGAGCACAAATGCAGCCTCCTCTGTATATTTTGTAGCACCAAAAGGTAGCTCCCGCTAAAAGCTACCAAACTCTTCCAAGTGTTCCCTATTAAATGTATATAGTTACGTGACGTGTTACACTGCAAAGTATAGTAACACAGAAATGTAACAGTCGATTTTCTCAGCGGATAAAACGGGTACTATATTGTGAGGCGTAGTAATCTGAGGAGCGCTACGTCCGCGCACTAACTTCTCTCCGTACTACAAGTCACGCTGCTTCTATTGACGGAAGTGAGCGAGAGAGAAGTCTCCGGAGAGAAGTTAGTGCGCGGACGTAGCGCTCCTCAGATTACTACGCCTCACAATATAGTACCCGTTTTATCCGCTGAGAAAATCGACTGTTACATTTCTGTGTTACTATACTTTGCAGTGTAACACGTCACGTAACTATATACATTTAATAGGGAACACTTGGAAGAGTTTGGTAGCTTCTAGCGGGAGCTACCTTTTGGTGCTACAAAATATACAGAGGAGGCTGCATTTGTGCTCCCGTTTTTGCTCCGTTTGCATGACAGAGCGCACGGACTAAGACCAGACAGATACGTATTAACTAGTCTAAGGTAAGGTAAGAACATATGTCAGTATGTAAAAACGGTGAACTATTCCTTTAAGCAGGGGTCTCTGAGTCCCTGGCAGTGTAGTGTGTTACTGAAGATAGCCTTGGTTACTTTTGTCCCAGCTCTCTGTAGGTCATTCACATAGACTGTATATATTAACGGACAGAGTCACGCCTATCTCCGCCGTTCTAACTAATGGGCCAAAAAATGTGCCCTACGGGAGCTATCCGAAATGGCCGCGAGTGGTCCCGGCCACAAGAAAATTGTGAAAACACACATCTGCGCATGAGTCAGCCGGCGAGAGCTCCATTCATTTGAACGAGAGACTTCAAAAATTCACAGCGAGTAAACTAGAGTGGTCCAAAAAAATTCACCCCCCTCAGCATTGACACACATGTGGAATGGAGCTTTGGGCCAAGAGCCAACTTTTGGTCCATCCTGTAAAGACGTTTTTGAGAGGTCTACCAATGCTATATGTTAGCATTGGCTAATTCTACTTCTGGGTCCACCCCCATCGGCCCGGGGTGGTATTGCAAGCACGTCAGCGCACGTCATTTTGGCCACTTTTGAGCCGGGACCCGCCCCCACTGGTCATTCACTAAGAATTTTGCTCACCGTTCTTGTGATCATTTTGACCCCATGCGTGAGATCATGCGTGGAGCCCCAGATTGAGGGAAATTCTCAGTAGTCTTGTATGTCTTCCATTTTCTGATAATTGCTCACACAGTGGATTTTTTCACACCAAGCTGCTTACCTATTGAAGAAGCTGTGTAATAATTACAAGCAGTGAAAAGTACTGAGTAGAGTCTTAGCGGGCCGCTCGTTCTCCTCCGCTCACAGAACGAGCAGCCTGCGTCCTCTAGCCTCTACAGCGCTGCTAAAAACTAGGGCTTCGGCTTCGAAATTTGAATATAATTCTAAAATAAAAAAAAATGATATATATATATATATATATTCGAACACACATTAAATAACAGCTAAGCTAGCTAGTTACTTCTGGGTTTTTCGCAATCGCTTTTTGTCACATTAAAATAGTAATTTGGTCATGAAAACGATAACAAGAAATTCTTGTATACTATATGTATACTGTTTTGTCCGATTAACATTTAATGGTGTTGATTGATAGATATGTAGTTGTTTATTGAGCGTTGCACTTGCAAAGTAATGGCAGTATTTTACACACCTGAATTACAAACAGAGATTGCGTTGCCAAAGGGCAGCGGTCATTATTGATTTGAGAGTTCTGTTATCAAGAAAAAATGATCGGTAGAATTACATTCAAGTCAATGCTGCTGTGAGGAGCTGAATAATAAATTATAATTAAATGTTTGAATATATTCTAATGTTCTGATGAATAAAATCGGATGCGAAATTAGCAGTATTCTTTTACCTAGATATTGTGTTAGCAGTGCGTTGCTTTTGTACCATTTCATCAGTGATTGTTGTACAGCTTACAAGAAGTTGTGCTAATGCTAATGTTAGCATACATGTTAGATCGCAAATTGAACTAGATGGCTCTGTGTTATGAGAGCGTAGGGGAAATGAGAAGCCATTAAGCGAGTTGGGGGGCGGTGCTAAACATTCAAACCTTGCAGAAACGGGTATAGCGCCTTTAATACAGGTAACAAGAAGAGAACAGAGGAGCCTTTTAAAGCAGGAGTTACAGGTCTGTGAGAACCAGATATCTTGCCTGTTTGCAGGTGACCACATTTAATTTGCCAAAAAAAAATAATCAGAAAATCATGTGATTTTCCAGATTTGTTTTTCTTATTCTGTCTCTCATAGTTGAAGTTTACCTATGATGCAAATTACAGGCCTCCCTCATCTTCTTAAATAAGAGAACTTGCACAATTAGTGGCTGACTAATTACTGTTTTGCCCCATGTGTATATATACACTAACCGGATACTCAATGAGTGCAGGTTGGGGAACAGCTGGGGGATACGTTTGCACATGGAGCCATTGGAGCGCGTCTGTTCAATGTTGAGGTGCGTGAGGCTCGGGACCCTCGGCGCCAGAATCTCCAGGTCTTTGTTTGTGAGCGACAGTCGCAGTGTGAGCCGCGTCACTGATGGCGGGATGGAGCACGCATAATTTGAGATGGAGTGTCCACCTGGGGAAGAAGACATTAAAGCTGCTTCACTGAGTCCCCTGTGGTGCAGGTCTACATGAGGTCAGACCACTCTCTCTAGTGTCACCTGGTCTCTCACCTGCGATGGTCAACTCTTGCAGCTGGTGCAGAGGGTTGAGCCAGTGCTTGAGCCTACACTCCAGGCCCTGATGGATGGACTTGTACCTGACGGTGAGGGCCCTGAGGGAGGAAAGGTTCTCCAGGGCGCTCTCTGGGAGGATGGCCTCAGGATAATCCACCAGCTCCAGAGATGTGAGGGCGGGGCCTCCATAGCGCCATCCGTCTGTGGGATTAGGTACAACACCAGTGAGTATATACAGGCAGCTCCCATGGTTTACAAAAGTTCTAACAATCATTTATAGTGTGATACTTTATTTGTCTTGTAACTTCATGGTCTGGTACCTCTATGGTCCAGAATCAATATGGTCTGGTACCTCTATCGTCAGGGACCTTTATGGTTTGGTACAGTCATGGTCTGGTACCTTTATGGTTTGGGTCTTGCGGGCTGAAGTAGTCCTCCTCCAGGGGTTCAGGAGGCTCCCCCTTCATGCCCCAGGACAAGTGCTTCAGGTGGGTGAGCCGCACCATGAGGGAGTGGAAGGCAGAGCGGGGCACCGGCCGGATGGTACTTCCCCCCAGGCCTTCAGCATGTTGATGGTACTGCAACCATCGCAGGTTTACCAGGTGAGAGACAGCCGACACCAACTCTACAGGCCAGGGCAGGCGAACATTGCACACACTCAGGTGGGTCAAACGCTGAGGAGAGAGAGTAAGATGCATCATTTTTTCAGTTTGATTCAATTTCGATTCGATTCAATAATTGGTTATCTCCCCATTAATTGACTAATATCAATGTAGCATAACACCGCTAGCTCGGCTAGCCTAACTCCGCTGGTTTAACTCTGTTAGCCCAGGACTTCTGGTCTGAACACCCCTAGCCTCTGTAATTTAGAGAATGTGCGTCTACTGCGCGTGGACACTGCGTTCCAGTGCCGGTCTGAGGCGTTCTGAACGCCCCATAAGATAGTATTCGCGTACTACTGCTACTACTCGCTGCCATCTTGTTTGTTTTGAGTATGACGCATCGACGTGCATATTTTGTATCGACGTATTTTTTGCGTCAACGTCATCGATTACGTTGGTGCGTTGTCCCAGCCTTATTCAAGCGTTGAGGAGAGCGAGATGGGTCAAACGCTAAGGAGAGAGGAAGGTCAAACGCTGAGGAGAGAGAGAAAAGGGTCAAACGCTGAGGAGAGAGAGAGAAGGGTCAAACGCTGAGGAGAGAGAGAGGGTTGGGTCAAATGCTGAGAGAGAGGACTGTCAAACGCAGAGGAAAGAGATGGGTCAAACGCATCCGGCCCTCTCAGTGGCCGTGTCTCCACTGCAGAGTAGGACCCCTTGGCGATATCATAATTTTTGATTGCCGCATTATCAATATTTATTTATTTTACCGTCATAAACCGCTCCAGTTGTTGTGGTCTTTGAGTTTTTCATAGTCCTGCTTCATTTTGTTTTACTTTTTACTTTTTTTTTTCAAAACATTGAGCTGTTCAGGGCCGAACGGAGTACCTAGCAAGGAGGAGGGACTGTTGGTTCCCGTAAAAGTTCCTGTAAATGGCCCTGTGGGGGAGGTTACTGCACTGGAGACACACACCAAAGGGGCTCTCTCTAAAATGACCCCGAAGTTCTTGCAGTGGAAACACGACCATAACTGTCCCACCTGGTCCTGACCAGACACATACCTGTCCCAGCTGATCCGCCAGGCTGCAGCTCAGCAGACGCTCCTCCCAGGTGGCGTTGCGGACAGCGAGTTGTCGTAGCTCTGGGAAGTGGGACAGATTGGACAGGTATTTCTCTCTGTAAAGACGTCCTCCGTCCACAAACACAATGGATGTCAGCGTCGGCAGGAACGTGATGAGGCGCCGCCACTCCTTACGCCTCAAGTGACGAACCTGCAGAGAGGAATGTTTTTAGACCTGCGTTCCCGTCACAGGAATGTGTACAAATGACCATCGACAAGTCTTCTAAACTCACAGCAGGGGTACCTATTACCAGAGAGGGAGAAAGACACCAAAGAGAGAGAAACCAGAGAGCGACAAGAGAGAGACCAAAGAAAGTGACCAGAGAGATATTGCTGGTTGTCGCCTTATTTACCAACAATAACAGGTTCCCTAAAACGGTTTGCTTTCATCGTATCCAAGTTGCTGTTTAAACAAGGACTCTGCAACAGTAAAACACAAACTATTTTTTTAACCATGGTTGCACACTTCTGTCTTTTGCACAATCTGAGTGAGTCGTTCCATGCCAAATGTGTTTATCCAGTGTGAGATCAATAAAGTCCATCTTATCTTATCCGATTGGCCTGCGCGGCGGTGGGCTGCACATAACGTAAACAACAATGGCGGAGGGTCAACTAATCCTGCCGTGTGCTTCGTGCACTACACAGAGGAGAATAGGGCTGGAAAGTCTCGTCGCAGAAGCACTTCCGGTTCATTGCTCGGATACAAACAAACCGCCAGCTGTTCGAAGAGGGGCTTTAATTGAATGGTGCAAAATGCTCTGCTTTGTTTAAGGCTGTTATCATCAAAATGTATGCGACGCATGCTCATTTTTTAGGTTTTCCAAGACCAACTGAAAAAACAGTGGGAAAATCTATGCATTTCTGATATAACATTTTGTCTGATTTTACAGACGGTTAACATGAATATGTATTCAAGCTAACTTGTAGCTAATGCTAACCTGTAAATAGTGCACGGCCGAGCATTTAATTGTGACTTGTATTTTAAGATTAGACTTTATTGATCTCACACAGGAGAAATGTAAGGAGGAACAATGCATATTAAATAACATTTAACAAATGTTCAAATATAACAGAAAACAGACAATCATAATACTAGTGTGAGATTTCATAACACTTTTAAGCAACTTTTGTTAAAGTTAAACTCATCATTCTATCAATGTGCAGAAGCCAGTACTTTTCCCTTGTTTTGTCTATCTGAAGGCCAAGCTACATGGCACTGTGGCAGCTGCTGATTGGAGGACTCCATGCCTCCGCTCTGTATAATACACTTGTATTCTGTTGTTCGTGTTGTTCGTGCTGTCTCTACCATCGACAATAAAACATGTCTTCTGTCTGAATTTAAGACGCGATCCCAGACTTTGTCATCTTCTTCAGGTGGTGGAAGGATGCGGGCATTGTCTGTAACATCTACAGAACAGAAGACTTTTTTTTTTTACACAAAAATTTGTGGGTTTTTTTTAAGCCAAAACTGAGAAACCTCAAGAGAAACCATGCATCTGGATCAGCACACATGGACAATCTGCACAGCCCCTGATTCCACTCAGGCTGTGAGCTGCTGAGACATGGACAACACCAGCGTCCTCTTTTGCATGGACATCATTTGGAACAATTGGATTTCTGAATTTGGACATAATTTGGACTGAATTGAATTGCTGAATCTGGACACTAAAGCTGAAACGTGTGATTGAAAGACACGTCACAGAAGAATTCATGGCTCGACACAAATGCAGCCTGAAGAATCAACACGGAGAAGTGGGAGAGAATGTGCTCAAAGCAATATCTGGAACCACCATCGACTGATGAAGTTTGGTATTTTACTGAAGATTGTTGACAAGTTTTATGAAAGATCTGAACATGTTTTATGAGTTTTCTGAGTTTTTGAAGTATTCCGAGTTCTGAGTTTTTTGAAGTACCGAGTGAAGTACCGAGTTTAAGTATTGAGTTATGATGTTATGTTGCTGTTTATCGATCCTGATGGTCACACGTGAATGTGTGACCAGAGGGGGGAATGTGAGATTTCATAACACTTTTAAGCAACTTTTGTTAAAGTTAAACTCATCATTTTATCAATGTGCAGAAGCCTGTACTTTTCCCTTGTTTTGTCTATCTGAAGGCCAAGCTACATGGCACCGTGGCAGCTGCTGATAGGAGGTCTCCATGCCTCCGCTCTGTATAATACACTTGCATTCTGTTGTTCGTGTTGTTCGTGCTGTCTCTACCATCGACAATAAAACATGTCTTCTGTCTGAATTTAAGACGCGATGCCAGACTATGTCATCTTCTTCACTAGTATTAAATGAATAGGTAACCCAACTTCAAATTATTTTTGACAGCACAGCAAAAAGGATAAAGGCCCAAAGTGAAGCCGCAGTGAGTGTGAATTGGAGATTGAGCTAATTAACAGATAGAAAACAGATCATTCATATACATTGGCTTAAAACCAAAGCAGCAAAGAGAGCTGTAAGGAACAACATCAATTTATTTGCATGGGAATAGTGGTTCTATATTTTCTTTCTAATGCATAATAGTGGATTAAAAAAAATGCAATGTGTTTGAACGATAGACTAAAAAATAATGGACGTAGTCACGCCTATCTCCGCCGTTCTAACTAATGGGCCAAAAATAGTGCTCTACTGGAGCAATCCAAAATGGCCGTGAGTGGTCCCGCCCACAAGAAAATTGTGAAAAAACGCATCTGCGCCAGTGGGGGCGGGTCCCAGCTCAAAAGTGGCCAAAATGACGTGCGCTGACATGCTTGCAATTCCACCCCGGGCCGATGGGGGTGGACCCAGAAGAAGAATTAGCCAATGCTAACATATAGCGTTAGCAGACCTCTCAAAAACGTCTTTACAGGATGGACCAAAAGTTGGCTCTTGGCCCAAAGCTCCGTTCCACATGTGTGTCAATGCTGAGGGGGGTGAATATTTTTGGACCACTCTAGTTTACTTGCTGTGAATTTTTGAAGTCTCTCGTTCAAATGAATGGAGTTGCGCCGGCTGACGCATGCGCAGATGCGTTTTTTCACAATTTTCTTGAGGGCGGGACCACTCGCGGCCATTTTGGATTGCTCCAGTAGAGCAAATTTTTTGGCCCATTAGTTAGAACGGCGGAGATAGGCGTGACTCTGTCCGTTAATATATACAGTCTATGATCTGCGCATGCGTCAGCCGGCGCAAGCTCCATTCATTTAAACGAGATTTCAAAAATTCACAGCAAGTAAACTAGAGTGGTCCAAAAAAATTCACTCCCCTCAGCATTGACACACATGTGGAACGGAGCTTTGGGCCAAGAGCCAACTTTTGGTCCATCCTGTAAAGACGTTTGAGAGGTCTACCAATGCTATATGTTAGCATTGGCTAATTCTTATTCCGGGTCCACCCCCATCAGCCCGGGGTGGTATTGCAAGCACGTCAGCGCACGTCATTTTGGACACTTTTGAGCCGGGACCCTCCCCCACTGATTTGAACACGGCCCTGCACCTTTCTCATCTCCCAGTCATATAGAAACTTCAGGACATGGCCAGAGTTCACAGCTAATTCCGACCGCTCACTCAGTTTTTTTTGTCCCAGAGACGAAGAGAGTCCAAAACACAGAAAAATCCCTTAAGGAGGAAGACGTCTGCGATCTCAGCACCATACAACTGGCCCGTGTGGTTTGTTTGTATCCGCGGGTGGAAATCTTGCAAAATCTGATTTGTTTTTCAATAAAAAATAAAAAACTAGACTACATATTTAGTAGTCACGCATATATAAAAAAACAGAACAACATAGAAAGCCACATAACTAAGTCACAAGGGTCAGAGGTAGATTCACAATATTTTCATACAACCAAAGAGCTTTCTTTGAATTACACAGCCTCAAAGAATCCCTAAAGATTGACAATTTGCTCGTAAATATACTAAACAAGGGATTGGAATTACTAAATTTGCATTTGTGAATGAAAAATAAAGCCATGATAATACAGTTGTTAATTGTAAATTCTTTGTTTTAGATTAGTAAGATTCCAAATTTTATGTCGTGATAATTGAAGCCCATAATACCTAAAGTATTCCTAAGAGACTATCCCAAAATATTTTTGAATGCACGCATGTGAAAAAAAAGGTGTTCCTCTGTTTCAATGTTGGTATCGCAAAAACACACAGATTATTGTAAATATTGAATTTGGAATGTAAAAAGTCTGCACAGATATACATTGTTCAGTAATTTAAATCTAACTTCTTTAGTTTAGGTAGGACAGGGAATTTTATGTAACTGCATCTGAAAATCTTAACATTGTGTTTAGTGAGATCCTTCATAATATATTGTCTTCTTACAGACAATGGAAAATATTTATTGGAGAATGCTGATCTTAAAAAAATATTACATTTTTGTCCACAAAATTACAAATTTGAACAAGTAATGTATATATTATTGGAACAAATTGTGTATAAATTAGAGATACCTTAATCGCACAAACAAGAGCTTGTGGAATAGCCTTGACTACTTGTGAAAATTGTTGCCTAGAGCAAATCACATTGTATTTCTGGAGGAAAATCAATTAACTGAAGATGTATCATTCCTTATAGGTGTATTATGTGGCAAACAGTTGTGGCTGTATATCAATTTCCAATAGGACTGGAGGATTTGCTCGTGAAATTTGGATGATTTAGTAGGTAATTTCGATATTTCAAAGTCACATTGGATAAGAAATTCAATTCCACCGAAGTTTGAGAATATTTTTGAGGGGAGACTGAACCAGAAACTATTTAGATTTGTTGTAAAATTTTGTAACCATGGAAGTTTTAAGGCACCATTCATGGGATCAAAATCAATAGCATTCAATCCACCCTCCTCAATAGATTTTACAATATCATTTTTCCTAATATAATGTCTAATTTTCCAGAGAAAATTGAAATTAATTTGCTTAATCATTTTTGAGTTCACATTCAAAGTGTATGCATAGCTCTAGTTTCAGTTTCCCTTTTAGATGGATAGATAGATACTTTATTGATCCCCGTAGGAGAAAATTCAGGTGCCCAGTAGCAGCAAAAATAAAAATAAAATTGATCATTTTTAAAAACATAATAAAAGTAATGATCAGCAACAGCCCTTTAGGTCACAGCAGCACAGATGGAGTAGCCACTGGGTGGAGCAGGACAGGTCAAAGGTAGAGTACCCGCTTGATTCGGACCCCTTTCTCTGCTCTAGTCCAAAGTTAGCATTTTTCTAAATTTTAGCATTCCTCGAGTGGATTTTCACCTGATCCGCTTGGTTCGGACCATGAATCCTCTCCGCTCCGGTCTGGACCAGTGTAAAACCATGAACACTGTACTGCAGCAACATCTCAGGCAGAAAAAAAGCAAGAAAAATAAACATTGATTAAGCACAAAACAACTGTTTCAGAGCGACTTAGGACTTGCAGCCGTTTCCAGGCGCATCGTTTAAAAAAAATAAACAAAACATTACATTTTGGCTGTTAGCATTGTGTTGGAAAGTTCCACTGCCCCCTTTTGGCCGGGCGCTAGAACTACATCGTTTTCCGTCATCGTTTAGATGCTGTGCACTTCCAAGAAGGAGCCTGGTTATTTTAGCTAACTGCTTTGCAGTGTCTCCGCATGTACACACACCATGGATCTATTACACACAGTTGAAACGACAGATACACAGACATACACACGTGTTGTCTTTGTTTACCTGGATGGTGGAGATCCTTCGGCGTATCAGCGTCTCCCAGAAGCCGTAGCTGTAGCGGCGCAGACAGCTGAGGAACACCACGTAGCCTTTCCACAGAGGTGGCTGGTCCGCGATCAGCTGAAGGAAGCGGGAGCAACAGCGGACTGAGTGTTTGTCCTGAGTGCTCACGAAGCTCAAGATATGGACCAGCAGCTCAGGCGGGAGCTCCTCCATCAGGGCCTTTTCCGGGTCTGCGAGCGAAACAACGCGAGACTACGAGAAACACCGAAAGACGTTTCCGGTGTGAGGAGAACGGGACTGTAGCGTCATTGTAGCGTGCACAGCAATATAAAGAGTAGACGCCGCATTGGTCGCTCAGGAACGAGAAATGCGGCCGCCATCTTGGACCGGTCCTCCTACAGCGCGATGCCTGAGCAGTGAGGACTGTGCGGAGTGTTGCTGTCAAAATAGGTACATCGAGACCGGAATGTCCTAAAAGATTGTCAATTAGCAGCAAGCTGGGCAAAGGACAACCTGTTTTTATTCATTGGAAAAATACAGTTTCCTCCTGTGCTGGACTGGGAAGAAGATGAAGCTGCTAAGGCTGAAGCAGACTTCTCCCAGTTTAGGGAGACTGGTTTTGACCCAGACAGTGAGGAGCAAGAGAACATCTTGGAGCAAGTTTGTGTTCTCTCATATTGAGGACATGGAACGCTTTTCTGTTGAGTGTGTTGATAAGATGGGATATGTGTTGTATTGTGAATGTATAATAAATAATTGAACGGCCTTATCATCGAGATAATTTATTCACCACAAAGGGGGAATGTTCAGTATAGCATCACAGGTTACAGAACGGTAGGAAAACCAAAAATGTGTGTAGACCTATAGGTTAAGCTAACTCTTATTCCTCTAGAAAATAGAAAGAAATAGTGGATACCTATGTAACTTTAATGCTGTTGTGAGAAGTGACATGGCGAAGGTCACGTGACAGGGGCTCCTGAAGGAGGTCACGGGGTGTAAACAGATGCCTCTCAAATAGGTGGACTATTCAAAACAGGGCTCGGGGAATACTTTTCACAAGCAAATTTGACCATTATTGTTGATAGTAGTTTGCGAATAGATTTTTACCGAACTGTATTTATGTCGCCAACGAAATCAGACATATAGAGATATCTCACGTGACGTCACGATGCCTCGACCTCGCGGGGCATCCGCCATACTGGAGGACAAGCAAACGCTGTATGATAGTGGCGTGCACCCGGGACCGCATAAACATGTTCAACATTTTTGCCGTTTTTGGCTGCAGCAAAAGGAGAGACGGGGAAAATAAGTTGTGTTACCGACTGCCAGCCGTCCTTACTTCACACGGCTCAAAAACAGAAGACATCTCAAAGAAACGAGAGAGAAATGGCACAACCATACGCAACAACAAAAAACTAATAGCCCCCAGAGCGCCCGAATATGGATCATTTCATTTCTGCTAAGTGAAATCAATTTGATGGCGGATTTAGTGTTATTCCGAAACAAACAGAAGTTTAAGGATAACACATATCTGTCTGACTGCAACGTGGGGTTGCTCCATAGACTGTAGCTTAGCTTGTCGCATAGCTGTTATATATTTGGTCTCACACAGGACCTCACCCGGTTCACAGGGTATCTGACTTACCGAAGGCCAGCAGACATGTGAACGACTGAGCCGTGCTCCAGGGTGCCCCGTACTAGTATTTATTAATAAAATATACGGCTCCTCACAGTAGACGCAGAAAGCTCCATTGATTTGAATGTAATCTCATTATTTCCACTGCAGTGTAGCCACACATAGATCAATGGTGTAACAATAAACACATTAAATGTTAATCGGAGAATACATTATACATATACATTCTTAATACACGTGCACAGAGGTTTTCAGAATTCTCTGTTCACGTTTTCATGAAAAAACACTGTTTTAATGCGACAATATGCGACCGCGGTAAACCTGGATGTAACGAATACATTTTAGGATGCATTTTCAGAGGATCTGATTCATGAATTTAGGTTGAGTATATATTTGGGTCACTAACTGCAGAAGTTTCAAATTCTCTGTTCAGTTTTCATGTAGTTCGAGAGAGTTCTAGTTTTGAACGTCCAGTTATAGATAGCTAGCAGGGCTGTTACTCGCCGAGGTTGTCCTCCAGTATGGCTGCCGTGGCTGCTAGTCACGTGACCGTAGGATCCCTCTATAATATCTGAGCATTGAATAGCAAAAAGGCTAAGTCACAATTTCAGCAACTTTGATTCACTGTCAAAATACGAGTTTTGTTGAAGAAAGGTTCAAACACATTTGTATGCGGAAAATAGGAAGAAGTAAGTAAGAAAAATAGGAAATGTGAAGATAGGAAATGTATTCATAAATTGTTTCTTAATTTTTCAACTCAGTAAAAATATTGAGTTTAGTACTTATACTGCCACTAACTGCTTAGTGTATATACATGGCTCTATCATATAATGGTGTATGGGCTTTATCATATTTTAGTGTATATACAGGTTTCTTTCATATATTAGTGTATATAAAGTATTCTAAATTATATATATATATATATATATATATATATATATATATTATATATATATACACCTATCATACATTACATAATCATATATCTGAATATTATATTACTGTCAAACCTACTATGAATAATAATAGATGGCAAACCATGTATCCTGTATCATAGCTAGATGTGTGGCGTTTACAGTAAAGAAAAAAGTATGAAATTATTGAGTGAGTTATGATCATGGATCTATAATAATAACGGTTATGATTGATTAAATGCGCGGACACGTCACTGCGCCTGCTAAACAGATTAGGCTGAAAGAAGCAGGGGACAGGTCCAAGATAGCGGCGCTACGGCTCGTCGGCGCCAATAGACAGTAGCGGTAGATGCGGCGTCTATTCTTTATATGTCTATGGTAGCATGGATCTATAATAATAACTGTTGCATGGATCTATTATAATAACGGGACTGTAGGAGGCTTTGGACCATAGACTGTAAAAAATCTGGACACAAAGCTGGTTATTTATAGGAGCAGTATGTACAAATCTGGCCTAAAGTAGTGCTCCAATCGTGAATTATTTGAGAATCCTAAAGAGACCTTTTTATTACTGCAGCCCATCCTGCAGCCACATATTACTTTACCAGTGAGATTAGCTTGATGCTGTCCGGGTTGCCAGAAAACGACATTCTGATTGGTGGGACATCGAAATGAAAACAATAACAAGATTTAGGGGCTGTAAACCTAATTTTGATATTTGAATATCTCGGCTGAACTACTGTAATCAATTGAAGAAGTATTTGAAAAGAGCATGGTTTATTAATGCCTTTTGGCATTTTAGGGCCATTTAATGATTTGACATGCAAATTTACATATTGCTACTTTAAAAAACGTCTACAGGGAAGGGAAGCACTACGAGAAGTCCCTGATCAGTCATTTCGAGGGTTCCCAGTCAAACTAATAGTTTTTCACTACTTTTATTGAAATGAAGTAGTTGTTATTATAAATCAAATACAGCAAAACTAAATTCTAACTGAAGCAGGTATAGTGTGTGGCTACGGAAACCAGCACTAGCACTCCAATCAGATTGCTCTGAACCAGTCTAGGACCAGTCCAGGATAGTTAAGGACGAGTCCAGGACCAGTTTTGGACCAGTCCAGGAGCTCAGTCCCACAGGAGAAGAGAGGGGGAGATAAGAAGTTATGAAGGGCCAATATTTCAAAACAAAACCAAAATCTTATGAATGCAGATGTGTTTTTATCTTCAGTCTGAAAACAGTGATTACAAACTGAACCTGAGCATTTTCAATTTTATTTAACACTTTACAAATGTCTTCTATGTACAAAACAAATATACAGCTCACAACTGCACACAGTAATGCTAACACGCTAGCTCCATGAAACCCAATAGGGAAGTGCTCATGGAGAAGTTTAGCTCCAACTCTCTCTGGACTCTCTCTGGACTCTCTCTGGACTCTCTCTGGACTCTCTCTGGACTCTCTCTGGACTCTCTCTGGACTCTCTCTGGACTCTCTCTGGACTCTCTCTGGACTCTCTCTGGACTCTCTCTCTTTGGTCTCTCTAATAGTGTCAATGGAGGAAAAAAACCATGTGTCGAGTACCATGTGACGAGAACTATCTGACAGGAACCATGGGACTAGAACTCCAGAACGTGGCTCATGGGGTCAGTGGAGCTCATTTGGATCTCCTGCTTCTGTCCGTACAGCCCCTGCTCAACAGCGCCCCCCATCTGTGTGCAGTGGTAATGCAGTGTGGAGAAGAGCCTCTGTCCTGTCCAGGCCTGCACCACATGCTGAGGCTGCATTACTCGCCGGGGACCAGGTTCACTGCCCAGAGACTCCTGAGGCAACAGCAGCACCTCCCCCGGCAGATCCAGCACTGAGAGGAGGCGTCGAGAGGAGGAGGAGCCAGAAGAGGAGCGGAAGAAACGAGTGTGCATGACCGCGTCCGCTGGAGGAGAGAAAGGATAAAGGTAAGGGGAGAGGAGAGAAAGGGGAGAGGTTAGGAAAGGAGCAAGGTGAGAATAAGAGAGAGGGGAGGTAGAGGAGGAGAGAAAAGAGAGGAGAGAGAGGGGAGAAATCCTTAATCTCTAGCAAGAAAGCCTTGGCAGGGTATGTGCACTCGGAGAACCTCACCGATCCTCTGTGTGGTGTCGTCTGTGGCTCCTTTATAGAAACAAACGTAAACCACCAGACCGGCTCCGATCTGAAAAAGTGAAGCAGATCCAAACCATGGACTATTACAGATGGACAATGCTAACCTACTAGCTCAATGCCCATTGAGCTAGCATCTCCAGTAACCTTAGCAACTGCCTTGGCAGACTGTCAGTCATCTCCTAATGTACAGTCTATGATTCAGTCCATCACTCTAGTCTCAGACCTGTGCGTACTCAGACTCCCGTCCGTTGACTCCTGGTCGTGTTTTGACTCTGGCTGTGCCGCACTGCTGAACCACCACACGAGCCTCCAGGGGGCGCCCTCTGATACTACACACAGACACACATTACAATTACAGATTACAATGTAAACTCTTCCTCTTCAGTCTCTCTGCTCATACCTGTCTGTTCTGGTATCTCTCTGCCGTCTTCTCTGTGTGATCTCTGTGATCTCTGTGGTCTTGCTGGTTTCTGGTTTGGACCTGGATACACTCTGATCCCCGTCCTGGATCCTTGTACTGGGCTCTACCCTCCCCACATTGACCCTCCTATTCACCTCTGACCTGTGGTACTGTACTGTATGATTTATGTTTGCACCCTGGACATTGGTGTTTGGATCTGCAGTCTCTCTTTGACCCTTGACATTTGGATCTCCAGTCTCTTGTTGACCATTGGCGTTTGGATCTCCGCTCTCTCCCCTGATCTTGGGGGAGATTTCCTCATCTGCAAAGTGCTTCCTTTTGAGAGGGCGCCCCCTGCTGCTGTGCGTGGGCCTCTGCAGGAGAGAAGAGAGAACTATTATGTGTAAAGTATAGAGTTTACAGAGTTAGCTGTTGGCTGAACCATCTGAAAGTCTGTCAAACCAACTGGGACTGGGAGACCATATTTCCTGGTGGCCCTGATGTGGATTTGACCCATGATTGACAGAATCACCGGTGTCCCCCAAGGCTCAAATACTTGCCCCCTTTAATTTATCACTTTCAAAATTAATGTGCAGTTTTGTTAACTTAAAATAGTTTTATTTACTTCTATTTGCAATATTCTGGAAGATCTGGAACAGACTTCCTTTCTTTCATTCCTTTTCCGACATTTTCCTAAAAATAAACCCCAATTAGAGAAATACATTTTAGCGTAATAGAACTCTATAAGTTCTCCACTTTAAAAGAGCAGTTGACACAACTATACACGCCACAAGAAAAGAGTATTTTGACTGAATGAGTGAATATTTACATTGTTCTTAATGGCGAGATTTACTTCCTGTCCCTCGGAGGGCTTTACCTCTGCTGCGTGACGTCAACTGCAACCCAGCAATACACACGGCCAAATCCCCCCTCCCCCACACGAAACCAGCAACTAGATATCAATAGTCGGTATCAATATTTATACCAATATTTTGTACATCCCTCCGACAAAGTGTCATCTCTCACCTCGCTACTGGGTCTGGCCTGAACTGGTTTTGGGATCGCTGGTGTCTGGTCCGGAGTCTGAACTGGTTTTGGGATTGCTGGTGTCTGGTCCAGAGTCTGAACTGGTTTTTGGATCGCTGGTCTCTGGTCTGGCGTCTGGACTGGTTTTGAGACCACTGAACTCTGGTCTGGAGTCTGGACTGGTTTTGGGACCACTGGTCTGTGGTCCTGAGCCCAGATGGGGGTCATGACGGCGTTCTGGGTGGTGAGTGTATTGTGAGAGGTGAAGATGTTGTGAGAAGTCGAGAGCAGGAAGGAGCCTCCGGACTGCAGGTTCAGAGGAGGCCCCATGTGAACCAGGATCGGCAGCGGACTTTGGAATGGACTTGGGAACTGGACCTGAAGTTCGGATTGGACTTTCTGGATGACTTGTGTCTGTACCAGTTCCTCAATGGGAAAGTGTAGATCGACTGTGGGCTGAGCCTTGGTCTCTGCTGATCTCTGAGTCTGGACCTGGTTTTGAGTTTGTTTTCTGGCAGATGCAGCCTTAAGCTGAACTGGGGTCTTGGTCTGGACTTTCGTCTGGAGCTTCTGTTGAACCTTTTTCACCTAAAATTGGAAAGTGGAAAAGATCAGAATCTGTCACTCATTACCCACTTCAGACCAGAGCGACCACAGTGGGAAAGGTTGGCGTATTTCAACCTTTCCCAGAAGGGTTGTTTGAACCCTGGGAAAACAGGAATTGTCAAAATAAAAGGGTCATAACAAACTTCACACTTTTGTCTCACTCTGGTCCGTCACTCTGGTCCGTCACTCTCTCTCTCTCTGGTGTCTCTCTCTCTGGTGTCTCTCTCTCTGGTCTCTCTCTCTCTGGTCTCTCTCTCTCTGGTCTCTCTCTCTCTGGTCTCTCTCTCTCTGGTCTCTCTCTCTCTGGTCTCTCTCTCTCTGGTCTCTCTCTCTCTGGTCTCTCTCTCTGGTCTCTCTCTCTGGTCTCTCTCTCTGGTCTCTCTCTCTGGTCTCTCTCTCTGGTCTCTCTCTCTGGTCTAACCGCAGACTAACAGATGGGACATAGACTGAACAGACTGTATAGTTGTTGTTCCAGGTGTAAAGACCTCGATTTCTGCATCAGATTCACTTTTGTTGCTGAAGACGTCGCTCTGTTCAGAGTCGCTGCTCCCTCTGCAAACATTAATAATCATAACAATAATAATAATAGAAATCATCATAGTTTACACACATTTACGTTTTACCAACATTTTAAATACAGGAGCTTTTACTTCACAGAGCTGTCTCTGCATACTAAGTCTGTTCATGACTCCTGGGACTCTGAGGAGCCCAGCGACTTCTCACCTCTGCCGACGGTGGTTCTGGTCCTTCAGTTGACACACAGCACACTTGCTGATCCACAGAGTTATGTCAGAGCGCATGGTTCTCCAGTGACACCTGCAACAGAGGCATGGATCTATTATAATATCTGGATAGGGTATTACTAGCTTGGCGCTGAAGGACCCACATGCTCGGGGGATTCTCGCGGTACTGCAGACTAAATGTTTCCCAAAGAACTCAATATAAACTAAAACAGCTCAGCCTCAGCTGACAGAGAACTGACAGCTTTTATAAAATTATTTTTGTGGGGATTTTAATATCCTTTGTCATCCTGAACTTTTTTCTTCTTAAATCCTTTGGTTTTCTTTAAATCCACACTTTAGTGCCACAAACTCTGCTCTAATTCCCGCTCTAGCTCCGCTCTGATCAACAGCTCTGATTGGGCAGAGTGTGGTCGAGCCCCGCTGTGCACGTGCATAAGAGCCACACATGCGTCTTTGGCGCAACACATCATGGGAGCACCAGACCGGGAGGACCAGATGATGCCCAAATATGGCGAGTTCTGCTAATCTTTCAACCTCCATGATGGCCACTGAGCACAAGCCTTTGATTTGAATAGGACACCATCTTGGATCGCTGGGGCTTAAGCAAAAGTCACTGTTAGCATTGTTAGCAAAGCAGCATGACGCCCCTCTCCCTTTAACACTCCTCTCCCTCTGACTCCCCCTCTCCCTCTGACTCCCCCTCTCCCTCTGACCCCTCTCTCCCTCTGACTCCCCTCTCCCTCTGACTCCCCCTCTCCCTCTGACTCCCCCTCTCCCTCTGACTCCCCCTCTCCCTCTGACTCCCCCTCTCCCTCTGACTCCCCCTCTCCCTCTGACCCCTCTCTCCCTCTGACCCCTCTCTCCCTCTGACTCCCCCTCTCCCTCTGACTCCCCCTCTCCCTCTGACTCCCCTCTCCCTCTGACCCCTCTCTCCCTCTGACTCCTCTCCCCCTCAGACTCTCCTCCCCCTCAGACTCTCCTACCCCTCAGACTCTCCTACCCCTCAGACTCTCCTCTCCTTCAAACTATCCTTTCCCAAAGACTCATCTCCCTAAGACTCATCTCCCCAAGACTCTCCACTCCCTCAGATTCTCCTCTTCCTCAGCATGAGGGACCTCTCCCTCAGACTCACCTCTCATTGAGGAGACGCAGACACTTGGTGAAGTCCAGATGGTTCAGTTCGTCATGAAACTCCGTCAACGCCTCCCTCACCTGCTGCCGACTGCGCAAGACGGGCACCGAGCGAGAGCGCAGGCGGATGTGCAGCACACCGTCTGAGGGATGAGTGAGGGAGGCATGAGGGATTGGGACGTGCCTGGTACTACAGCCACAACACGTAGGTTTTTTTTTTCTTTCTCCAAGCGTGCCTGGTACTACAACCTAAACACTTAGGTTTTTTTCTCTCAAAACACTCTGGTGTGCCTGGGACTACAAAGTCAGCTCTTGGACCTTGTAAACCGCTTTGTGACTCTGGTCTGTGGCATGAGGGAGTGAAGGGTGGTATGAGGGAGTGAGGGAGACATCTCTCGTCTCACTCTGGTCTCGCTCTCTTGTAATTTTCAAATGTGTAATTTTCAAAAGTCTTATTATGTTTAATGCCCAAAAATAATAATAAAAATCTTCTTTAACCCGCTGTTTTTTTTCCTCTCAGTAATTGATTATTGAGGATTATTATTACTGTGTGTAGACTGTTGTAATTGTACTGAGTTCCAAACCTTTAACAAAGAACTTCTTGCAGAACCTCCTGAAGGTGTTTTTCTCCACAAAGGTGAGACCTGGAGGATACGTCCGGCTGCTGATGTACAGCTGCACCGCTGAGTACTTAGCAAAGAAGGCATCCTACAAACACACACACACAACGAGAGAGAGAGAGAATGTGAAGTGGAATGTGAATCTGAAATGTGAGTTTGGTTTGTGAGCTTACCTCCTGGTCCTCCTCCATCTCAACAGCTGCACATCCTTCATTCCGGCTCTTGATCTGACCACAAAAAACACTCTTTAGTCCTGGTCCACTCCTGGTCCACTCCTGGTTCTGACCAGCCCTGTGAGTCAGTTTTTGCCTCTTTGGGGTGAGGGCTGATTGCCTGAGTGAGGGCGGTCCTCTTTTTTATCTAAAGATGTGACCGAGGCCAGAAACAGTGGCGTTCCAAGGGTACCCCGGGGCCCCAGGCAACAGAGTCCTTGGGGGCCCCGATACCGACCACATAACCAGATTTTGTAGTCCTACAAAATAATTTGGCTCTTAGCTTTAAAAAGGGACCTAATCTTATTTTGTTGGTATATTGTGGTCTTTTTTTGTGTTATATGAAATCCATTTTGACAGATAGTTTCACCCTTAGTGGTTTCTATCAATAATTATCATGCAAAAAGAAATTCGCGGAAAAATTGCAGAGACCGGAAGTGACGTACACGTAGGGGTTCAGCCGGATTGATATCCGGCTGAACACTGACGCAGGCAAAGTCTCAATCCTAATCCTGTTAGATTTGAGTGCTGCCTTTGACACTGTCGACCATGAGATCCTCTTACAGAGACTAGAGCAGGGGTGCTCACACTTTTTCAGCATGCGAGCTACTTATAAAAGGATCAAGTCAAAATGATCTACCTACTAGAAAAATGCAAATCATATATTTCAAAAAATATTCTTTTTATCTACAATGTATGTTTATGTACCTGCAAAACCGCATGAGCCAATATAGCACAACACAACACAATTACCTATGTAAATTTTTTGTCATTACCCGAGTTTACTCTTATGACTTGCACTGAATTGAATCGGCCAGGGAGGCATAGTCCGGAAAATTGGTGGTAACTCGCTGACAAGTTTGTCGTGGTTTAGCTTTCCTGCACTGAGCGCGGTTGTTTGCGCATGTGCAGTCACCTAAGTGTCAGTAAAACATTACTGAGTAAAACACAGATGTCATTTGACTGTGGTGCCATGTCCATGTGCCATGCCTGTTTTTTTTTAATCCAAATATTTCCCCTCCTCCGTTTATAAAATAATTTGCATCCACACATCTGCGTTATCAATCACATTCGTAACATTCCAAACATGTGCGTCTCTTACGTCCTGTCCTGCGTTGGGGAAAAACACTGAAGTGGGCGGAGTTCTGATGCAGACGCCGGTAACGGCACTTTTACAGTCATAGAAGACACTCAGAGTAAAGACGTATGTTTACAAGCACTGACCCCGTCCTCAGCCCTGGTTTAGTCCTGGTTTAGTCCTGGTTTGGTTATTTTCGAGCTTGAGTCCCCGCGATCACTTTGCTGCTCTCTGATGTGGAGCGAGGATGTTCGCGAACAGTTTTTAAGGTAGTATGATCCATGCTTCAGTGATCAGAGGAATTTAGGGGGGTACTGTGGCGTGCGAGAACGCAAAACTCCGGTTATCTCTGTCTACACACAAATGCATTAACGGAGTTTTAAAAAATCTCCACTTTGCCCGGAGTTTTTTGTATATATTCGTTTAGAATGTGTAATTTTTTATTTATTTAATGCGATCTACCAATACTACCTTTGCGATCGACTGGTAGATCGCGATCGACGTATTGAGCACCCCTGGACTAGAGGACTGGGTTGGCGTCGCTGGCACCGCCCTAAGTTGGTTTAGGTCTTACCTTGAAGACAGGAAGTACTTTGTGGAGATTGGAAACTGTGTCTCAGATCATATGGCCCTGACCTGTGGAGTACCACAGGGGTCGATCCTGGGACCTCTTCTGTTCAATCTCTACATGCTGCCGTTAGGTCAGTTAATACGCAGAAACGAAGTGTCCTATCTCAACTATGCAGACGACACTCAGATCTATGTCTCACTGACTGCAGGAGAGCATGGACCAGTGGACTCACTCCTTCACTGTATCCAACAGATCAGTGAGTGGATGCAAAACAACTTCCTTCAGCTAAACGCAGACAAAACTGAAATGATTTGTCTTTGGTCCCCAGAAACAAAGAGAGAGCGTCATCTGTCATCTACAGTCTCTCTCCTTAAAACCTTCAAACAAGGTCAGAAATCTAGGGGTAATACTGGACTTAGACTTAAATTTTAATAGCCACATCAAATCAGTAACATCAGCAGCCTTTTACCATCTAAAAAACATTGCCAGGATCAAAAACATAGTGTCTAAAGCAGACTTGGAGATTCTTATCCATGCATTTGTCTCCAGTAGGTTAGACTACTGCAATGGCCTGCTCACAGGTCTGTCCAAACAGGCTGTAAAACAGCTGCAGTACATTCAAAATGCAGCAGCTCGAGTCCTGACTAGAACCAGGAAGTACGACCATATTAGTCCGGTCCTCAGGACTCTGCACTGGCTTCCTGTGGCTCAGAGAATAGACTTTAAAACAGCTCTGCTTGTGTACAAGTCTCTCCATGGCCTCGCACCAAAATATATTAGTGACATGTTAGTCCCATATGAACCAGCCCGGAATCTGAGGAGCACAGGGACTGGACTCCTGTTAGTGCCCAGAGTCAGAACTAAACATGGGGAGGCTGCTTTTCAGATTCATGCTGCTAAAATCTGGAACAATCTTCCTGAAGATGTGAGACAGGCCTCCTCTCTGACAATGTTTAAAACCAAGTTAAAAACGGTGCTGTTTAGCTGTGCATACAACTGAGGGATTTTATATTTTTATCTTTCTTTTTAATGTTCTGTGATTATTTATGATTTTAATGCTATCTTGTTCAGCACTTTGAGTTGCCTTGTGTATGAATTGTGCTATACAAATGAACTTGCCTTGCCTTGCCTTGCCATTGGGCTTTGTTGATATGCATGGGCTTCAGCCAACCATGGACAGCACAATTATGACAACAGTGACGTCGCCCGGCATGGCGCAGCCGGGGCCCCACCCTGGAGCCAGGCCTGGGGTCGGGGCTCGCAAGCAAGCGCCTGGTGGCCGGGCCACCAGGCGCGTCAGAAGGGACTGACGTGGGCAGTCCCTTCTGTGGGCCCACCAGAGGACTGGGCAGCAGTCGAAGGCGGAAACCTTGGCGACCCAGTCCGCACGCACAGCATCTGGCTCTTGGGACGTGGAATGTCACCTCACTGGGGGAGAAGGAGCCCGAGCTCGTGGGGGAGGTTGAGCGATACCGACTAGAGATAGCTGGACTCACCTCCACACACAGCTTGGGCTCTGGAACCCAACTCCTTGAGAGGGTTTGGACGCTCCACTTTTCTGGTGTTTCCCGCGGGGAGAGGCGGCGAGCTGGGGTGGCCATACTCATTGCCCCCATCTAAGCCGCCACGTGTTGGAGTTCTCCCCGGTGAATGAGAGGGTCGCGTCCCTCTGCCTCCGGGTGGGGGACAAGTCTCTCACTGTTGTGACGGCCTACGGGCCTAACAGCAGTGCAGAGTACTCGGCCTTCTTGGAGTCCTTGGGAGGTGTACTGGACAGTGCACCGCCCGGGGACTCCGTTATTCTCCTGAGAAACGCCCATGTGGGAAATGCCAGTGACACCTGGAGAGGGGTGATCGGGAAGAACGGTCCCCCTGATCTGAACCCGAGCGGTGTTCAGTTGTTGGACTTCTGTGCTAGTCACGGTTTGTCCATCACGAATACGCGACCTTCGACCGCGTGTCTCGGACACTCGGGTGAAGAGAGGCGTGGAGCTGTCAACCGATCACCACCTGGTCGGGAGTTGAATCCGCGTGTAGTGAGGGTCTGCTGGGAACGTCTCGCTGAACCCCTTGTCAGACGGACTTTTAACTTGCACCTCCGAGAGAGCTTCTCCCAGGTCCCGGCGGAGGAGAGGGACATTGAGTCTGAGTGGACCATGTTCTCTTCCTCTATCGCCGATGCAGCAACCCCCGAACCCGGTGATGGACACCGGCAGTAAGGGATGCCGTCAGACCGAAGAAGGAGTCCTATCGAGCCATGATGGTTCGTGGGACTCCTGAGGCAGGTGTCCAGTACCGGCAGGCCAAGCGTGCTGCGGCCCGGGCTGTTGCAGAGGCAAAAACCCGGGACTGGGAGGAGTTCGGAGAGTCCATGGAGCATTCGGCCTCGAAGAGATTCTGGAAAACCGTCCGGCGCCTCAGGAGGGGGAAGTAGTTCTTTGCCAACACCGTGTACGGTGCGGGAGGAGAGCTGCTGACCTCGACTGGGGATATTGTCGGGCGGTGGAATGAATACTTCGAGGTTCTCCTCAATCCCCCAGTAATGTCCTCCGCCCCGGAAGCTGAGGATGTTGGGGCGGACACTTCCATCTCCCTGGCTGTGGTCACCAAGGTGGTTGGCAGCCTCCATGGTGGCAAGGCGCCGGGAGTGGATGAGATCCGTCCTGACTATCTAAAGTCTCTGGATGTTGTAGGACTGTCTTGGCTGACACGTCTCTGCAACATCGCGTGGCGCTCGGGGGCAGTAGCACTGGAGTGGCAGACCGGGGTGGTGGACCCTCTCTACAAGAAGGGGGACCGGAGGGTGTGTTCCAATTATTGTGGGATTACACTCCTCAGCCTCCCCGGTAAGGTTTACTCCAAGGTACTGGAGAGGAGACTACGACCGATGGTCGAATCTCGGATCCAGGAGGAGCAGTGTGGTTTTCGTCCCGGCCGCGGAACACTGGGCCAGCTCTACACAGGCGTTCGACCGTGTTCCCCTTTGGGGGGTTCTCCGGGAGCATGGGGTCCAGGATCCTCTGCTGAGGGCTGTCCGGTCCCTATATGACCGGAGCCAGAGCTGTGTTCACATCGCCGCAGTAAGTCAGACCTGTTCCCAGTGCATGTTGGCCTCCGCCAAGGCTGCCCTTTGTTAACGGTTCTGTTCACTGTTTATGGGCAGAATTTCTAGGCGCAGCCAGGGGGCGGAGGGGGTCCGGTTCGGGGACCACAGGATTTCATCCCTGCTTTTGATGATGTTGTCCTGTTGGCTCCAACAAACCAGGACCTGCAACATGCACTGGGACGGTTTGCAGCAGAGTGTGAAGCGACTGGGATGAGAATCAGCACCTCCAAATCCGAGGCCATGGTGCACCAGACCGGAAAAAGGTGCCTTGCCTCAAGTGGAGGAGTTCAAGTATCTCGGGGTCTTGTTCACGAGTGAGGGAAGGATAGAGCGTGAGATTGAAAGAAGGATCGGTGCAGAGTGATGAGGTCGCTGTATCGGACCGTCGTGGTGAAGAGGGAGCTGAGCCGAAAGGGTCCCCCCCGGACGAGCTGGAGGAAGTGTGTGTGGATAGGGAAGTCTGAGCGTCTCTGCTTAGACTGCTGCCCCCGCGACCCGGCAACGGATGACGCGGAAGAAAATGGATGGATGTATGGATGATACGCATTTGTAAGCCATAACGTTGTATACGGATGTTTTAAACAGATATTTGTTATTCAGTGATGGACAATACAAGTCAGGAGCTTTTATTTATGAGCCCTTGCATACTTTTTATGACAGTAATTGTGATTTTGAGGACTCTGACTCGGTTCAGATGAGGAGCAATCTGCAAGAAATGGACATTTGCGGACATTAGGGCTGTTTCCACGGGCTGGAGTCATGTCATGGTCCAACCGGGTCCGACCCGTCTCGACCCGGTTTGCGAATGCGGTCAGTTTGAGCTCGATGGAGCACCCGAGTGAGTGTAAATAGCTAAGTGTCAGTGAAGGTAGCGCTAGGGACAAAGGAGTACATAAGGGACATCATAGTGCAGAGAAAAGTAAAGAAGCGTAAAAGTGACTACCGTGAAATGAAAGATCCCAGCTGTAAAAGTGGACAGAACTGAAAAGTCTGGAGGTGGTTTGACAAGCTGGATTAACGCTATTTTTACGGACATCAGCTGACACGCTAACACCAGCTAACAAGCTAACACCAGCTAACACCAGCCTGCAGGTCTATACCCGAAACTCAGAGAGAGAGAAGCCTCAACTGTCCCAGCTCCAGATGTTGCGTTTGAGAGAAATGGTGAGTGTCTTCTATCAAATGCAAACATGTAGCGTTATGGTCTTATTCTGAATGTGTGTCTGTGGTTCTAAAGTCTAAAACATGATGGTATGTGTAATATCTATATATTTTACAAAACGTAGTCAGAGTGAAACATGGATTCATGGTTCAATGACAGTTGTTGTGTTTTCTGCTGAATACTGGGTTGAAACTCATTAAATTGGTTTTAGTTGGAGCTTGATAGAACTAATTTCATGGAACTTGCGCTGGTGTCTTCTCTCAGTCTGTTTGGACCGTCGCCTTCTCTGAATGAGTCAAAGATTGTAGGGACTGCTGTTTACACTCTTCTTTTGTAACTTTCATTGCTGCATCCCGGGGCCATACAAAATGCACCCAATTTAAGGTTTATTTGTGTCAAAGCGGCAGCAGGAACAATGTCATAAACAGTAAAGAGGGAGCTGCGACCCCTACAAGTACGTCATCATTTTTCTGGCCAATCAGAGGCGTTGATATTAAAAACTTATTTTATTTATTACTTTTATCTATACTTATCTATACTTATCTATAACAACACAAAAACACATTGCAAAGGTGGGAAATACATACTTTTAATGTGTTTTATCAGAAAAAAAAAAAATGAACGTTAGTTTTAATAACGTTAGTGCCCTTTTAATCTGCAAAAAACTGCTTGTTTTTACCTCTTACCGTTTTTGAGCAATCTGTCATAGAATATAATATATATAGTTTAATCCAAAACATAGATCTCTCTCGGTTTGGAACCCGGGTTGTCGCGTCACAAGCGCTGCAACTTAACCACTAGACCACCATGACAAACTATACATTGTTAACTCCAGGCAGGGTTTTTAACTGTTAATCAAGAACAAGGCAAGTTTTGCATCAGACGAAAAGTTTTTATCCGTCACTGCAGATAGCTGTTATAGCCTGTACAAGTCAACCGCTTGGGTCAAATCAGTCGGCCCTGGGGTGCCCCCTGCAGGTTTGGGGGCCCCAGGCAGCTGCCTGCCTTGCCTAATGGCAAGGGACGCCTCTGGCCAGAAACACATGAAACTCGTTATAGAAGTAACTGTTTAATATTTGTTATATTTTGTGAGATGAAAGTTACGTCCCCCAGCTTTAAAGAGGACATAACATACCTATGTATGCTCTAAAGCTCTGCCCCTGCTCTCTGAGGGTCTGTAGTTTAGGCCTGCTGTTGATCCCTCTTACCCCCTTGTCTCCGTGGACCTTGATGGTGGGCACAGCGTCTGGCCTCAGCTCCCGTCTCTCCCCTCCCCCTCCCTCTCTGTTGAAGCAGTCCTCAGTGAAGTGGGCAGAGCAGACGGAGGACCAGAGGTGCGGGTACCAGTGGGGGCGCCCTGCCGCCTTCTGCCACCGGGCAAGCAGAGCCGGGCTGTGGATGGGGAAACTGCAAAGAGAGAAAGACTTTAGCTTTGGTTTCAATAGGACCCATAGAGAGATGGAGCTTCATTGAGATTGCGGGTTAGCATTGTCCATCTGTATTAGCATCTGTATACAATCTGTGTTAGCATTTTCCATCTGTATAAAGTCTATGATAGCATTCTCCGTCTATCATGGATCTATTATAATAAGTGCCTAGGGTATTAGTGCTTTATAGCTGAAGTACCCATGTGCTTGGAGGCTGCCGTGGTCCTCCCTCACTACAGGACCACGGCAGCCCCCAAATTCATGTGGGTAACCCATATTTTTTACCCATAGGACACAATGTAAACCAAAACAGCTCAACCTGACCTGACAGAGAACCTACATTAAAGTCCATGTCATCTTGAACTTTTTGTGTGTGTTTTCTTTAAATCCACACTCTGCTCGTTTCCCTCTGACCCTAGCTTGTCCATTGCGTAAAACTAGGAGGACAGAGAAATTCCCAAATATAGGTAGGCTCCGTTAATCTTTGGGTGTCCATGGTAGCTTCATGCGCCACTGCGCATAAGCAATAGTTTTAGATATACTTGGATATACCTGTATACAGTCTATGTTAGCATTTTCCATCTATATACTGACTGTGTTAGCACCGTCCATCTGTATACAGTCTATGTTTGCATCATCCCGTTGTCTACAGTCTATGGTGCGTTCTTGGGGGGTTTAGGGTCAGAATTAGGTTGTACTTGTGGAAGGTCAGCCCCAGTTTCCTCTCCACAGGCCCGGAGCAGTTGGTGCAGGACATTACGCTGCAGCGGAGCCACTTCCTTTTGGACCTGGTGGAGCAGGTGGAGCAGCGGCTGATCCAGCAGCTTAGGTCTCTCCTCATGGTGGACCAGTAGAAGTGTCGGACCATGGATCTGAAGCAGGCACCATGGCCATAGTGACCACTGTTATCATGGTACTGCTGCAGGATGGCTATCACCTGTGGGAGACACATGTTGGCCTGTAGCATTAGCATAGCACTCACATAGGTTTGATGTGAGTATGAAGTTATTAAGAGGTCTGTTCAGCCTCCTATCTTCCTCTCACCCCTCTCTCCTTTCTCACCCCTCTATAATCTCTAACTCAAGATTCTGTGCCAAAATATCTGACCTCCTCTCTGCTGCGTGGGACTCGGACCTGACGCGTGCGCAAGTTGTAGTAAAGAACTCCGTCTGAAACAAAGCAGGAAAAGGACAGGTTATTTGTATAGCACACTTCATACAGACTCTCCCCCATATTGAGCTCTACTCAAACTCATGTTGATCTCTGGCCAAACTTGATTGCGAAAGCCAAATCCTGTCGGACTTCTGAAGCTAAGCAGTACAGGGCCTGGCTAGTGCTGTGATGGGAGATCTCGGGGAACACCAGTTGCCACAGTGGGGTGGCTGAGGCTGTAAAGTGACAAACTGGTTGTTTCTTTAGGTAAGACACTTCACCCACATTAGAATGAGATGTGTGAGTGAATGGTTGTGCGGTAGTGGGAGGGGCTAATGGAACATACTGGTTGCCTCGCTGCTGTGACCAAAAGTCACAGATCAAACTGACCCCAATTATCATGAGGCACACCCCACTTCAGACAAAAGTACATCAGCTGTTAAAGTTTGAAGATGTGCTTGAAGGGAGAGCACAGACCGATGAGGGAGAAGCGTTTGGCTGTCCTCCTCAGAGATCCTTTCGTCCTCTTGTTCTGAGGAGGCAGGATTCTGTGGCTCAGGTACCTGCAACACAACCACATCAGTATCAGCAAGTCTGATTAAAGAGAGACCCCCTCATCAGCCAAAATCCAGGAATTCTGTTCTATCTATCTCTGGTCTCTCACTCTGGTCTCTCCATCTCTCTCTGGCCTCACCGTGCGATGTGGTTGTAGGTGGTGAAGGTGGCGCTCTGCCTGGACTTGCTCTCTAGGTCTGGGGTCTCTCTCTGGTCCAGGTCCGGGACTCTCTGGCTGTACTGGTGCTCCTGATGCCCATGATGCTCTTGTGCTGAGGCCGTAGCTCCGCTCAGCAGGTCTTCCAGAGACGAAGAGCCAAAGAGAGGGTCCTCACAGTCAGACTCCTGTACACGCGCCACACACACGCACGCACATATACATAATAAATTATAATGATAAGTGGATAGGGTATTACTAAATTGGAGCTGAAGGACCCATGTACTCGGTGTATTCTCGCGGAACCGCAGACTAAATAATACTTAATTCATGTGGACTACCCAGAAATTTTCCCTATAGAACTCAATGTAAGCTAAAACAGCTCAACCTCAGCTGACAGAGAATCTACAGCTACCTAAAGGTCAGATTTTGTGTGGATTTAAGTGCACTTTTTTCTTGTTAAAACGATCAATTTTCTTTAAATCCATGCATAAATCCAACAAACTCTGCTTGTTTGCCTGACGCTCGAGCTCCGCTCTGATCAGCAGCACCTGATTGGTCAGAACGCGTCTGTGCCCCTTTGTGCATGTGCGTGTGTGTGTACCTGTTTGGTTGCCATGGTGACAGAGGGCACAGCCTCTGGCCTCAACTCCTCGCTGTCGTCGTCCTTCTGTTGGAAACATTCAGGAGGGAAGTGTCTGGAGCAGAGTTTGGAGCCTTTTCTGACAGATCCTTCGTCTCTTTGAGCCGCCGCCAGCCACAGCTGCCTCCTCTGCCCCGGCCGCGGGAAGCTGGGACAGACACACACGTTACACTCAACCAGACAACTACACAACTACTATACAACATACTATACAACACGACAGTTTAAAGCCACAACAATAGTAATTAAGATTCCCCACAATGGGAAATTTCAATAAAACCCATGTTTCTGATTCAGAGAGACAGAGGAAGACAGAGGGAGACAGGGAGAGACAGAGAGAGACAGGGGGAGACAGAGAGAGACAGGAAGAGACAGAAGACAGAGGGACACAGAGAGAGACAGAAGACAGAGGGAGACGGGGGAGACAGGGAGAGACAGAGAGAGACAGAGAGACAGGAAGAGACAGGAAGAGACAGGAAGAGACAGGAGACAGGGGGAGACAGAGAGAGACAGGGGGAGACAGGGAAAGAGAGAGAGACAGAAGACAGAGAGAGACAGGGGGAGATATAGGGAGACAGAGAGACAGAAGACAGAGAGAGACAGGGGGAGACAGAGGGAGACAGAGAGAGACAGAAGACAGAGGGAGACGGGGGAGACAGGGAGAGACAGGGAGAGACAGAAGACAGAGGGAGACAGAGGAAGACAGGGAGAGACAGGGAGAGAGGGAGAGACAGGGGGAGACAGGGAGAGACAGAGAGAGACAGGGAGAGACAGAAGACAGAGGGAGACAGAGGAAGACAGGGAGAGACAGGGAGAGACAGAGATACAGAGGGAGACAGAGGGAGACAGGGAGAGACAGAAGACAGAGGGAGACAGAGGAAGACAGGGAAAGACAGGGAGAGACAGGGAGAGACAGGGAGAGACAGAGATACAGAGGGAGACAGAGGGAGAGACAGAAGACAGAGGGAGACACAGGGGAGACAGGGAGAGACAGGGAGAGACAGAGATACAGAGGGAGACAGGGAGAGACAGAAGACAGAGGGAGACAGAGGAAGACAGGGAAAGACAGGGAAAGACAAAAAGGAGACAGAAGACAGGGAGACGGAGACAGAGAGAGACAGGAAGAGAAAGGGAGACAGGGGGAGACAGAGGGAGACAGAGAGAGACAGGCAGAGAGAGACAGGGAGAGACAGAGGGAGACAGAGGGAGACAGTGAAAGACAGAGAGACAGAGGCAGAGAGAGACAGGAATACAGAGGGAGACAGGGAGAGACAGGAAGAGACAGGAGACAGAGGGAGACAGAGGAAGACAGGGAAAGAGAGAGAGACAGAAGACAGAGAGAGACAGAGAGAGACAGGGGGAGACAGAGGGAGACAGAGAGAGACAGAAGACAGAGGGAGACACAGGGGGAGACAGGGAGAGACAGGGAGAGACAGAGATACAGAGGGAGACAGGGAGAGACAGAGATACAGAGGGAGACAGAGGGAGACAGGGAGAGACAGAAGACAGAGGGAGACAGAGGAAGACAGGGAAAGAGAGAGAGACAGAAGACAGAGAGAGACAGAGAGAGACAGGGGGAGACAGAGGGAGACAGAGAGAGACAGAAGACAGAGGGAGACAGGGAGAGACAGAGATACAGAGGGAGAGAGGGAGAGACAGAAGACAGAGGGAGACACAGGGGGAGACAGGGAGAGACAGGGATACAGAGGGAGACAGGGAGAGACAGGGAGAGACAGAAATACAGAGGGAGACAGAGGGAGACAGAGGAAGACAGGGAAAGAGAGAGAGACAGAGAGAGACAGGGGGAGACAGAGGGAGACAGAGAGAGACAGAAGACAGAGGGAGACAGGGAGAGACAGGGAGAGACAGAGATACAGAGGGAGACAGGGAGAGACAGAAGACAGAGGGAGACACAGGGGGAGACAGGGAGAGACAGAGATACAGAGGGAGACAGGGAGAGACAGAGATACAGAGGGAGACAGGGAGAGACAGAAGACAGAGGGAGACACAGGGGGAGACAGGGAGAGACAGGGAGAGACAGAGATACAGAGGGAGACAGAGGGAGAGACAGAAGACAGAGGGAGACACAGGGGGAGACAGGGAGAGACAGGGAGAGACAGAGATACAGAGGGAGACAGGGAGAGACAGAAGACAGAGGGAGACAGAGGAAGACAGGGAAAGACAGGGAAAGACAAAGAGAGACAGAAGACAGGGAGACGGGGAGACAGAGAGAGACAGAGGGAGACAGAGAGAGACAGGAAGAGAAAGGGAGACAGGGGGAGACGGGGGAGACAGAGAGAGACAGGGGGAGACAGAGAGAGACAGAGAGAGACAGAGAGACAGAGGGAGACAGGGAGAGACAGAAGACAGGGAGACAGGGAGAGACAGAAGACAGAGGGAGACAGAGGAAGACAGGGAAAGACAGGGAAAGACAAAGAGAGACAGAAGACAGGGAGACGGGGAGACAGAGAGAGACAGAGGGAGACAGAGAGAGACAGGAAGAGAAAGGGAGACAGGGGGAGACGGGGGAGACAGAGAGAGACAGGGGGAGACAGAGAGAGACAGAGAGAGACAGAGAGACAGAGGGAGACAGAGGGAGACAGGGAGAGACAGAAGACAGGGAGACAGAGGGAGACAGGGAGAGACAGAGAGACAGAGGGAGACAGAGGGAGACATAGGGAGACAGAGGGAGACAGAGAGAGACAGAGGGAGACAGTGAAAGACAGAGAGACAGAGACAGAGAGAGACAGAGAGAGACAGGAATACAGAGGGAGACAGGGAGAGACAGGAAGAGACAGGAAGAGACAGGAAGAGACAGGAAGAGACAGGAAGAGACAGGAAGAGACAGGAAGAGACAGTTCACCTTGGAGAGACCCATGAGGAAAATGCCGTTAGACTTATTAGATTTAAGCATGTTTATTGATTGAGCATGTTTGGCGCCCTAGGCCCGGGAGGGATGCTGTTGAGCACGGCGCTTGCTCGCGTGCATAATCCCCCCCGGGGCCTAGGCACTGGTGGCGGCAGAGGCAGTAGGCAAGCACGCTTTGGTGAGAAAAGGAGGAGGTGGGGCGGAGGAGGCTTGCAGACTTCAGAAGGCCGGGAAGTGGGAGTCTCCGGCTTTTAACTTGCTGTCCTGGTGGTTATTGGTTGGCTGGATGTGGGCGTTGCTGGTCTGATGAGCCGAGGAAGAGCAGCCTGTAGATCTGGGCAAGCAGCAGCCGGGTCTACCACAGTGAACTTTCGCGAAAGCTCCATGAGACAGAGGGAGACAGAGGAAGACAGGGAAAGAGAGAGAGACAGAAGACAGAGAGAGACAGAGAGAGACAGGGGGAGACAGAGGGAGACAGAGAGAGACAGAAGACAGAGGGAGACAGGGAGAGACAGAAGACAGAGGGAGACACAGGGGGAGACAGGGAGAGACAGGGAGAGACAGAAGACAGAGGGAGACAGAGGAAGACAGGGAAAGACAGGGAAAGACAAAGAGACAGAAGACAGGGAGACGGGGGAGACAGAGAGAGACAGAGGGAGACAGGGAGAGACAGGAAGAGAAAGGGAGACAGGGGGAGACGGGGGAGACAGAGAGAGACAGGGGGAGACAGAGAGAGACAGAGAGAGCCAGAGAGAGCCAGAGAGAGACAGAGAGAGACAGAGAGAGACAGAGGGAGACAGAGGGAGACAGAGGGAGACAGGGGGAGACAGGGAGAGAGAGGAAGAGACAGAAGACAGGGAGACAGGGAGACAGGGAGAGACAGGGGGAGACAGAGGGAGACAGAGAGACAGAGAGAGACAGGAATACAGAGGGAGACAGGGAGAGACAGGATGAGACAGGATGAGACAGGAAGAGACAGGAAGAGACAGGAGACAGGGGGAGACAGAGAGAGACAGGGGGAGACAGGGAAAGAGAGAGAGACAGAAGACAGAGAGAGACAGAGAGAGACAGGGGGAGACAGAGGGAGACAGAGAGAGACAGAAGACAGAGGGAGACAGGGAGAGACAGGGAGAGACAGAAGACAGAGGGAGACAGAGGAAGACAGGGAAAGACAGGGAAAGACAAAGAGAGACAGGAGACAGAGAGAGACAGAGGGAGACAGGGAGAGACAGGAACAGACAGGAGACAGAGGGAGACAGAGGAAGACAGGGAAAGAGAGAGAGACAGAAGACAGAGAGAGACAGAGAGAGACAGGGGGAGACAGAGGGAGACAGAGGGAGACAGAGAGAGACAGAAGACAGAGGAAGACAGGGAGAGACAGGGAGAGACAGAAGACAGAGGGAGACAGAGGAAGACAGGGAAAGACAGGGAAAGACAAAGAGAGACAGGAGACAGAGGGAGACAGGGAGAGACAGGGAGAGACAGGACGAGACAGGGAGACAGGGGGAGACAGAGAGAGACAGGGAGAGACAGGAAGAGACAGAAGACAGAGGGAGCCAGAGGAAGACAGGGAAAGACAGAGAGAGACAGAAGACAGAGGGAGACAGAGGGAGACGGGGGAGACAGAGAGAGACAGAGGAAGACAGAGGGAGACAGGGAGAGACAGAAGACAGAGGGAGACGGGGGAGACAGGGAGAGACAGGGGGAGACAGGGAGAGACAGGGAGAGACAGAGATACAGAGGGAGACAGAGGGAGACAGGGAGAGACAGAAGACAGAGGGAGACACAGGGGGAGACAGGGAGAGACAGAGATACAGAGGGAGACAGAGGGAGACAGGGAGAGACAGAAGACAGAGGGAGACAGAGGGAGACAGGGAAAGACAGGGAGAGACAGAGATACAGAGGGAGACAGGGAGAGACAGAAGACAGAGGGAGACAGAGGAAGACAGGGAAAGACAGGGAAAGACAAAGAGAGACAGAAGACAGGGAGACGGGGGAGACAGAGAGAGACAGAGGGAGACAGGGAGAGACAGGAAGAGAAAGGGAGACAGGGGGAGACGGGGAGACGGGGGAGACAGGGGAGACAGAGAGAGACAGAGAGAGACAGAGAGAGACAGAGAGAGACAGAGAGAGACAGAGATAGACAGAGGGAGACAGAGGGAGACAGGGAGAGACAGGAAGAGACAGAAGACAGGGAGACAGAGGGAGACATAGGGAGACAGAGGAGGGAGACAGAGAGAGACAGAGGGAGACAGAGGGAGACAGTGAAAGACAGAGACAGAGACAGAGAGAGACAGAGAGAGACAGGAATACAGAGGGAGACAGGGAGAGACAGGAAGAGACAGGAGACAGAGGGAGACAGAGGAAGACAGGGAAAGAGAGAGAGACAGAAGACAGAGAGAGACAGAGAGAGACAGGGGGAGACAGAGGGAGACAGAGAGAGACAGGGGGAGACAGAGGGAGACAGAGAGAGACAGAAGACAGAGGGAGACAGGGAGAGACAGGGAGAGACAGAAGACAGAGGGAGACAGAGGAAGACAGGGAAAGACAGGGAAAGACAAAGAGAGACAGGAGACAGAGAGAGACAGAGGGAGACAGGGAGAGACAGGGAGAGACAGGGGGAGAAAGGGGGAGACAGGGGGAGACAGGGGGAGACAGGGGGAGACGGGGGAGACAGAGAGAGACAGGGGGAGACAGGGAGAGACAGGAAGAGACAGAAGACAGAGGGAGCCAGAGGAAGACAGGGAAAGACAGAGAGAGACAGAAGACAGAGGGAGACAGAGGGAGACGGGGGAGACAGAGAGAGACAGAAGACAGAGGGAGACAGAGGGAGAGACAGATAGAGACAGGAAGAGACAGGAAGAGACAGAAGACAGAGGGAGACAGAGGGACACAGAGAGAGACAGAAGACAGAGGGAGACAGAGGAAGACAAGGAAAGACAGAGAGACAGAAGACAGAGGGAGACAGGGAGAGACAGATAGAGACAGGAAGAGACAGAAGACAGAGGGAGACAGAGGGACACAGAGAGAGACAGAAGACAGAGGGAGACGGGGGAGACAGAGGAAGACAGGGAAAGACAGAGAGAGACAGAAGACAGAGGGAGACAGGGGAGACAGAGAGAGACAGAGGAAGACAGAGGAAGACAGGGAAAGACAGAAGACCGAGGGAGACAGAAGACAGAGGGAGACAGGGGAGACAGAGAGAGACAGAGGAAGACAGAGGGAGATAGGGAGAGACAGGAAGAGACAGAAGACAGGGAGACAGAGGGAGACAGGGAGAGACAGAGAGAGACAGGGAAAGACAGAGAGAGACAGAGGGAGACAGGGAGAGACAGAGAGAGACAGAGGGAGACAGAGAGAGACAGAGAGAGACAGGGAAAGACAGAGAGAGACAGAAAGAGACAGAGGGAGACAGGAAGAGACAGAAGACAGAGGGAGACAGGGGAGACAGAGGAAGACAGAGGGAGACAGGGAGAGACAGGGGGAGACAGAGAGAGACAGGGAAAGACAGAGAGAGACAGAAAGAGACAGAGGGAGACAGGAAGAGACAGGAAGAGACAGAAGACAGAGGGAGACAGGGGGAGACGGGGGAGACAGAGGAAGACAGAGGGAGACAGGGAGAGACAGGGAGAGACAGGGGGAGACAGAGGGAGACAGAGGGAGACAGAGGGAGACAGGGAGAGACAGAAGACAGAGGGAGACGGGGGGAGACGGGGAGAGACAGGGAGAGACAGGGAGAGACAGAGAGAGACAGGGAGAGACAGGGAGAGACAGGGAGAGACAAGGGGAGACAGAGAGAGACAGGGGGAGACAGAGAGAGACAGGGAGAGACAGAGAGAGACAGGGGGAGACAGAGAGAGACAGAGAGAGACAGGGGGAGACAGAGAGAGACAGGGAGAGACAAGGCGAGACAGGGAGAGACAAGGCGAGACAGAGAGAGACAGGGGGAGACAGAGAGAGACAGAGAGAGAAAGAGGGAGACTGACCTGTGGAAGGTGAGCTCAGGGTATAGATAGCTGGAGCCATCACAGCCGTACGCCAGACAGGTCATCACCACCTCTGAGTGCTCTCTCCCCGTGCGACTTTTGCACTGGACACAGGAACTGATGTAGGACTTCACTGCCTCAGTGACCCCCACCCAGTAATACAGGGACTGGACAGTGACAGAGGCAAAAACAGTGACAGAGGACAAGGCAGAGGACAGAGGCGGAGGGCAGAGACAGAGGCAGAAAGAGAGACAGGACAGATACAAATTTGTTATAATAAAAGTGAAAATAATTTAAGAGGGGGGCATTGAGTCTGAGTGGACCATGTTCTCCGACTCTATTGCATATGCGGTAGCTCAAAGCTGTGGTTGCAAGGTCTCTGGTGCGGGTTCTGGCGGCAACCCCCAAACCCAGTGGTGGACATCGGTAGTGAGGGAAGCCAACCGCCAACGCTGAAACGCTGAAGCCCCGCTCACCAGACGCGCATTCTCTAGTTTTCAGACGCAGGGGTCTTCACACCGAGATGTCCTCACGCGCACCAGAAGTGCCGGAAGTAGCTGGCAGGCTATGATGCTAACAGAGTTTAGCTAGCGGCTTCTTGTGTACAGATCTTCTCCAATATGCAGCTTTGCAGCGTGTCTTTGTTCAGAGACCTTCCACGGGCTTTATATAACAGTTGTATGTGTTCACGGAGGTGCGCCATACGTGTTTTCATATTATTAAACGGTATTTCCGCATCGGCGAACACACTCGAAGCAGTTGCACCACCACTTTGCGGCTCTCTGATTGGTTGTCGCACAAACGTCCCAAGGAAAGGATGAGCAGAATCCATCTCCTGTGGGCGTCGATTTTTCGCTCCTGCTCCTCCCCTATGACTTTCCCGCCAAGTCCGTGCGTCTCTACTGAACGGTCCGTCCGTGCGTGCCGAGAGGTCCGTGCGTTGTGACGCTCGAACGCGAGTCACCATAGACTTTGCATTGAAAGCAGACGCAACGCATGATCCCATGATCCCATCTAGTAGCAGCAGAGGGAGTTACAGACGGAAAGACTTTTTAACCTCTGCCTATGGTGACTCGCGTTCGAGCGTCACAACGCACGGACCTCTCGGCACGCACGGACGGACTGTTCAGTAGAGATGCACGGACTTGGCGGGAAAGTTGGGGAGGAGCAGGAGCGAAAAATCTACGCCCAGAGGAGATGGATTCTGCTCCTCAGTCTCTGCCTCAGTCTCTGCCTCAGTCTCTGCCTCAGTCTCTGCCTCAGTCTCTGCCTCAGTCTCTGCCTCAGTCTCTGCCTCAGTCTCTGCCTCAGTCTCTGCCTCAGTCTCTGCCTCAGTCTCTGCCTCAGTCTCTGCCTCAGTCTCTGCCTCAGTCTTACCATAATCTCTCTGACCATGCGTGCTCTCCCTGCATGGTTGTTGTTGTCGTGAAAACGAACCATAATTTCTCGCACCTCCTCGTCGCTCATCACGGCCTGTAGTAGGCGCCCTCTGTACTTCCGCAGCAGAACCCCATCTAGAACACACACAGAGACTTTCACGATTCATTCATACATGGTAAAAGCTGGGTGACCTAACTTTCAAAGAGACTAAAATGAAAAACCAGAAAGAGAGAACCTGAGAGAAAGACCAGAGAGAGACCAAAGAGAGAGAGAGCAGAGAGAGAGATCAGAGAGAGACCAGAGAGATATGAGAGAGATCTCAGAGAGATCTGAGAGAGACCAGAAAGAAAGATCAGAGATAAAGACCAGAGAGAGATCAGAGAGAGAGAGACCAGAGAGAGATCAGAGAGAGAGAGACCAGAAAGAAAGAGACCAGAAAGAAAGACCAGAGAGAAAGACCAGAGAGAATGACCAGAGAGAGATCTGAGAGAGAGAACAGAGACAGACCAGAGAGAGAGATCAGAGAAAATGACCAGCGTGAAAGACCAGAGAGAGAGAGAGAGAGAGAGAGAGAGAGAGGGAGAGACTAATAATAACAATAAAAAAAATAAAAAAAGCGCCTTTCAAAACACTCAGTACAGAACATAATAAAAACATTGAAAACAGGATCAACAGAACAAAACAGTAGTGCAATATGGAATTGCACTACTGTGCGTGTGTGTTAGGTGGGGTAGGACAGTCTGAACAGATGGGTTTTGAGTCTGGATTTGAAGGGCACGTTGGGTCTGATTTGACCATTTCTGTTGGAAAACCCACTTTTCATTTATTAAACAATGAAGTAAGGAGCCCCGGCTCAAAGCAGCAGATTGTTGCACAGGGAGTGAGTTTAGTTAATGTATGTGGCGCTGGTGTCCGCGGTCTCTGACCTTTGTAAACAAATAGTTTGCTGATTCTCCGGGTGGAACTCTGCATCGTGTGCGAACTGTTGGGAGGAAAAGTCTTTGTGCGAATGTAATGTTCCACTCTCTTCAGCACCACAAAGGACGGCATCTGTAATACACACACAACACAGCCACACACTGATACACTACACATTTTTCACATAATAATAGTTACAATATATATTGTATTGCAGACTGAGACACACAAACGCACACACCTGTTCCCTTGTGTATAAACTGTATACAAATAAACTTGCTCACAGTCTTATAGAGAAACATATAAAGAGTGTTTGAGCTTTTCATTTCCAATCAAAAACACAATTTAGACCATTTAACACAAAGCTTAGAATTATTAAAGGAAATAATATTGAACTATATCAACACAAATGCTACTTGTTCTTCTGTTTCTTCTAAAACTATAAAAGTAAAAGTCCCACCTTTGCGGCACGTTCGTCTGGTGCACACAATTCTCCGTAACACCGCCACCAACTTTCACCCAAACAGCTCCTAATGTGAGCTGTTTTACTCACAAATCCAATTGAATGAGATGCACATTATCTCTGAGCGTCTGAACGGACTGTAAAGTTATCATTTAAGGGAGGAATAAGCTCGAAATAGCGCTTTAACTTAACAGAGCTCCAGACTATACAAAGCGAGCTGGTGTTAGAACGCACAAACCGGATATAACGCTGTCAAAATAAAACTACTGTACAGTCTGATCTACTGAATACGGGTTTCTCTTTTTCTACGTAACGTTTTCTATCAATATGAATCCAAATTATAAGGTAATGTTTATGATTCGAACAACAATTTAGAAGCATTAGCAGGGTTCAAGCTGATATTGTAGTAGAAATGACGTTAACCGGAAGTTGTTCTTCCGTGGTCTACGCTGCCTTGATGACAGTGGTGTTGCAGAAGCTAAAGAACCCGAACACTCTGAGCTCAAACTGCAGACTTCCTGGGCCAGACGCCATCTAAAGGCGCGGAGGATACAATAAATACATTATGTGTGCCACGTTATTATTATAGATCCATGCACAAACCAGAGAGAGAGATACCAAATAGAAATACCATTGAGAGAGAGCGATACCAAAGAGAGGGACCAGAGAGATACCAGTGAGTAAGACCAGAGAAAGAAACCAGAGAGAGAGACCAGGGAGATCAGAGACCAAAAAGACTTGAGAGACTTGTTCCATGGACAGATCTTCAACATAAACTCAAACTAAGAGACATTTTCTCCATTTTTTTTACAAAGGTTATTTTGTTTGCAAAGAATGGTTTTATTGAAGATATCCTGTTGCAGACTTTAGTGACATGTGTTTTGGCCAAGGGTTATCGTGGACCTAGGTCTGTTTAGACGTGGAACAAAAGCTGGAACCAGATGGTGTAGCTCCTCCCACACTTGCAGACCCCCCTCTCTCCTCAAAACTCCATCAGGTGTGCGTAGGGCCTGTTGTTTCAAGGTTCAGCACCTGCCGGTTCCTGTAGGTCCCAGAGACCAGAGAAAGACTGGTGAGACCAGAGAGAGACCAGTGAGAGACCAGTGAGAAACCAGAGAGAGAAACCAGATGGTGTAGCTCCTCCCACACGCGCAGGCCTCTCTCTTCTCAGAACTCCATCAGGTGTGTGTAGGGGCCGTTGGTTTCTAGGTTCAGCACCTGCCGGTTCCCGTAGGTCCCAGATTTCACCCCCACGTTCTCCTTAGGACCCAGTTCCTTCTGGCACAGAGCCACGAAGGCCTGGTATAGCCGCAGTCCCTGCTCTTTAGGGATGTTGTTGTGGTACTGCATGGCTTTGCCTTTGGCTCGGCCTCCTAACGTGGCCTGAGGGACGACCAGAAGACTCCCAGGAAGATCCAGGACTGAGGACATCTGCCCAGAGGACGTCTCACACACACGCAGGTTCAGCAGACTGGACACTGTATTCACACCAGACAGAGAGACCAGTGAGAGACCAGTGAGAGATCAGTGAGAGACGAGAGACCAGAGCAATTTTTGACTCTGCCTTGTCCTCTGTACCACTGACCCATCTTTGGCAGGATTTCCTCTGTGGCTCCTTTGAAGAAACAAACGTAGATGACCATTCCTCTGTCAATCTGAGAAACAAACATGGAGTAAAACACGTGACAAGATCTTTGTGACTAAAGTCTGCGGAACAAAACCAGGACAATATTTATAAATGTGCTTTTTGTGCGCCTGACTGAACTCTTTAGACATCAGACAGCTACATGGGGCTTCTAACCACAAGTGATTTCACAGCTCTCGTCCTTCATTTCCATCCATCCATCCATCCATTTTCTTCCCCTTAATCCATTTCTGGGTCGGGGGGGTGGCAGTCAGAGCTGCACCCAGTCACAGAGCACCAGCCCCTCACTGATCCTCCTGCAGGTGGTGAGTCCACAGGAGCTGAGATCTTTCAGTGGGGGCTTCGTCCTTCATTTGACTTTTAAAATGATAGTTAGAGCTGAGGTACACAACTTTCAAGCAACAACAATGGGACTATAAAACATTTTGTTTTTTTGTTTTCCCATGCATGTCTGTGGCCTCTGGCACATATTTAAATCACCTTTTTCACAGAAAAACAGAACAGAGGAAATGAGAGAGACCGCCTTCACTCAACCAATTAGCTCTCAGCCCAAAGAGTCAGATCACAGGTCTAGTGAGTATGTAAAATATGTTCACAAGAATCTTCCTGTTGTAGAAATGTTTGACAGTTTAATTCTTTGATCTGTTGTTGGCGAATCAACAACTTTGTACCCAAACAGACAAATAGAGCTTGACTTCAGATCCTGGTATCTTTCTAGCGTCTTTATGGAAACTTGATGCGAATGAAGCTTTAAACCCATACTAATAATGTGCCAACAGAAGAACATTCTCACTCAGTAGGATGATAGAGACAGATAGAGTGAAGCGGGTCTGACCTGCACGAACTCCGCCTCTGAGCTCTTCTCCTCTGCGGGCTTCACCATCAGCGAGGCCCGCACACACTGCTGAAGCACCGTACGGGCCACGGGGACCTGTGTGGCCCCTGACATTACACCACTGTAACCCTGAAACACGAGACCGAGGACAGGTTTAGCAACCCTGGCACCGACAGAGACCGATGGACTTCCGCGTCAGATTCAAAACAAATCTACGTCACATCACATTTTTTGCATTCAATTATTTCTTCTTCTTCTTCTAATTAATTCCGGCAGGCTGTACGCTGGCGTGCGCAATGCTGCCCTCCACAGTTATGAGACCGTCAGTACTCTAAATTCTCAAAAAAGTGCCTGTGCGGCGGAGGAATAAAACAATGGCTGTTAACTCCTTGAGTGTTTTCACGATTTGAAAAAAATGACTTATTCAATTATTTTTTATAAGGTTATGTTTAATTACTTTGGACTTCATCTGAAAGGATCATGTTAATTATAATCTTAACTTTATCTATTTACCTCAAAACAAATGATTTTTTTTAAATCTATGTTAGAAACGTTTGTTTATGTTTGCCCTGTATATCTACAAACAGTGTATTTTATGCTTTGAGTAATATATATATAAATATATATATATATATATATATATATATATATATATATATATATATATATATATAATAAAAATCAAGATTGTTTTGCTGGCTACTTCCAATTTCATGAACAACAATTCTCCCTTATTATTATTTTAACTACTCTACAAACTTAGTAACATCAAATTCAAGCTAAGTTTCTATAAACCGTCTTAAATACCTTTAAAAATATAGCGCTGCCTCGTTTCAGGAAAAAATAAGCAAAGAAGCAGAAAGAATGACAAGGACGGTGAGTTATTTTTGGGTTTCGGATGTAACCCCGCCTGCTCCGGTTCAAACATGACGCAGTTCACATACAGCAGACTGTCGCATTTCCTTCGGTTGTCGCTGAATAAAGCTTCGGTTTTACGCGCGGGGAGTGAGTTCAACCGCAGCCCCGGGAGCTGTGTAGTGGCGAGGCGATGGCAGGTGGGGGACGCCGGGTCAAAGGCACCGGGTTCAAGCAGTTTATGTGCGTAGTTAGCTTTTAGCATTAGCCACAAAGCTACAGGAAGTGAGATGTCAAAATAAAAGCGCTTGGAGATCATTAGATGTAATGTAGCATGATTTATTAACAAGTCACAGATGCCCTGGGGCACACTGAAGCGAGGCAACCAGTCTGTGCATTCGGACACACACATATAGACAGACAAATACACACACACAGGTCTCCCTTCACATTACTAACCAGGACCTGTCCATCTTAGCTTCAGAAATCTGACAGGATCTGAGTGAAATATGAATATGTTCAATGTGTGTGTGTTTAGAGCTCGGTAGACGGAACGAGCCTCCAGGAGAGACAGAGGCAGCATATGGCCCGCGGTCTCCCCAAACAGAAGCCCATCCCTGGGGTCAAACAGGTTATCGTTGTCGCCTCAGGAAAAGGAGGAGTGGGCAAGTCCACCACCGCAGGTAAACTCTGGTCACTCTCTGCTCTCTCTCTTCTCTTTCCCTCTGGTCTCTCTCTGGAGTTGTTTTTGCTTTATACCAGAGTGTTAAAGGCTTGCATTGGGGATTGTGGTTCCTGATACCAGCAGTAGAGGGCAATGTTGGACCTTTCTCAGTCTCAGACACCATGATACCATGTATTTTCTAAACATTAACATGATTCTCAAATCTCATTTATGTTTAGTTTAGTTTATTATTATTGTAACATAGAGAGGATTTTTCAGCAAAAGTTGGGGCACAAAAGAATCAGAGTGAGGCCTTTTATAGCTGTGTTTGTGTTGTGTAATAGTTGTATGTGTGTTGTGTTGTCACAGTGAACCTGGCGCTGGCTCTTTCTGCTAATGATACGGTGAGTTCTCATGTCTGCTTTATGTGTGTGTGTGTTACATGTTTGACTCTGTGCATTTTGCTTATTACTGCTGTGTGTGTGTTGTTTATGTCTGACTCTGTGTGTGTTGCTTATGTCTGACTCTCTGTGTGTGTTGTTTTTCAGTCTATATCCGTGGGTTTGTTGGACGCAGACGTGTATGGCCCATCCATCCCCAAACTGATGAATCTGAAAGGGAACCCAGAGCTCACAGACAGTAAAACTCTCTGATCAAACACCCTCAGTCTCTGGTTTTCAGGGATTTAAACCATGACTGTTGCTTTCCAGACAACCTCATGGTGCCTCTGCTGAACTACGGCGTCCCATGGTGCGTGACCACGACTGAGCACAGCTGAACACCACAAAAGTGTTCAGACTCAGATTGTTGCCATTTTCCGTAAAACCACATTGGAATAACTACACAAGACATTTCATCCATGTCCATTGTCCCTGTTCAAATATAAAGGAGATACATATACAGTACAGACTGAAAGTTTAGACACACCTTCTCATTCAATGAGTTTCCTTTCTTTTCATGTTCTAACAAGTGCTAAGCCTCTCTGGGAACTCCTTCAAGACTGTTGGAAGACCATTTCAGGTCAGTACCTCTTGAAGCTCATCAAGAGAATGCCAAGAGTGTGCCAAGCAGTAATCAGAGCAAAAGGTGCTACTTTGAAGAACCTAGAATATAAGACATTTTTTCAGTTGTTTCATACTTTTTTACATGTACATAATTCCACATGAGTTAATTTATAGTTTTGATGCCTTCAGTGTAAATCTACAATTTTCATAATCATGAAAATAAAAGAAAACTCTTTGAATGAGAAGGTATGTCCAAACTTTTGGTCTGTACTGTATAACATGTTTGGTTGACTAAGAAAATGTCAAGTGATGAGTCGACAAAACAACTAAAGATGCAGCTCCAGTTTCTGCTGAAATATGCGACACGTCTCCAGGTCCCAGAGAAGGTGCTGGGGAAGAGAATATTTCCAGAGCATTAAGATTGGGATCATATACTGTGATCATGGATCTATTGGAGACTGTGATGGACAATGTTAACCTGCTAGCTCAATGCTAACACACAAGCTCAATGATTACCTGCTTGCTTAATGCTAACCCGTTAGCTCAATGAAGCACAACAGAGAAGTGCTCATGGTGAAGTGTCGCACTCACCATTTTGGGCAAACGCCCATTTAATGGAACTGGCTTCTTTATTATTCACCTCTTTGATCTACAGATGTGACAGATCTACATAAAACTAGTGGTAGAAGCAATTGTTTTTGAGCCAGAACTAGAGACGTGGATTTGAATATAGAGAATACATACCCCAGCTTTGAATTAAGTTAAAAGAAAAACAGAATATGGCACAAATTTTACAAGCATACTCTATTTATTTCAGTTTCATCAGCAGAGATCGAGTGTAGTACTGAGAGGATTCACGTGCGTGTTGTTTTGCAGCATGTCCATGGGGTTCCTAGTGGATGACGCGGCCCCCATCGTGTGGAGAGGCCTCATGGTGATGTCTGCTATTGAGAAAATGCTCAGACAGGTGCAAACACACACAGACTAGAGAGACCAGAGAGAATAAAGATGATCTTGAGAGAAAACTGTTGCTACTGTTATGTTATAATTTGTGTCTTTGCAGGTGGACTGGGGGGAGCTGGACTACCTGGTGGTTGACATGCCTCCAGGGACAGGAGACGTTCAGCTGTCCATCTCACAGAACGTGCCCATAGCAGGTGTGTGTGGTTCCTATATGGATCTATTATTGTTTCAATAATATTTGTGTGTGCATAAACAGATTTGTGTGTGCGTAGCCAGATTTGTGTGTGTGTGTGTAGAAAAAATATTTGTGCGTGTGTAAATAGATTTGTATGTGTGTAACCAGATTTGTGTGTGCGTAACTAGATCTGTGTGTGTGTGTAAAAAAAAAAAAAGAATTGTACGTTTTACACACAAGTCTTTTTTTACACACAGATCTTTTGACGCAGTCCTGCCTTCGCAGATTCGCAAGTGTAACTTGGACTATGTGCGTGTGTACCCAGATTTGTGTATGTAATTTGACATTTGTATCTGTAAAAGAACAATCTGTATGTAAATAACCATCTTGTGAGAAGAAAAGGACGGAAAAAAGCCTAAGCGCTACGCACAGGCTCTTGTTTTACACACGAATCTCTGCCGCCAAGCGTGTGTCAAAAGAGATTTGTGTAATGTGGTTGTTCTAGCACTATACCAGCAGATGGTGCTGTTGTAGCTGGTTATTACACGTAAGCAAACCAAAACCTACTGCTGTTTTTGATGTAAGGCAAACCTGCGCATGTGTGTCTCACTGTAGCTAATAGATTATAAATGGTCTGTCGGGTTGATAATGGAAATTATCCATTATCCATTATCCATTAGTTGTAAGCTAACAGCTGTTGAGTCACAGGACGCGTCATCTGCCTACGTCAGTAAAATGACGTATGCGGCAGTTCAAGAAAGGGACTGCTATCATACAATACAATCTGAATGCTAATAAAATCTACCAGTCTTCTGAAAATCTACTACTGTGTTAAGCATTGAATAGTGTGTCTATTGATGATTGTGTGTGTATTTTGTGAATTTGTATATGTATTTTATTTTTCTATTATTTCTTGAAGCCTTGCCTTGTATTTGGCTGTCTCTACGAGAGTTTGTAGTGATTTATATTTTGAATTATTTTTTTATTGTTTCTCCCAATCCAACATACCAAGCACTTGTTCCCTGTCTTGCTCAGGTCGCACTTGCTCTCACGCCACACAGGCACGCACGCACACACACGCACACACACGCACACACACACGTACACACACAAACATACGCACACTCACACACGTACTGCACTTAGGAGATGGACAGATCTCACATATATATCATAGAGCGGGGGCCAAACGAGCCGAGTTTGTGGTACTAAAGTGTAGATTTAAAGAAAACCGAAGGATTTAAGAAGAAAAAAAGTTCAGGATGACAAGGGACACTAAAATCCCCACAAAAAATACACCGATATGAAAGCTGTAGGTTCTCTGTCAGCTGAGTTCGAGCTGTTTTAGTTTAAATTGAGCTCTATGGGGAAAATCTCTGGGTAGCCCATGTGAATTTAGTCTGGTTTTTAGTCTGCAGTACCGCGCAAATCCCCCTAGCACGTGGGTTCTTCAGCTCCAAGCTAGTAATACCCTATAGATCCATGGTAATGCCCTATCCAGATAATGGATCCATGTATCATAGAGTGGTGTGAATGACCGGATTTTGAATTAAAAAAGACAAACAAATTGCTGAGGCAGTGTATCTTGTCAGTAGGTTTTGGTTTGCTTACGTGTAATAACCATATACTGTATATATTAATGGACAGAGTCACGCCTATCTCTGCCGTTCTAACTAATGGGCCAAAAAATGTGCTCTACTGGAGCAATCCAAAATGGCCGCGAGTGGTCCCGCCCACAAGAAAATTGTGAAAAAACGCATCTGCGCATGTGTCAGCCGGCGCAACTCCATTCATTTAAACGAGTGACTTCAATTCACAGCGAGTAAACTAGAGTGGTCCAAAAAAATTCACCCCCCTCAGCATTGACACACATGTGGAACGGAGCTTTGGGCCAAGAGCCAACTTTTGGTCCATCCTGTAAAGACGTTTTTGAGAGGTCTGCCAATGCTATTTGTAAGCATTGGCTAATTCTTCTTCTGGGTCCACCCCCATCGGCCCGGGGTGGTATTGCAAGCATGTCAGCGCACTCATTTTGGCCACTTTTGAGCTGGGACCCTCCCCCACTGGTAATAACCAGCTACAACAGCACCATCTGCTGGTATAGTGCTAGAACAACCACATTAAACGTACAAATCTCTTTTGACACACGCTTGGCGGCAGAAGTGTGTCAAAAGTGATTCGTGTGTAAAACAAGAGCCTGTGCGTAGCACTTAGGCTTTTTTCCGTTCTTTTCTTCTCACAAGGTGGTTTTTATACATACAGATACAAATGTCAAATTACACACACAAATCTGGGTACACACCAGTGGGGGAGGGTCCCAGCTCAAAAGTGGCCAAAATGACGTGCGCTGACATGCTTGCAATACCACCCCGGGCCGTTGGGGGTGGACCCAGAAGAAGAATTAGTCAATGCTAACATATAGCGTTAGCAGACCTTTCGAAAACGTCTTTACAGGATGGACCAAAAGTTGGCTCTAGTTTACTCGCGGGGAATTTTTGAAGTCTCTCGTTCAAATGAATGGAGCTGCGCCAGCCGACGCATGCGCAGATGCGTTTTTTCACAATTTTCTTGTGGGCGGGACCACTCGCGGCCATCTTGGATTGCTCCATGAAAGCACTTTTCATGGCCAACTCCTATGAACGGCGGAGATAGGCGTGACTCTGTCCATTAATATATACAGTCTATGGTACACACGCACACAGTCCAAGTTACACTTGCGAATCTGCCAAGGCAGGACTGCGTCAAAAGATCTGTGTGTAAAAAAAAGACTTGTGTGTAAAACGTACAATTTTGTTTTTTTTTTACACTCACACTGATCTAGTTACGCACGCACAAATCTATTTACACAGGCACAAATATTTTTTCTACACGCACACAAATCTGGTTATGCACACACAAATCTTTTTACGCACACACAAACCTGGTTACGCACACACAAATCGGGTTACATATGCACAAATCTGGTTACAAACGCACAAATCTTTTTACGCACGCACAAATATTAATGAAACAATAATAGCTCCATATTCCTACAGAGTTTTAAAGAGCATTACATCCATAATGAGATGTTTCTATTTTCCACGTTTCACAAAACATATAAACTATGAAACAAGTCTGCTGTCACCAGAAGGAGCAGCGTCTGCAGTCAGAGCTCCCTCTGCTGCTACCAGTGGGAGCTGCAAACACAGACAGACAGGGAGAGCCCAGAGGAAACAATTTATAGGCACACAAATAAAAGTGACTTCTCCCTGCAGGAGCCGTGATCGTATCCACGCCGCAGGACATCGCGCTGCTGGACGCTCGCAGAGGAGCAGAGATGTTCCACAAAGTCCATGTCCCGGTAATGTGTGTGTGCGTGTGCATGTCTGTGTGTGTTTCTGTCTATCTCTATATCCATCTCTATATCTCTGAACCTCCTTGAGATAGAATAGGGTTTACAGGCAACAGAGGCGCTGTGTGAAAAGTGCATACTGTATAAAGACATATTTGCGTGTCTAAAGTGTATGTGTTCTACAGGTGCTCGGCCTGCTGCAGAACATGAGTGTGTTCCAGTGTCCACACTGTCTTCATCAAACTCACATCTTTGGAGCAAACGGAGCCAGAGACCTGGCCCAGTCTCTGGGACTGTACTTTTTGGGTAGGTATCACACTCACTGTTTCAAGAGACCAGAGAGAGAGACCAGAGAGAGGGAGACCAGAGAGCGAGAGACCAGAGAGCGAGAGACCAGAGAGCGAGAGACCAGAGAGCGAGAGACCAGAGAGCGAGAGACCAGAGAGCGAGAGACCAGAGAGCGAGAGACCAGAGAGCGAGAGACCAGAGAGCGAGAGACCAGAGAGCGAGAGACCAGAGAGCGAGAGACCAGAGAGCGAGAGACCACTGGAGCTGTTGTCAAATAACTGACTGTTTAATGCTTCTATTTTTGAATTTGCTTTTGTCAAATCAACGGTCTTTTGTGACATTTATTTGATTTAAATTTAAAAATTAAGCTGAAGACAGCGTCTACAAAGTGCCAGCAGAGGGCGCCGTTCAACAACAATTCCATTATTATTATAGATCCATGAACAATTCAGATTCTGAGGTGAAAAAGGAACATGAGGCTGCTCCCTTTTCAGCACAAAACATACATAATTAAAGCTAATTAAAGCTGGGGGATGTAATGTTTTGTCTCATTAATAACACATGTAGTTTGTCCGACGGAGAGAGCCCACTACATCGGTGGTCCTCTCTTTTTCTCAGTCTGAATAATCTGATCTAAACACGTGAGAGACAGAAACACGTGAAACTAGTCACAGAAGCAACTGTTTTAGAACATGGGCTTAATAGTGTTCTGTTGTTGTGATTTGATAGTTACATCCCTCAGCTTTAAGAACATTGTGTGTGTAGGTGATGTCCCTCTGCACCTGAGCATCAGAGAGACTTCAGACAGTGGGAAACCTGTGGTGGTGTCAGCCCCAGACAGTCCAGAGGTACACACTTATTTATTTATATATATATATATATATATATATATATATATATATATATATATTACATACAGTGGGGCAAAAAATTATTTATTCAGCCACCGATTGTGCAAGTTGTCCCACTCAAAATAATGACAGAGGTGTGTAATTTTCATCATAGGTACACTTACACTGTGAGACAGAATGTGAAAAAAAAAAAAAACAGGAATTCACATTGTAGGATTTTGAAAGAATGTATTTGTAAATTATGGTGGAAAATAAGTATTTGGTCAATAACAAAAATTCAACTCAATACTTTGAAATATAACTTTTGTTGGCAATAACAGAGGTCAAACGATTACTATAGGTCTTTACCAGGTTTGTACACACAGTAGCTGGTATTTTGGCCCATTCCTCCATGCAGATCTTCTCGAGAGCAGTGATGTTTTGGGGCTGTCGCCGAGCAACACAGACTTTCAACTCCCTCCACAGATTTTCAATGGGGTTGAGGTCTGGAGACTGGCTAGGCCACTCCAGGACTTTCAAATGCTTCTTACGGAGCCACTCGGGCGGTGTGTTTGGGATCATTGTCATGCTGGAAGACCCAGCCACGTTTCATCTTCAAAGCTCTCACTGATGGAAGGAGGTTTTGGCTCAAAATCTCACAATACATGGCCCCATTCATTCTTTCCTTAACACGGATCAGTCGTCCTGTCCCCTTAACAGAAAAACAGCCCGAAAGCATGACGTTTCCACCCCCATGCTTCACAGTAGGTATGGTGTTCTTGGGATGCAACTCAGTAGTCTTCTTCCTCCAAACACGACGAGTTGAGTTCATACCAAACAGTTCTACTTTGGTTTCATCTGACCACAGGACATTCTCCCAATCCTCTGCTGTATCATCCATGTGCTCTCTGGCAAACTTCAGAGGGCCTGGACATGCACTGGCTTCAGCAGGGGGACACGTCTGGCACTGCAGGATTTGATTCCCTGTCGTCGTAGTGTGTTACTGATGGTAACCTTTGTTACTTTGGTCCCAGCTCTCTGCAGGTCATTCACCAGGTCCCCCCGTGTGGTGCTGGGATTTTTGATCACCGTTCTCATGATCATTTTGACCCCATGGGATGAGATCTTGCGTGGAGCCCTCGATGGGAGATTATCAGTGGTCTTGTATGTCTTCCATTTTCTGATAATTGCTCCCACAGTTGATTTGTTCACACCAAGCTACTTGCCTATTGTAGATTCACTCTTCCCAGTCTGGTGCAGGTCTACAATTCTTTTCTTGGTGTCCTTCGACAGCTCTTTGGTCTTGGCCATAGTGGAGTTTGGAGTCTGACTGTTTGAGGCTGTGGACAGCTGTCTTTTATACAGATAACAGGTTCAAACAGGTGCCATTAATACAGGTAACAAGTGGAGGACAGAAGAGCTTCTTAAAGAAGAAGTTACATGTCTGTGAGAGCCAGAGATCTTTCAATGTGAATTCCTGGATTTTTTTTTTCACATTCTGTCTTTCACAGTTGAAGTGTACCTAATGATGAAAATTACAGACCTCTGTCATTATTTTAAGTGGGAGAACTTGTACAATCGGTGGCTGACTAAATACTTCTTTGCCCCACTATATATATATATATATATATATATATATATATATATATATATATATATATATATATATATAATTACACACACACACACAATCTATCACTTGTGTAACAAGCAATATTTGTGTTGCAGGCTGCTGGGTACCGAGCTCTGGCTGCTGCTGTGGTTCAGAGACTAAAGCTTGTGTGACATTTGTTTCAGATTAATGTAATCAATAAAACTAAAGCTGAAAAAGATAGAAATAAACCTTTTACTATGTGTGACTGAGGCTGTAGACCCAAGACTGAGGCTGTAGACCCAAGACTGAGGCTGTAGACCCAAGACTGAGGCTGTAGACCCAAGACTGAGGCTGTAGACCCAAGACTGAGGCTGTAGACCCAAGACTGAGGCTGTAGGCCCAAGACTGAGGCTGTAGACCCAGGACCGAGGCTCTAGATATGTCTGAAACTACAGTTAATAAAGGACTGTTGCATCTTGGGTATGTTTCAACTATTGGTTCTTTAACTCCACACAGAGGTCTGGAGGTAGAATGTAACCCAGGACCTTCTGCTGTGACCAATGTTCCCTCTGATTTTTCATGGATCTGAGCAACAACACAAACCCCCTGAGTGACCCCAGCCCTGTTTGTGAGAGATTTGTTATACCATTCACATCTCGATCCACCTGCTGTGATACCATTTGTTTAATTAAGCTACTTCATCTACAACAATCAATATTTACCTGATCATGATGGATCCTGTGTCTTATATTGATGGTGAATTAAAGTAGATTTAGTATCATATTTGCAGAGTCGTACTAAAAGTTAAATATTTAGCCTATTCATACAGTGGAGCAAAGAAGTATTTAGGCAGCCACCAATTGTACAAGTTCTCCCAATTCAAAAGATGATGGAGGTCTGGAATTTTCATCATAGATAAACCTCAACGAGAGACAGAATGAGAAAAAAATCACATAAGGAAAATAAGTATTTGTTATTACATTACTTATTTGTATAAGTAATGTAATAACAAAAAATATTACATTGTTATATACCCTTTGTTGGAAATGACAAACATTTTCTTCAAGTCTTAAGGTTTTCACACACTGTTTATTTTGGCCTATAGAGCAGTGACATTTTGGGGCTGTCGCTGAGCAACATAGACTTTCAACTCCCTCTAAAGATTTTCTATGGAGTTCTCTGGAGACTGGGTAGGCCACTCCAGGACCTTGTAATAAGCCACTCCTTCATTAACCAGGCGGTGTGTTTCCTGATGGTAGCCTTTGTAACTTTGGTCCCAGCTCTCTGCAGGTCATTCACTAGTACCCCCCCCCCCCCCCACCCCCTGGGGCGGCTCCCGGCTCAAAAGCGTCCTTGAGCACATGGGCTGACATACTTGCAATACCTCCGGGCTGGTGGGGGTGGACCCAGAAAGACATTGCTGAGTTGAGTTTAATTTTGTAGACCACTCTAGTTTAGCCACTGTGGACTTCAGAAGGCACTTGTTAAATGAATGGGGCTGGTACTGGCAGACGCATGCGCAAATGCGTTTTTAAACATTTTACTGCTGGAGGTGTTTCCCCCGGCCAAATTGAAAAAGCCCCATAGAAGCCAAAAGTGATGGCACATTATTTTCAATGGCGGAGAAAGGCGTGACTACGTCTGTTAATATTTAAAGTCAATGGTGGAGCCCCAGATCGAGGGAGACTTATCAGTGTTGTTGTATACCTTCCATTTTCTAATAATTGCGTCCACATTTGATTTCTTCACACCAAGCTGCTTACCTATTGCAGACTCAGTCTTCCCAGTCTGGTGAAGGTCTATAATTGTGTTTGAAGTTGTGGACAGGTGTCTATCATACTCATAAGGAGTTCAAACAGGTGCAATTACAACAGGAGGACAGAGGAGCCTCTTAAAGAAGGGGTTACAGGTCTGTGAGAGCCAGAAATCTTGCTTGTTTTGGAGGTGACCAAATAGCTACACTCCTCCATAATTTGCCAATAAATTCCAGTGTTTCCCACAGGTTTGAAGGCAATGTGTGGTGGTGCTGGTCGGCCGGCAAAAATTAACAATGACATCGTTAATTGGTCAAATACAGCTTTATTGGACTGATCAAAATATCAAACATTATTCACACGCTGTATATTACACTATAAATACTGTTAACGCTGTATAAACCTACTTGTTGCAAAAAATAACATTATTCACACGCTGTATAAACACTATATTACACTATAAATACTGTTAACGCTGTATAAACCTACTTGTTGCAAAGTTTGCATGTTTTATCAGAGCACCTGATTTTTCGGGGCTGGCAAAAAAAAGATTTTAATGCCATATCATAAGGGAAGTCCTCAGGACAGGGTCCATTGATGGAGTTTGTTCCTGAGGTCTGTTTTCACCTGGAGATAAAGCAAAATGATAAATTATTATCAATGCAAAATGCACCAATATAAAGACAATGGGAATTTTTTATTGCTATTACCCTGTTCATTGCAGAGAAATCCCGTTCACAGTTCACAGAGGAAACAGGGATAACCAAAGCAATGCTTGCCAGAAGAACAACTTATATAGCTAATTACACTGCGGACTGTTTCAGACCGATACCTCTGGTTCAGGCTGATCCTCATCCTCAACGCGTGTCTTTTTCAATCGCGGAAAATATTGTTCAATACTCATCTGGATTGACGCAGCAAACATTCAGTGTAAGAGTAAAAAAATGACATAAAGTTACTTATAACTTTATTTCTTGCTACAGCTGCTACATAGTGTTTTGACCCCGACAACCCAACTACATACCGCAAACTTGCGACTAATTAACTTTATAAAGAAAGCGTCATCGCTTGTTAAGGGAGTCGGGACGGAAATTCAACATTGACACTGAACATTCAGCACTTTTTAATGTGTGATTTACGAGATCACGGGATACCAACCTTTAGTGAACTTCACCAGCCGTCTTCTTTGCACCAAAATTAATAGACACAGCTGCTTACAGCGATGATCGCTGATGGAGACGGAGACACGCCAGTGTTTCCCACAGGTTTGAAGGCAATGTGTGGTGGTGCTGGTCGGCCGGCAAAAATTAACAATGACATCGTTAATTGGTCAAATACAGCTTTATTGGACTGATCAAAATATCAAACATTATTCACACGCTGTATATTACACTATAAATACTGTTAACGCTGTATAAACCTACTTGTTGCAAAAAATAACATTATTCACACGCTGTATAAACACTATATTACACTATAAATACTGTTAACGCTGTATAAACCTACTTGTTGCAAAGTTTGCATGTTTTATCAGAGCACCTGATTTTTCGGGGCTGGCAAAAAAAAGATTTTAATGCCATATCATAAGGGAAGTCCTCAGGACAGGGTCCATTGATGGAGTTTGTTCCTGAGGTCTGTTTTCACCTGGAGATAAAGCAAAATGATAAATTATTATCAATGCAAAATGCACCAATATAAAGACAATGGGAATTTTTTATTGCTATTACCCTGTTCATTGCAGAGAAATCCCGTTCACAGTTCACAGAGGAAACAGGGATAACCAAAGCAATGCTTGCCAGAAGAACAACTTATATAGCTAATTACACTGCGGACTGTTTCAGACCGATACCTCTGGTTCAGGCTGATCCTCATCCTCAACGCGTGTCTTTTTCAATCGCGGAAAATATTGTTCAATACTCATCTGGATTGACGCAGCAAACATTCAGTGTAAGAGTAAAAAAATGACATAAAGTTACTTATAACTTTATTTCTTGCTACAGCTGCTACATAGTGTTTTGACCCCGACAACCCAACTACATACCGCAAACTTGCGACTAATTAACTTTATAAAGAAAGCGTCATCGCTTGTTAAGGGAGTCGGGACGGAAATTCAACATTGACACTGAACATTCAGCACTTTTTAATGTGTGATTTACGAGATCACGGGATACCAACCTTTAGTGAACTTCACCAGCCGTCTTCTTTGCACCAAAATTAATAGACACAGCTGCTTACAGCGATGATCGCTGATGGAGACGGAGACACGCGGTGTGCACGAAGGGGAGGGGCTGTGTGTGTGTAGGTCTCTGTATGTGGGAGAGACGCGTAGCTTGAGTGAGAGTTACGAAGGGCCGCCACATTTTAAACCCCCCTCCCCGCTGTCAAATTGACCGCTGCGGCGGCACTAGACGATGCATGTTTTAACCCTTTAAGCGCCAGAGGTTTTTTCCAAAACGCTCAATTTTGACATCTTAATTTCAAAAGGCTATAACTTAAAAGTGATAAGAGATAAAGGCTTTCTGTAAATTAGAAAAATATAAAGGATGGTCCAAAGTTTATGTAGAGAATAAATCCTCCCATCTAATTAGCATATTATGACGTCATTTGGCGTTAGAAATAGTGGATTTTAGAATTTTCATACAATATTTGTATTTTTCTAACTGACAGACATATATTTATCACTAGAACATAAACACACACAGAGCACACACTGTAACATTGTAAATGTTCATGAAAATAGTAAAAAAATATAAATCATGATGCTGCTGTAAGCAGTCTGCCCAGACGCGCGCGTCACCGCGACCCTGCTGCTGCAGCTGTCTCCCCTGCTCTCTCTCTCATCTCCCCTGATCTCTCTCTCTCATCTCCCCTGCTCTCTCTCATCTAACACACACAAGACAAGGCTTCTACAACACATTACTGTCCCGGTGATTACGTGAGGCTTGAAAATAAATATGTGGGAAGCACTTTTAGCGGAGACTTTGGCGGAAACTTCAGCGGAGGCGGGAGGTCGCGGCGCCCCGACCCGAGTTCCAGGCTTGTTTTCCGCAAATCTAACCTGTCTCCGAACCTCCCAATGACTTTGCCTTACTCTGAGAAACACTATTCCCACTGCAGACCCTGTGCAAAGTGTCTAAAGTTAGTGTTTGGTGCGGTACAACACTCGCAGGCTGCCCCGCAGCTGCATTCGCTTCGCTATGATTTCAGCACTGGTTCAACGCGGTCTTGCTCGAATATTTTGTATAGGAGCATGACGTTTTTAGGGGCCAGGGAGGTAGTCTGACATGTCTGCCAACTAGTGGCAGGGAGTATGAATGAATTTTGACACTCAGTTGGTCACACTCGGCCGTTTTTAACAGTACCGCAGCTTGTCGACTTAAGTCGACCGTGGCGCCCAGAGGGTTAAATAGCGTAACAAAAAAAAAAAAAATATAATAATACGAAACGCAATTTGTGGCGGGCAGTCTCTAATCTGTGGCGGTGCGCCACAGATTAGTCTATGTGTGGGAAACACTGAATTCTTTAAAAATCAGACATTGATTTTCTGCCAACCACCTTGGTGACCTCAGGTGGTTGGCAGAAGGCGTTCGACCGTGTTCTCCGGGAGTACGGGGTCCGGGGTCCTCTGCTGAGGGCCGTTCGGTCCCTGTATGACCGGAGCCAGAGCTGTGTTCGCATTGCCGGCAATAAGTCAGACCTGTTCCCGGTGCATGTTGGCCTCCGCCAGGGCTGCCCTTTGTCACCGGTTCTGTTCACTGTATTCATGGACAGAATTTCTAGGCGCAGCCAGGGGCCGGAGGGGGTCCGGTTCGGGGACCACAGGATTTCATCTCTGCTGTTTGCGGACGATGTTGTCCTGTTGGCTCCAACGAACCAGGACCTACAACATGCACTGGGACGGTTTGCAGCCGAGTGTGAAGCGGCCGGGATGAGAATCAGCACCTCCAAATCCGAGGCCATGGTGCTCGACCGGAAAAAGGTGCCTTGCCCTCTACAGGTGGGTGGAGAAGTCCTTCCTCAAGTGGAGGAGTTCAAGTATCTCGGGGTCTTGTTCACGAGTGGGGGAAGGATGGAGCGTGAGATTGACAGGCGGATCGGTGCAGCGTGCGCAGTGATGCGGTCGCTGTATCGGACCGTTGTGGTAAAGAGGGAGTTGAGCCGAAAGGCAAAGCTCTCGATTTACCGGTCAATCTTCGTTCCCTCCCTCACCTATGGTCATGAGCTTTGGGTAATGACCGAAAGAATGAGATCGCGGATACAAGCGGTCGAAATCAGCTTCCTCCGCAGAGTGGCTGGGCGCTCCCTTAGAGATAGGGTGAGGAGCTCGGTCACACGGGAGGAGCTCGGAGTAGAGCCGCTGCTACTCCACGTCGAGAGGAACCAGTTGAGGTGGCTCGGGCATCTGGGGAGGTGTTCCGGGCACGTCCCACTGGGAGGAGGCCCCGGGGAAGACCTGGGACACGCTGGAGGGACTATGTCTCTCAGCTGGCCTGGGAACGCCTTGGGGTCCCCCCGGACGAGCTGGAGGAAGTGTGTGTGGATAGGAAAGTCTGGGCGTCTCTGCTTAGACTGCTGCCCCCGCGACCCGGCAACGGATGAAGCGGAGGAAAACGGACGGACGGACACTGATTTTCTATATTTTTTATTTCTCATACTGTTTCTCATAATTGAGGTTTACCTATGATGAAAATTACAGGCCCCACTCATATTTTTTAGGTGGGAGAACACAATGGGTGGCTGGCTATATACTTTTTGCCCCACTGTATTTGTAATTCAGACTAAGAGTCTATAACTGAGAGCCGTAAATACAACTGTAGGCTGGATTTTTATTATGCGCACTGAGGCCCCAAAAGCACTGCTATAGCCACTGTACAATGCACAACCTTCCTCCAAACACTCCCTTTTCAATAATAATAACTTATCTTAATTAATTTTACACAATAGAATGTTACATACTTGTGCTTTAGTTTAATAAACCAAAACTGTGTTTGACAGGATCCTATAGGAGACTCAGTAATATTTCATGAGCTTTTGCACCTGCGTCTCCATGGAAACGCTCTGATTTAATTGCTTTTAGCCTGGAGCTTTGTCTTTTATCTTTTCCTCTGATACTCCTCTGTCACATCAGCAGGTTGTGGGTTCGACTCCCCACAGTCTGTGTGCAGAGTCTGGGAATGAGGCGAGGAGCAAGAGAAACATTCTGTATGTCATTCATGAATATTCATGTGTCTATCCTCGGGCGCAACAGCTTTAAACCAAATGAATCAATGCAGAAAATAAAGTGTTTATGTGACATCAGCACTCTTCCTGGTCTCTATCAGATTTCTCTTTGGTCGCTCTCTCCGATATCTCTCTCTTGAGATTTTATTTTATATTAGTACAGAGTTATTATTAATTTATCTTGTTCTGTGTGCTCCTCACTCCTTCTGATCTATAACTGGTGATGCAAAACTGAAATTTCCCCACTGTGGGACGAATAAAGGATGTCTTAATCGTAATCTCTGGTCTCCCACTGGTCTCGGTCTGGTTTCTCTCTGATCTCTCTGTCTAGTTTTAGACAGAGAGAGCTGTTTTAGAGCCAGTAACTGGAGACTTGGACTTTCAATTTAACATCTTGACCAAAGCGACTAGCTACCTGCTTTGATGCTGCTCTCTGATTGGTGGATGCATCTCCCAAACAGGAAGTTCATGTGCAGGTTACAGCTGCATAATAGGTTTTATCTGAGGAGGAAGCTGTGACAGTATCTCAGAATCTGAAACATCACCGGAGATGAGAGCCTCATTCACACCGAGCTAAACCCCGGCTCTCCTCCCTCACAGAGACCGCTGTAGTTTGGATCCAATAAAAGCAGTGTTCTTTCTGTTGCTGCTACATGAAGCTCAAGTGAAGAAGGCTCTAAAACTACACACGTCACAGAGGAACAATACTCTGAATAATGACACATTTGCACAGACTATTCCCTTTAGATAATTGTATAAAATATGTGCAGAGGTGAAGATGACATATGCAGTGATCCACAACATAACACACTACTATCATTGAAGAAACAAGTTACACTTTTGTGTAACTTGTGAGTCACACATGTCACAATGCTGTCTGGCCAGGGTCAGGTACATATTGGCTCTCTAATTTGCTTAATGAAGATGAGAAACTTGCTGTAGTCCAGTATGATGTGATTCCCTCTGGCCATGGGGATTGTGACTTAAGAAGACATACAGTATTTTGAGTGGTGTCTCTCTGGTCTCTCTCTGCACTGGTCTCTCGCTCTGGTCTTTCTTTGGTCTCTCTCTCTGACTTCTCTCTGGTCTCTCCTCTTGTCTCTCTTTGGTCTCTCTCTGGGTCTCTCTTTCTGATGGTCTCTCTCTGGTAGAGTCTCCTGTACCTCCTGTGACAGAAGCCGCTCTGTCAGGACTTTACTGAGTGTGAGTGCAGCAGAAACCAGCTGCTGAGGAGGCAGCACCACCGAAGTGGAGGACCAGCAATCTCTCTGGTATCTTTCACTGGTCTCTCTCTGTTCTCTGTCTCTGGTCTTTCTCGAGTCTCTCTCTGGTCTCTGTCTCGTCACTGGTCTCTCGCTCTGGTCTCTCTCTTGTCTCTTTCTCTGTTCTCTCTCTTATCTCTTTCCCTATTGTCTCTCTCTTGGTCTGGTCTCTCTCTAGTCCCTCTCTGGTCCCTCTCTCTGGTCTCATTCTGCATATGGTTATACACAATCATTTTTAACTTGTGTTTGCAATGAATTAGGTTTATTGTGTGTCAGTACTCTTGTGGCCTTTTATGTTTTGGTGAAGGGGGGGGCAGTGGCTCAGTTGGTAGAGCATTGGTCTTGTTTGAGCCCACCACGAGGCCTTCTCCACCGACTCCCACTGATATCTGTTGTTGCTGTGTCCTTAGGCAAGACACTTAACCCACTTTACCTATAAGGGGCGCGGAAGTGATGTTCGCTGCTTGCCTTGATGTATATGTATATGTATATGTGTATGCATCTAACTGAAATTTCCCCATTGTGGGACGAATAAAGGACCTTCTTCTTCTATATCACCAGAATGATTGACAATTAGGAGGACCAATAATTTAGATGACCCACCCGGAAGAAGACAATCCTATCCTTCCATAGACCTTCAAGTTATTACAGGTGTGGAGTTGTTAGCCACGCTTCTAAGTTTATAAATACAGGTGTGAAGTGGTTATCTGTGCTATCTGTGGTAAGCTTCTAATCCGGATCTTGTGAGCGGGGCCCTGTCTGAGCAGCTCCAGCTCTGCACCTCCTCCCATGGAGCTCCAGAAGGGGGGGGGCGTCCTCTCTCTCTCTCCCCGCACACACTCACTCGGGTTTCGGCTTACAGCAGCAGCAAGCAGCGCTCCGCATACCAGCCCCGTGCAATCACTCCAAGCCCCAAAGAACCCTCCCAAATAGAGGGGACATCCACTGCGGCCCCCGCCTCTACTGCCCCTCCACACCCGGGGCCCCGGATCTATTCTACCCGCTCACATCGCCTCTTCTCGGGGCACGCTTTTTGGATTCTCCCGTGGATGTAATATGGGAGCGACCATGTTAGAAGGTGGGTCGTGGAATGCGTTTATTACCGTGTCCGTCCACCGTAACAGCCGCACCGTAACCCCCCTCGACTCGACACGGTTCACACCGATTATTGTTCACCTTTTCCCGCAGGAATTTAATCTAGTTTTCCTCCGTTTTCCTGGATCTTAATCCATCTGGGAATGCTAAGCTAAAGGCTAGCTGCTAATTGGAAGGTAGAAGGATTTTTCTCACGCAGGCAGTGTGGAAACCAGGGCCGATCGCCACCACCAGGCCTCCCGGGCGGATCAGCTTTCGCTCCCCGGGGAGTCGTAGAGCTAACACGGCTTGAGAGTAATCTCGTAACCGCGTTTGTTGGAATGTTATTAAAACTATGGAGGTGTTAAAATGAACTGGGGAAACTACATTATAAGCACTGCCCGTGGTGCTGCGTAGTGGACGGACTGGTTCTGCACATGGATAGTATTACTATTATGATTATTGTATTTATGTATTCTATTACAAATGCGTGTTGTATTTTAATCCACAACAGTGTAATTTCTAGTAATGTGTTCGTTAGTTCGAGAGTGGGCGGCTCCCTTTCGAAGTTTTTGTTGAATGACTTTGTTCTAAGCGAATCTCAAACCACTTTATAACTGTGTAATAACATGTCACTCGTTCGTGGCTCCAAAACAGTGGCTTCATGTGAGCGTGGCCTCTGTCACATCTGTAGATCAGCTTTTCAGACAGAAAAGTCAGAAACAGAGGACCACCCCACTCAGCCAATCAGCTCTTACCCCAAAGAGTCAAAAATGTGTTAGAAATAGCATGTTTTCTCCTGAGATTCAGACAGCAGGTTGGGTCTGATTTGTTCTTTACTTTTACAAGTCTCTGTAGGACAATCTACATGTGTTGTTTATGAACATAGAAATGTCCCAGCTTTAACCCATTATTGATAACTTGCTCTTGTCGTGTGTGATGCTTTATTCGCCTCCTTTTTCTGCTGCTGCTGTTAACCCTCTAAAGCAGATCCTAACGTTGTGAAATAAGGAGTCCTTTACAACAGGGAGTAGGCGACACAAGGCTCTGAGGCTTTCAATGACACACAAGGCGCTTCAGACTTTTAAAGCTCACCACAGAAATGCTTTTCTCTTTTGGTCATGTTTCATTGAGTTCTGACTGTAAAACTTTTCCAGTTAGAAATAGTGGCTCTCTTCAAAACAACAACTATTGCTTCTTGTGACCTTTTCTACCTTTTTTGCCCATAGACTATATAGTCTGTGCTAACACACGTTCACCCGCTAGCTCAATGAAGCCCATTGGGAAGTGCTAATGTTGAAGTTTCTTGCTCCTATTGACTTACGTGTAAAAGAAAACTCCTCTTGCTCAGTAACCATTTGTCACACTCACCATTTTGAGCTTAAATCTGCTGTTTATATTGTGATATTGTCTTTGTAAATCCCAATTCCACTAATCTTCTTCCATTATTAGGCTCACACTGTGGTGAAGAATTAAGAAACAGATATATATAGTTAATGCACTCCCTGATCAAACACTGTCGCTTTAAAGAAGACATTCTGAGCTTTGATCTGTCTTCCTGTGCATATGTGGATATTGTTTGTTTTTGAGAAGAACATTCTCAAAAACAGAGAGAGAGAGAAAGAAAGATTCTATGGAATTCTGAAGTTGCAGTATTTAAAATTATTTACAGAGGAAATACATGTACAGACTGAGCAGTTCACCTTGTACAGTCTGACAGCAGCAGGAAGGACAGACCCGAGGAACACAGTG